ATGGATGAATTCAAAGATCATGCGCAATTCTTCATCATACGTACCCCCAGTAGGTGCTATATCAGCACATAAAGACTTTTGAAACCTCAATATAATTTATTCATCACACAAGAGCTCCAGAGAGCATCCTCATACCAAAGGTAGACCCCTGTGGCCCTTCTTATTGCATCTGGACTCCCTAAATCGAAGCTAATGGACATCTTCTGTAACCGACTCAAACCATATTTGGCCTTCATTTCTAACTACCGAGTAAGATACAAATACACTTGATACCCTGTAAATTCAAGACACTGGGCCTTACAGTTTGATTGAACCGCTGCTACGGCATGCAATAAACCCACTTTCACGTGATCGTATACAAGCACTGCTACAGTGTACAACTTATAAGCCCTCTAAGCGTTTGAAATTGCTGAAACCATTCAGCCTGGACGATATGGACACCGATGAGGCCCATGTACAACATGTAGTGTCGCTTATACCTTCTAGATACATTTTACAACCTTGAGAATGTTTATTGTTGGTAGGTGAATGTGACGCTGAGGTCAAAAATAGCAAAGTTTCAGCCAACTGTAGGTAAATAGTCCGATTCATATCCCATTAATAGGCCCAAAATGGGGGAATCCTTGACACCACACCAGTATAAACCTAAAAGGAGAAACCAGAACTATGGGTCTAGGGCCAATTCCTTTTTATTTTCTTCTTTCTGAATCTAAGATTCGAATCCCTTGCGTTGAAGAGATGTTAGACATGGATCCGCAGCGTACATTCTAGGAAGTATATTAATCAACCTCGCAGGAATGCACAGAAGTTTGCATCTACGGATGGCATGCACACACGCTACATCAACTGTGACAATTAATTTGTAAAACGGGACTGGCGATGTGGTGACATGGGGGGAGTCCAGCTGCGTCTTTGGAATGTTGCATGGTGTCTAATCTATATAACAGCCAATTTATCTTCCTCAGCTGCCAACTCGTCTCCGGTTGTATTGAAGTTTTCCACTTCCATGGCATCAAACAATACCTTCACCACTTGGAAACAATGCAAAAAAATACGCTAAAATTACCCTCATTGTCATCATTATCCATACCTCTATATGGAGAGCATAAACAGAGACTATCACTACCGGCGCTGGAACATCACGGTGGCAGTATTGCTGGTCCAACCGCAAATGACCAAACTGTCCTGCCCATTGCTCAGATACCTTCTCTGAACTACAGTCCGTTTGAACACCACGGGCACCATTTTCAATCACAGCAGCAGACTCAACCTTCTGGTGTTCAACCACATATTCCTACACAGCAAGATTCACACTCACCAAGCTCACAGCAGAGACAACAACAGCAGCTACAGCAACAGCAGCTACATCACCACCATCAACATGAACAACAACAACAGATTGGGTCACAATACTATTCTGTGCCGTTCTCTGTAAATGGACCAATACACGCACCAGTATACCCAGAGGTGCCCCGCCACTACTCCCTGCCCGTAAACGTTATCCCAGCACAGAATGGTGCTCATCCTATCCAAGGTGTATACCCTCATCCGTTGCAGGGGCAGACTAGACGGCGACCGCGCTCGAAGAGGTATACAAACCTTCAGTGCCAACGTTGTGGAATAACTGAAACACCTGAATGGAGGAAGGGACCCAACGGAGCACGTACTTTGTGCAATGCCTGTGGGTTATTCCACGCTAAAGTTCTCAAAAGAGATGGTGCTGAGGCTGCGGCTCTGGCCGTTGTCAACACTGAGGTGAAGAAAAGAAGAAGAAGACAGAGAAAGTACAAGCCAAACGAACCAATGACAATCCAGGTCCCAGTCCCCATTGCACTCCCGATCCCTATGGGCATGGCACCGGTACCGGTGCAGGCACAGGCTACAACACAGGCGTATTGTTGACCAATATGCTGCTATTGAGTGATGACAATAAAAAGAGTATAATAAAAAATTTCTTTTGAAGTACAGAGCCCATATAACCAGCTATAACGTAAACAGCTTACAATATTGCAAGCAAGCCGTCAAACTGCTCATGATATAACCTGAGTATGTGTATTCTTGATGAATAAATAGGGGATCAAACACGAATAAGGGACAACGTTCATATCTTCAACTCCCCCGTGTGCTATAATAAATAGTGTCGACATGGATACCACGTTCAAATAAATAAATAAACCTTCATGGAGCGAACAACGCCAAAGAGAGACGAAACTAAGCCAGAAGCTCTAAGCATCACTCGACTTCAACGCCTCCATCTCCTTAACACGTCTCTTGAAGTCTTCGTACTGACATTTTTCATACGAATGTCTCTCCTCTTGACAAGTCCATGGCATGTACAGGTTCTCCTTACGGCACTTTTTCAATGGCACGAGCAAACGTGCACAGCGGTCACGGTATTCAAGCGGAATCCCGTACTTCTTGTGTTCTTCGTGAGTAAGCGGCTCTGGGAATGACATCGCTGTTGATCAATAACGGCGTTGAATGTGATGTTCTCTGCTGTTGACGACCGTCGTTGAAAACTCCTTCATCCCCTTAAAATTCACAAAATTCGTGAAAAATGGATAAACAAACCGCGCGCGCTCATAACCACTTCTAATTACCGCGAACTCGTTTTATTAAACATCACTGGGGACGCACAGCGCGTTTGCGAGTGCGTAAACTCACGCAGAAGCAATCGTTCTTGGACCGGTTGACCAGAGAACGTTGGATGGGTTAACCCAATTTGGGCCTGGTGGGTAGGCCTCGGCGAAGTTGTGGTGGAGTGAGACGTGAGCCCCGTCTTCACTGTTGTCAGCTGTGGTACTTTGGACAGCTGGAGGGTGCCATGGTACGCAATGTTGAGCGATGTATTCTGTCTCGAACATCTGCTGGCGAGCTAAGGTTTTAAATACCATGTCTGATGTCTGGTGTATGCTCAATACCAAGCGTCCGGGACGTCTGCTTGTTATTCTCTGTTTATGTCTGTTGGCCTTACCATAGCCACTTTGCTTCAGAGTGTCGCCTCCCAAATGGTTGAGACTGTCCTTGGTTTGGCGTGTTTCCACAGTTAAAATGCTCATTCCTTGTTACCTGTTTCCATTCTTGTCAAACGGCTTCCAACAGATCTCCGTCCCGTCGTGGTCTACCCTATACATCTGTACTCAATGCTGGCGCACCAGGCGAGATGATTCAGGCATCTGTGCATTGTCATGCCTGGAGTTCTTTCTGAGTGCTTGGGTTTAAGCGTGCATCCTCTCCACCTAGTTAATTAGGGGAAAAGACCTCCGTTAATGCCTGGGGGCGCGTGTTTTGTAGTTCTGTTACAAGAAATGGGTATTCAGATCTTCAACGTGTAGAGATGCTCTATCTCTTGGTCAGTGCGTCAAACACACCGGATTGATGTGTGTAGAAGCACCGTGAATTGTTAATTGGATAACATATCGTATATCTCGAACACTTACACATGACATGGACTGTTTGCATCTATCACGATGTGGGCATAAATGTGTAGAAGTTACAAGCTGTAAGCAGTGGTTAGTAGTACTCATTCAACCAGTTAAACTGAGAGCTTTACTTCACATAGCCCAGTATTAGGTCCGGCCGCCTCAGAGGTTTGCTCTGATGTCATAAAACATGTTCACCAATTATATCATGTATCTTGAGTAACTTACAAAATAGGAATAACCTCATGATCGTTAGGAGAATTGTCAATCTTTGACCATTCCAATCGTGCTATTGTGCATCCATTGTGGGCCCAAAATTGGGCAATTTAGACGAACCATTTCTGGACTCCCATGTGCCTGGAAATAGGGACCATAGTTGTTCTGAATCTCTTCTGCACAGGCTCTTAAAAGCAAAATAGTGTCTTACTACGACGGTCTCACGAATATAGCCTGGTCCAAGTGTACACGGGTTTAGTCAATCATACTCGCCGATCATGGGAATATAGATATTAAATACAAAACTCTCTATTCTTCAATAGATGTCTCCTCCTTGGAAGAACACCTGTGCTCCATGACCCCTCTCATGTCGTGTAAGTAGCAGCATAAAGGCCCCATATACGTTAAATGCAGATGTAAGATAGAAAATATTAGTATTTGCACAAGCGACACTGCTGAGATAGCAATCTAACGGCGCTTGTTGAGTATTTTCTTTCTTTTATTCAGCAATTGATCTCTATTGGCCACCTTTGTCACTTTCGCCTTGGTCCCCAGTACTTTAACCTTCAAACCATCTACCTTTCTAACACCTTGTTCTTGTTTTTTACGCAATTGTAAGCGTCGAAGCTTAGCTTCACGTTCCCTTTGTTTCTCAAGCTCTTGCATGAGTAGTTGCTCCTCTAACTCCTTATCTCTTTTTTTAGCTTCACGAAGTCTTTGGGCCTCTTCAGCACGCTTCTGTTCTATAAGCTGTCTCTGCTCAAGTGCCTTTTGCTTTTCTTTTTTCAGTGTTGCCTGTTCTGCAAATCTCTGCGCTTGTAGTCGTCTCTTCTCCTTCAGTGCTTCACGCTCACGAGCAGCTAGCTCATTCTCAATCCTTTCCTTCTCCTTCAACTGTTGTGCCGCACTGGAGATGGTTTCCTCTTCTGGTGCATCATCACTATCGCTGTCCTCATCTTCAGAGACCACGTTGATGTCTGAGGCCTCATCCGCAGTGTGGAATTCCAGATCATCAGAATCCTGGAACTTCTTATGTTTACTCTCTATGCTCATTGACATCTCGCTCACCGACTATTACAGAAGTAAATAATGAATGGGTCCTTAGCGACTCGCAAAGCGATGAGCTTGAAAGTTTTTTGAATTTTTTTTCCGCGCCGTGGAAGTCTTTGCCCGTTGAAAAATGACAGCAGTATTACGTAATGTATTACAAATCAAAGTAAGCATAAGCTCAAGGTCTTAATGGTAGTTTTATCAGTTGAATAAGTTATTTCAGGTGGTTAAAAGACCTCATTTGGCCACCAGAGTATATTAATTGTTGTAGCTGGAAATATACACCGCCAATAACATCAAGAGACCAATAACGATAGGTAAGTAGTAGAGTGCTTTCCTTGTTCGGTTCTGCTGTGCAAATGGATATGATTCCCCATAGTGTTGGGGTAACAACGGTAGTCTCTCTTCGTTTTGTTCACGACCATATCTTTCATTGGCCCATGCAAGACCCATTCTTAGTAGCTGAATAGCATCTAGAAGCCTTTGAGAAATATCACTGACCAACCTATCCAATGCAGATGATCGATAACATGAGTACACATTTGGTATTGATTCGGAGCCACTACATATTCTGGAACCATCTGGAGTTTCTTCATATACGGGAGAAAGACAGGTCCTCGTTGCCGATTCTATAGATTTGCAGCTGCTTACGTGTGTCAGATCCTTATTGAGCATGTCTTGGTTTGCTGGTACACTAAACGGTTCACAGTCTTTCGAATTCGTGTCACGTCCACTTATCCCATCTTTATCACTTAACTGTTGAGAATCTATCGCATAAAAAGTATAGTTCTCATAGTACAGCGTTGGAAAGCCGGTTCTCATCTTTTGAGAAACCTTGCCTGAGCTCTCTAATATGTCTTGCATCTTATAATTTGTTCAATTGATCTGTGTATTGCTCACTATTACAACTTATTTGTTCCTCTTTACTTAGTTAAATACCAATTGACACAAAGCACACACACTCCATTTACCCCAATGTCAACAATAGAACCACATAATATGTTACACAAAGCTCCATTAACCGAAACAGTCCAATCACAGTGCAGTATAGCCTCCATCGACTTTAATGTCCGTACCAGTGGTGAACGTTGAGGCATCGGACGCTAAATAGAGATACGCACCAACTAGTTCTTTAGGCAAACCTTCACGGCCCATAGGTGTTAGAGACCACCATACTTTCTTCAGATCCTCATCTGCAAACTTTGTGAGCTCTGTGCCGATGTAACCAGGAGACACGGTATTTACCCTAGCAAACCCGGCCCACTCAACAGCGAGAGATTTCGCCAAGTGTAGCACAGCAGCTTTTGCAGCGTTGTATCCACTTTGCAATTGGGGAATATTAACGATATGAGCAGACATGGAAGATGTGATGACATACGAGCCCTTGCCATTCTTCTGGAATATTTTCCCCACAGCTTTTGACAAGTGATATATGGAGTTCAAGTCCAAGTCCAATACGTGGTTCCACATATCATCACCTTCTTGCTCCAGTAGAGCACCACCTTGCCAAGCAACACCAGCATTAGCAACAAAGATATCAATTGTACCGAAATCTTCAACTTGCTGAGCAACAGCTTTTGATATTTCATCGAAGTTAGTGAGTGACACTTTGTACGCCTTGCACTTGACCCCGTACTTTGTCGAGATTTCACGAGCTAAGTCGTCTGCTGGTGAAGAGTTGTACCAAATGGCAATATCAGCACCGGCTTGCGCATATGCCTCTGCAATTGCCAGGCCAATTCCCCTGGAGGACCCCGTTATCGAGGCCACTTTCCCCTTCAATGAGAACATATCCATAACGTTGTCCGGTAATTGGGGCGCCGGTTGCGGACATTCAAGTCTAGTTGCCAATGTTTGAACCATTGTTTCTACTATCTCTTTGTATATGCAATGTCCAAATCTGAGTCAAGCACAACACGCACGTCGTTACAAGAGATGCGGACGGTCCGTCACCTTTTATATCAATTGAGATTCCTCTTTGCTAATTTGCTATGCATTCTTCCCATGAAGGCTTACAGTCCTGATGACGTAATGTTGCTTAGATAGCCTGTGTGAATTAGAATTTCGGCTAACCGATAAAACATTTTAGCATAGAACGCAATCATTTTATCCGGTTCGTCCTAACGGTTGGCTATATCAACATGTGTTTGATATGAGCCGGAGTACGTGAAGAGCCCCATTTGGTGATTATTCCCCGTCAACCATAAGGTGCTGTTGGGCCAGGGACTCAGACTGTGAGGCTCCTGGAAGTTATAGAGCTGAAAATCAGCTCCTATAGCCAACAGTATGACGAACGTGTCTCTCCTAATGCCAAAGACATAGAGCCGGATCCACCAATTGTTCATAACACATCAACTACAACGTACAGCCAACTGGCATTCCGGTTTACCTACGCTTACACCTCCCTCAACATTACACACCACCGCCTCCTCCCCAATTGACTCTCCTCGTTGGAAGCAGGCCAGGCAGACAGTGCGCTTCAGCTGCTCTAACCACTTCAACTGCTTCACCCGTGGAGGGTGGCACATCGTCTCCGAGTCGCAAGCGGGCGATTTTGGAGGCGGAGAGAGAGGAGGCAGAAGAACGAAAAATTTCTCCGCAAAGCAACCATTTTCGTACTGCTGAAAAATGTGCGGTTCTCGGTGATACACACACACAGTTCATTTTAGAGCAATAGAGATTAGAACTTTTGGTGTGCTGTGGATCTTTCTCACACGTTCACAAGGGCCTGAGAACAAATGGCTGACTCTGATTTCTCCGTGGCAGATTCTCTACAGGATATTCTATTTGGATCAGTGAGTACCCTTGTCTGTTTCTCCCAAAATTTGATGGAAGCCAGAACAACCACTAACAAGGCATGACTCAAGCTGTCGGGATGTACTGGAAAGACCATTGAGTATCCCTTTGATACTGTCAAGGTGAGATTGCAGTCGCAGCCTCATGATCAACCTCCAAAGTTCGCAGGGGCATGGGACTGCATCCGCAAGACGTTTCAGAAGGAAGGGATTGTAGGGTTTTACAGAGGTATCTCTTCGCCAATTGTCGGCGCAGCAGCTGAGAATGCCACTCTTTTCGTATCTTACAATATTGCACAGACTGCCATAAAGAAACATGTACTGCAAACCAAAGACGATCTAACGATTCCTTATCTTGTGCTATGTGGTGGAATCAGTGGGCTAGTTGCATCGTACGTTTTAACACCTATTGAACTCATCAAGTGTAAGATGCAAGTGGAGAGTCTGTACTCCAATAAGACATCGTCCATTACCCAACTCTGCAGAGCAGTTTGGCGAACAGGTGGACTTGCTGGATTTTGGCATGGTCAAACAGGGACCCTGTTAAGAGAGTGTGGAGGATCTGCTGCCTGGTTTGGAGTTTATGAATTCGTCTCGTTTGAGCTGAAGAAGCTGAGGTTGAAACGTACGCCAACTTCAAAGGACACGAATTCCGTGCCAGAGCTTTTGATAAGTGGTGCCTCTGCAGGTGTTGGATATAACCTGTCTCTGTTCCCTGCAGATACAATAAAGAGTAAGATGCAAACCAGCAGTATCATCAACCCAGAGGCACATCTGACTTTTATATCAGCTGCGAAGGATCTTTATAGACATGGTGGCATATCAATCTTTTATAGAGGGTTGGGAATCACGCTTATACGGGCCATTCCTTCAAATGCTGTCATATTCTTCACATACGAAGAGTTGAAAAAAATATTTGCCTAGGAGCCTTTCATAGAGATCGCTCTTCAATGTCCAATCATCACTCTAATAGAATAGATTCTTTCAATATATAGATATCATAAGATCAAATATGTTTATTTTCTGACGAGACGAAGTGCTTTAGCTCTTTGGTGCTGAGCTCTAACCACTCTCAACATTTTAGCACTCAAACTTGTCAATTCCTCCTTGAAATAGAACAAGAATGCAGCAGTTAAAACACTCTGTGAAAGCTTAACGCTGATACCGTTGTAAAAGCCTTGAATGCCCTCTTGTTGGTAGATCTGTTTCATCCAGCCCCAAATAGTTGTTGGCTTGTTTTCAGATTCATCCTTCAAGTGCATACGTGCCTTCAATGTGATGTAAGGATAAGTCGAGCCGGTAGCGGCCAATTTACCCAATGCGCCGATAAAGAAAGCATGCGTTGATGTCAAGCCACCCTTTCTTGTTTTGTTGATCAAGTTCTTCAGCTGTTCAAAGATGGTGTACTGGATTATTGGGTTAAGAACAAGAATCAAAGCTGGTAAAACACCTGCAAAAAGTGTCTTAATTCCATCAGTCTTGATGATGTCCTTGAGCGCACTCAAAGTGGACATCTTGTTACCCTTGCCCTTGACTGTGATTCTGGTATTGGCAACCCAGATTGGGTTTGTTGAGAACACAGTGATGCATCCTGCTATAGCACCTGTGAGGATGCTCTCAACCGGTGTCAGCCCATTCTTGGCCTTCTTCTTACGATTCAGTATCAATTTGGCCAGCGCCTCGTAGAAGTAGTAGTACACCAAGTTGTTCAACACAACACCATAGATCGCACTCTCTAAACCAGAGTAGAACCCCAGGATACCCTCATTCTTCAACAGATACTTTGCTGCAGCCAGTGTGGAAACCCTCTTCTCCTCTTGTGCCTCCTCCCCTTGTTTACTGCCGGTAGTCTTTTCAGATTTAGTCTGTGCCAGTGTTGAGAGTGTAACCAATGGATAAGTCACAGCCATAGACAACGCACCGCCGATACCAGCAGCAACAGAGTGCGTTGCAGGATCAACCTCCAGTCTATCAGCCATCCTTAATAAGTACACTTCTCGTCCCTTCAAAGGGTGATTTGTTGGAAAAGTGTACTCTTTTCTCCAGGTTTTCAATGCTTGCGCAAGCTCGGCTGGGGGGGGGGGGGGGGGGGGGGGGAGGAGCGGCAGAGGACGAGCGAACAGAAGGGGAAAACCACCGGCGAGGACAGAAACTGACAATTTGGCCATTGTTCCTCGGGAGAAAGCAAATAGCGGAAAAAAAATTCAAAATCAAAACAGGTTGTAAGTGATACTTAATACGATTAAAGCACTGCGTATCGTATCGCCACGTAAGGAAATGTCACAGCTGTCACCAACGATCAAGAAGAACCTCAGTAACTTTGGCTTTGTATGCTCCATCGCTATAGGTGGAATGTACCTTGTGAAGACGTGAGTAAATACGTGCGACGTAAAGACGCTCTCCTCTACTCGGCCTTTGGACGGAGGAAATGAGATGAAGCAATGCTTGTTCATTTTCACTAACTTGCCCATCAAGCACCATCAACAAGAGACGTGACAAGACATTCCAACCTGACCACTTCACCACCTATGATGAGAGTGAGACGAATATTGCCCGTTTACAACCTGGGTTGCCTGAGCCTTCCCCTGATATCAAGAGAAAGTCACAATATGAAGCTGCTCCGAATGCGTACCAAACTAGAAAACAAGGCGATAGAATATCTGGAATTCTAGACATGAATTGGTTCAAGAGTAGTGATAAGGACAAATAGGCTGTGATGACATCTACTACACATTATATGTACATATATGCTGAACCATGTAAATACTGCGATGGAAATACAACATGAGATTGAGAGAAAAAACACTTTTGAAGCAATAGATTTAAAACGAAATATAAAATACACAATAATAACCCTGAACGTCGATGAACTTAATCCTTCTTCTCGAAGTAATCAGACATCTCTTGGTCAAGCTGTTCCACAGTCTTCTTAGCAGGTTTCTTTGCTCTTGCCTTCTTAGCCTTCTTTTTTGGAGCATCTGTGGTGTTGGAAGTGGCCTTCTTTGGAGTCTCCTTACTCTGCTTCTTCTTCTTGTCAGAAACTGCAGTCACATTGGCAACAATTCTCGAGGCCAATGGCTTCTTAGTTGGATCAATGATCAACTCCAATTTCAACTTGTTCTTACCATCGATTGGTGCACCGTTGTACTTCTCAACAGCCTTGTTGGCATTGACAGAAGACTTGAAATTGACGGTAGCAATACCTTTGGAATGACCCTTCTCGTTATATGACAACACAACAGATTGAACACCACCAATTTCAGAAGAAAAGAAATCCTAAATATCGTTAGTCATAAAAGTCATTATATAAAATCAGGAACATTCTGTCCCTGGATAGGAACGGGGAAGAACATATATGGATGAAATTGATAGCCTCAAGGTAGAGTAGCACCAAACACTTGAATGAATTGAAGAAAATAAGGTAGTCATGACGGTCGTTTACCCGTGCCTCCAGTGCTAGCGCATACATCAGTAAAAGCTTTGAATCAGTTTATCAGCAATGATATCAGTGATAAGAAGTAGGTGAGTCTTTATGGTTCATTCTCTTCATTGATTCTTCAGCCCTCAAAACTTATAAAGATTTTTTTGTAGAAAAAAAAACCAATATTAAGTATAACAAAACACTGAAGAGATGTCCATGTAAAGACTCTTTAAGTATCCAGATGAATCTTTAAATTTTCTGCGATCCTAACCACACATTGGAATCCAGCCAATGAGCACCACACTAACAAACAGTCAGACAATTCACGTCTCTTGTTAAGGTGAATGGTATACGATCTGTATTTATAAGATCCACTCTTTTGTTGACAATGTTCAACATACACGATTGCATTCAAACATTTCACCATAGTGCAAAATCCATGTATACAGACCACGGAAACAAGTAGAAGAGTGCACTGGATACTGTAGTAAAAAAAAAAAGACAGAAATATACGTCCGGAGAGATAAACTTCCTCTGGGGAATCTCTCAGACGATATTAAAGAAGAAGAAAAAAACACACACAGCTCATCGAGTACTTCAATTGGAAATACAGTTCAAGCAGATAAGAGGCTTATTCACCCTTTCCACCATACAAAACCCATCCTAATTGTCAAGACTCAGCTTCAGTTGTTAAATTTTTTTTCTTTCTTTGGCGCAATGTTTCAGGCATTCAGAAACATGCATTTTCATTCCAAATTCATGAAGGTGTTCATCGTGGTCAACATTTTTACAATAAAACTATCAACTACTTCATCAATATTCCTTTTCTCTCCCCCCACACACAGCGTGAAACGTCCCATCTCCTTCACACACTAAAACATACCTTGATAGCGTCTTGCTTGATATCCTTTGGAAGACCATACACAACAACCTTTGTAGCATAAGACGCAAACAAAACGTCTGGAGCAACTGGTGTGGCTCCCTTAGCAGCTTTGGCAGCCTTTGAAGTTGCCTTCTTTGGTTGTTGAACCGCCTTGGTCACTTTGGCCTTAGGAGCACGAGGCTTTCTTGCGCCGGAGTTCTTTGGCTTAGAAGCAATGATTTCATCGAGAGATTGATCGAGGGCTGAAGACATCGTTTTTGTTATCCGCTTGCTGTTTGTTTATTTGTTGATTGTTGTTGGTGTTCTGTTGGTGTGAAAAAAAGGACAAGTGGCGGCGGGTAAAAATATTGAGATCCATCAACGGGGGGTGGGATGCGGGCCTTTTTTGGTGTTTTGTTTTTGTGGTTCTTCTCGTATTTTTTGCCTCTCCAATACAAAGGCCGGGTAATCTCTCTTACCGCCTTGAATTTTGAGCGCTACCACACAGAGAAGCACCGTACGACTGGGAATGTTGACATGGGAGCAGGCCCATAATAGTGCAAATAAAACAGGAGCAAGTAGCCGTTTGTTCGAAGTATACGTGGTGTGCTGGTTAAAGCATATGATATGAGCTCGAGGACGTCCCATTACCGGCAATCTCGAGCGTTATCGCCCGAGATAAGGAACCAGCTCACATGTGTCAGCCAGAGTCCCATCGCAAAATATGTCTTAGGTGCAGAGTTTGACAACCGTATTGGAGCTGTGGTTAAGCACCAGATACCTCGGAAGATACCTGGGTTCAAGGATCAACTGGGCTCTCTGGCGGAGCTGATGATTCCTTCAAGCAGTGAGCATGTCGAGTACTCGTACTCTGTATTCGTGCTCTACAAAGATTCGTCCAACGTCTACAGATTGCTCCCCGACAGTGAGAAGGATATGGTTGAGGAGGATAGCCTGAGATTGGACAATCTGCAATTGGGGTCAATAAACACTATCTATGAACCGGTATCGCATGACGATGATATGCTTTTTTTCTTCAACATTACGCATTCTGTCGAGTCAAGTCAGAACGAAAGGGGAAGGGCCATAAGGTCGATTGCGATAGGAACACCACTGAGAAATTTCTTCCTTTTTAAGCATCTTATAACAGCTACAGTTCAATCATATATACTGGATCCACAGCTGTCTCACCTTACGGCGCTCTTCAACATTGTCAATTCCACTGACATCTCTCTGTGGAATAACTATATGGGTTGTAATGCACACCTTCACAATGTACTTGCCTTGAATTACGAATTCAACAACACAATCATACTGTCGTATTTGAAAAGTCTCAAAGAAGACTCATCAAATACTCCGAAGGCTAAATACAAGAATGGTGTGCTTCAATTCTTCTCCTCTTATGACGTTACCAGCCTGTCGCCTCAGGATTCGATTTTGGCAAAAATTCCTTTCAATTTTGATCTTACCAAACATCCTTCAGATATAATCACTGACCTGAACGTCTCAAGCCATATTCTCAAATTCCTATACATACTATCTTCACATCTCAACAAGGTGGATTACAAGAACTTCAACATTGTCATATACTCCAATCAGAGCTCAGATGTTCTCACCTCGTTCATATTGACATTATCAAACTTCCTCAATGGCTTTGATAAGTCGTACTTCCACAACGACAAGATCTTATACTTTCCCTTGATAGAACTTGTCAACTGGGAAGAGCTATTGAAGTTCAACGAGCATACAAAGAACACAAAAATAATTGGAACTAATAACATCATCTTGAAAGATTATGACAACTTTTTTGACTTCTTTTACAATTTGGACTCTTCCGAAATCACCGTCTCTGGTTCCTTAGATATCCATCCAGTTGCATTCCCAAAGACAGGAGATTTCATGGAATTGATCCAAAAATTGCTGCTAGAGAAGCATGACTACAACACAGTAAGGATCTCTCTTCAAAGATTCAACATATGGGAAATACTCAAGATCCTTGCAAGAAATGAAACTGAACAGAACGAATTAAACTTGAGAGATTACTATCTGACAAGGAATAAGAACATTGTCATTTTCGATGAGTTTTTTGACTTTAAGATAACAAGACTTTTGGACATTTTGAATCAATTCGTTAAGCATATACAATCAAATGACTACAGCGAAGAGGCAATTTCACAATATTCATACTTTTATTCATTCTTCACTGACTTTGTCACAAGTGCTATAAAGGGACGATTGGAGATGTTTCTCTACATGTGTGAAATCTTTCCATGTTTTGTTGAATCTCCTCATGACTTGCTATTTGACATGAGCAAACATTTTGGAACGGATAAGAATTTGTTAAGCTTATTGTTTAAACCAATCATGATTCAAAATCAAGCACTGCAAAGTCGCATTCTAGAGCTTTACCAGACATTGAAGAAAAGTTCCTTGACAATCATTTTAGAGCATCGTTTGAACCCATTTGTAAGGATTCTACTAGAGGAAAAACTTAAACAACCGTGAATTTTGACAACTAATAACTGGTTTAATTAAGTGTGAGACCAATCTTCTTCTCCAATGGGAAGAGTCTGTAGTTATTCATGTGATGAAATCTCCATGGACAATCCAACTTGTCTAATATCACTTCGAAGAATTGTAAGTTGCTTGTGTTCAAATCAATCTCACCCATTGCTCTTTCCAATTCATCTTCATTATGTATCGTCTTTGAAATGCAATGGCCCTGATTACCAAATTCAAAGAGTTCAAATACCTTGCTCCAATTCCATGGTTTGATATCATTATAAGTCCTTTCCTCTCCCAAGATGATTCTCTCCACGGTGTAGCCAGAGTTGTTCAACAAAAAGATGATTGGTGTTAACCCATAGTGCGGGAATGCAGATATCTCTTGGATGGTCATCTGTGCAGATCCATCACCTTCAACAAGGATCAATCTTCTACCTGAACCTTCGTCTCTGAGGGCAATACCCACACCAACAGAACATGGTAATGCCATTCCGATGGAAAGGTAGAAGCCTTGTGCAATATATGTGACATCTGTCTTGAAACGGAAGTCAGGAATTCCGAACATGAATGAGCCAGTTTCACAAACAACAACATCACCTGTACGTAAGAACGATTCAAATTTTTTGAGTAATACAGACTGTGATATGGATGCGCTTGATGGGATATGAGGATAACGTGGAGAAACTTCAAAAGGAACAGGTCTAGGACCTGGAATCTTCGACACATCAACGATGTCCAACATTTGTCTCAACACATTGACAAAATTAACACCACGGAATACCTCAGAGCCAATTTTTATGTAATCAGAATGAAGCAATATCAACTGTCCCTCTTGGAGATCAAAGGAATAATGACCAGTGTTGATTTCATTCAAATGGGGTCCGAAGAAGAGGACAAGGTCAGAGTCTTCAAGGTTCTCCTTAACACCCTTATTGGATTCCAATCCAATGTAATCACCCACAAACGTTGGATGACATTCATCCAAGATGGATTTCCCCATAAATGTTGTGTAACTGTGAACGTTTGCCCTGTCAACAAACTCTCTTAAGAGAGGAACACCGTCATGGTATCTTGATACTAGAACATCCGCCAAAATCGCTGGATTTGTTGATTTGTAAAGCTTCTCCAAGATGACTGTGGAAAGTTTATTAGTCAAAGCTGGATCTTGATCTTCAACTATATGGAAGCGGTCAGCAGGGTCCAGAGTCAATCTTGAAGCCTCCACTGGAACATCACTCATGTCCACTGGCAAGAAAATGACACCAGGTCTTGACGTTTTGAAGATTTCCTTGATGACATGGTCCACTTGATCTGCTGCTGTTGTTGCATCTGTCACAATCTCAGATACGCATGTGATATTCTCAACCATCTTGGTGTAAACGAATCTATCACTGTCAGCAAACGGATCAATGTTGTTCACCAAATGGTGCAAGTGTTTCTTCTTCTCCTGCTCATCAAATATGGCCATTCTACTCGGTACTCCAACTATATGAAGGACTTTAACATTCTCTGCAAATGCGCCAGCAATTGCATTGATGCAACTGAGTTCACCAACACCATAAGTGGTAATCACAACACCAAGGGAGTTGTTATAACGCGAGTAACCATCTGCTGTATAGCCAGCGTTCAACTCGTTACAACCTCCAATCCATTCCAAATCAGTCTTGTACAAGTGCTCCAACAGGGAGAGGTTGAAGTCACCAGGCACACCAAAGATTGACTTGACTTTATGAACCTGGTGTAGACGGCGGAAGAGGTATTCTCCAAATGGGAGAGTAGAGGATTCAGTCAGAGGAGATCCCGCTGTAGTCGGTATGGTTTGCGCAATAGGAGCCATTGATGTTCGAATATGAGATCTTTATTCAGAGACAAACTCACCACCTCAAACTAACAAAAGGTGGCGCTCTTCTACTGTTTAAATACTTTTGTGTGTACTCTCTTACCTCAAACCGCTACACCCCAAACACACGCGTGCATACACACAGTTGATAGCGTAGAACGTCGTTGATCGATGACCTTGTGTGACCGAAATTTGCCCTTAACTACCACAGAAAATGGGGGAATGCCACCGTTAACCGAGTACACTAAAAGCTTCTTTTTTAGTCTGCACAGGAACGCCGTTCAACATTTGATCTTCGTCCCGTTGGGAGAAGGCCCTTTGTCTTTGTGTGCTTAAGAACTGTAGGAAAAACTCTGTGGCTCAACCCGACGCGCTCGAGAAGTTTGACACAAAGACGGGGATCTCGGTTATTGATGGGTTCTGAAAAGGCACGATCGTGTTGTTGTCCTTTTCCGGCCCGTCCCGCGCAGTTGTATATGCTGGTACGGGCCGCACCGTGATGAGCCGAAACATGATAACGGTGTGTGTTGCTGTGTTTCGAGTTCGGTGTTTACATGCTGAAAATGCCTATCATTCAAGGCACATATCAGATAGAACGGGGCGCCATAGACAGCGCTTGTGCCATAGTTGTGGGAGAACTGTGATTCTGAGTCAACTGTTTTGTTGCTGTTGATCACCGCTTGTGTGCAATACGCTCTGGGTAGTAAGGTTGACCAAGATAGGTCATTGGTGTAAGATTTCCCACCATCTGGGCTCTGCGGAACATATGGATAACGTGTACAAGGCTCTGATAAAGCCGCTAGAGCCAAGAACGCTCGCCAGTTGGATCCATTCTGGTAAAAACGGCTTCCTAGTGATTGACGTGAGAGGCCCTGATTACAGATATGGATGTGTCAGGGGATCGATAAACATTCCCTCGAATGAGTTTGATTCAAACATCCCAAAGATCATCAGTGAATACACTCCAGGGGTTGATACCTTTGTGATCCACTGTATGAGAAGCCAGATACGCGGACCAAGATGTGCGCGCAAACTGATAAGGTACTTACTGTTGAATACAGAAGCAAAGGACGACTTGACAAAGCTTCCGAACATTTACCTTTTACAAGGCGGGCTGAAGAGATGGAATGAACTCTACGGCAACGATCCTTCATTGATGGAGCCAATCCCGTAAATTCAGAAGAGTTTTAGCAACAAATTGATACCAATGTGCCAAACTGAAAAGAGTTCTGCTCTACTCTGTGTTTGCCAACCTCTCTCCCACCCTTGTTGAACGTTAATATCATGAAACCTTGGCTGATGATCACTGCATACATACACCATACATATGTCGAGAGGGCCAGGAGTGACAAAGACGATTTCGTACCTCCAACCTCACTCGAATTACTCCATCGTAATTACTCTGCACTTGGTATCTGATGCTAGGCTTCGGAATTCAATTTATAGTCTAGAAGGTCCATGCTGTTTTTATGTAAAGCATACACACTTGTGGGCACGAGATATCAATGCGACATGGACAGTGAAGGCTGTGATTTGTTGATGTGATTTTCTGCTGATTTCCAGATACATATGCTCACCTGCTACTGAACACTGCATAGGCATAGATCATTGATTGGTTACATGTGCCCTGTCTCTCGACAGCTCGATCTACTGTTCATATCGTCAATCAAAAGCTATGACCTCCAAACTCGAAGTTTAGGAACCACTAGCTGTACGAATAAGGCATTCCGTCTTTAGTCGATACTAAATGCAGTGATACCTTCAATATAATCGACTGTGTGATTACTCGCACCTACTACTATAATTGATCTACTCCCCGTGTCTAGGAACGGATGTACCAGATAGTCCTTCGTCCCGTATTGCTCATTTATCAACAAGATCTATCATAAGGGTGCATCACATATGGTTAATTTTGAAACGAAATTATTTTTAAACTGCTATATTTTACGCATAACATACGCATGATACCTATGATTAGGCCTGGAGCCTTCCATTGACCGTGACGCTGAGACTAGTCCCTATGCAGCTTTACTCAAGATTACACACTTTGGAGAGTGCTTTGATCGATATTGGTGGTCATTTATCGCAGTTGACCGAAGTCACAGCATATTACAGCTATATTGAACTGACAAGTCTTAGTTTAAGGCGATTTGCAAAAGGGCATACATCGAAGTAGGTCACTTCAAAATCCTTGCTGAGCTAGAAGAAGTAAAAGAATCAGGAAGATCAGACAACGCCACGCTTCTATTCCTCGTTATACTTGTATCTCTGCTACGAAGCCAGAAAGCATACACCATTGATATCTATAACGGGGAGTGTATAACGGAAGTGCACGTTCAATCATTCATGATCAACTCAAGAGAACCATAGCTATTTCGCACTCTCATAACTCTTCAGCAGTCAAATCTGAATTAATCTGGAATGGTCTGTTTCTCCAGTCAATCTGGGAGCCGCACATGGCAATGATCCAGATGGGTAACGCCAGTATTTCCCTAATGATCCAGATGAAGAGCCACTGAATAAAAGGCTGTCTTTCCTGCGTTAGAAAGAAAGGAGGATCATATATGCTGAGCTTATCCTTGCTCGAGTGTTCATGCAACATTGACGATTGATTCCAATCTACAATGCACCACACGATCTCATGTAATAGGAATATGGAAACCATGTAGTTTCCCTCAAGCCACAGATTGGAGATTCCAAATGATCCAAATACCCCTATAAGAACACTCTCTGTAGTTGGCTCCAAGAGAGTGGCAGCTAAAACCATATATCTCCGGACTCTTAGCCAACGGACCCTTCTATCCACGTAGTCCAATAGTGTGTTTGAAACACTTCCACCGATTGGCTGGACAACAACATCGCCTGTCATGGCAGTTCTTCCGTAATCCCAGAGGGCAATTCCAATCATGTTATCTTCACCGATGTAACGTGCAAAGAACCTAATACCTTCACCTTTTGAACCACAGTATCTCTCTGCGGCTTTGGCAATACGTGGACTGTTATTTATAATTTTGTTTTTGCCACGAGCAATGCCTTCGACGGCTTTGTCAAGATCACTTATACGGTACATGTTGGATTTCCCATTGACACAAGGTGCAAACGATGCCTTGTTAAAGAACACGTAGAACTTTGCATGGGACGTGTGTAGGAACATCTCATCCAATTTTGCTCCCAAGTTGAGCGATGATGCATTCTTGATGGAAACGGCTAGTGGAACGTGGTGCACCAGTTTCACTTGTCTTGATGTTCTTCGACCATTATCAGTTGATCTCTTCAAGGCGCAAACTGATCTGAGAAGCGTTCCTGGACTGACCCACACGTTGGAGTCTATAATCCAGACTATGTCAAACTTGGCGTTCTTAAATCCCTTTGTCAAGTTGTTGATCTTCGGGTTCGGGCCAGAATGGTTCGACTCGTAGTCCTGATCGATGAGCAGTTGTACATCAACAGAATCTTTATACTTTGAGATCAGCTCTTCAATGATCTGGATTCCCGGATCTGATGGGGATTCAACGCAGAAGAGCACTTGGAACTTGTGCTTCGGATATCTCTGTAGCAGTGCACTCTCCAAGCACAGCTCCATTTCACTGTCAATGCCCTTGATGGGCCTGATGATCGTCACACCTTCTAACTCTTCGTTGTCTGGTATCGACATGTCATTCTCGACCCGTACGCCTTCGGGTATACATTTTGGAGAATTGAACTTGAGCGCAATTTCCACAACACCGTAGTACGTTATGAGAATCATCACCAGCCACCATATGAACCCAACCACTGAAAGCGCCAATTTCCAGGCTGGTAAAGCGTGGTCCGATGCCGTTACGATCACCGCGGGCTGTGTATCAACCGCATTGGCGGTGATTGTAATAGACGACGCTGCGCTAGCGCACAGTGAGACAAAGTTGAGCAAAACCAATCGCACCGTGGACATGAAGACGATGTTTTTCGCTGCCTTTGTGACTCGTTGCGGGGCCTTCAAGGTCTGTAACAATTGCCAAGGGCTTCTTTCCTTCAACTGTTGATATTTTTTTTTCAGCGGCTCATCGCTTCTCGGCCGCTGCCAACGCTATGATGCCGACTCTCTCGGTTGGCACGGTTCAAGCCCAACTTCCCCTTCTGGGCCTGTACAGTAGGACCATCTTGTAACAGCCTGAAGAGGTCAATCAGCGATCTGCCACGAGTTGATGGCCAATGATGGAGACTTCCATGTAGAACGAAACACGGACTACCTCACGGAGCCCATCACCAAGCTTCCTTGTGCTTCATAACCCCGGGCTCGCACGCGCTAACGACTGTGTGTTTTTTTGTTCTTTTTCCCTCTAAATTTGCTTTTCCCAGCTTTTAGCAAGGCACATTCTCCAGACCTCTCAGACAACAAATTCACACATCAACTACACACCAACAACACGCTACGAGATGCCTCCAAAGGTGAAGAGGTTATCCGGGTTACAGAAGGAAGTGCTGAGACTGTACAGAAAATGCCTGCGTGCTAGCTTCACAAAGCCAAAGGTAAGCTATGACTGGTTGGTTGTTTTACGCCATTATGTCCGCTAATCGCTAACTCTCTAATTGTAGGAAAACCAACATCACTTTATAGAGTATTCAAGGTAGGTCACTGTATATCGGCTGCTGGCTGTTGACTGCAACGTACTAACACACCAAAGAAACGAGTTCAAGAAGCACCAAAAGCTGCCGAAAAAGGAGTACTCAACCATCGAATATCTGCTGAGAACTGGATACAGACGGTTTGAAATGTTTTCAGCTCCCGAGATTAAAGACATCAAATGAGCCTGTATTCTGGAGCTTTACTTGGTTTGAGATATATGTACATATTGCAATCTACAGCCTTTTTCATACGATTAATTAGCTTTCATTTATTGAACAGCACTTTGGGGGTGGAGGTTGTGATACCCTTTCAATATTGTTCATCAACGAGTTGCAAGATTTCATCTTGTCTCATTAGCAAAAATTCAGTAACGTTGTTCCGCTGTGCCATATCCAGGAGCTCCTTTTCACCGTCACTGGTCCGTGTGAATGTTGGTGCAAACACAACGGCCAAATTATGGTATGTCATCTTGTTAACTGTAGACATGCTTTCAACTCTCTTCAAATGTCTCAACATGGCAACCAGGGTCAATTCGTTTGTCTTTGGTAGGGAAAGGACAACCTTCGCCAATGCACTCAACTTGTCTTGATCGCTGGGTATGCGGTTGATCGAGATGAACGTCTCATACTCATGTGTTGTTATTACGGGCTCCGGCAAATGGAAGTAGAGGTACCTCTTCAGTGCACTCGATATGGCGTTGACATCACCAACTTGCAGGCTATTTTCCAACTCACTCGAAGTCTCAGCCTGGTACAAGTTGTTGAATGCCTTGATTATGGCATTGGTCTGGGAAGATGCACCGTTCTTTCTGTAAATACCTTCAGAATCTAACCCACGTTTTTCAATTTCATTGATTAGTCTTGTGACAATCAATGGGATTGGTCTGTTCTCATATTGAGCACGAGCTTCTAATGATGAGCTGAATAGATCAGACATGATTAGTCCATGCGTCCCACTATGCTTCAACAGTTGAACCTGTTCCACAGCTATGCCCTTTGTATTCAACAACTTCTTGTTGTCGTTTCCACCGAGCTCATCAGTCTCCTCTTTTCTCATAATAGGTGCAGAAATCTGCGGGTTTCCATTCTTGTTGGAATCGTTCCCCATTTGATTGATTGAATTGGATGACACAGATGATGATAAGAGTTCGGACTTGCTGAAGAAGTTGCCACGTTTCCAGAAACGTGCTTTGGATCTTGGCTGTTTACCATCTTCCATCATTTGAACACTGCTATCGTTGGTGGTTATGAGAGGAACAGTAGTGGATGAGTTGGATGCAGATACGGTCGCGGCAAGTTGTGCTTGACTTCCCGAATACGTAGACGAAGTTCCGGAAGCAGGTATCTCTGAAACGTCCTCTAATGACGATTTTGATGACTGCCCGATAATCTTGAGCTCCTCAAACTTCGTGTGCAATTGTAAAATTTCCAGGTTCAAAGTATCTCGTTGTGACGATAGCTGAGATATCTCAGCAAGTAAAGAGCTCTTTGCCATTTTCAGATTTGAAATTTCCGTTCTCAGAGATCTCAACTCCAGCTCGGAAGATATAACATCGTCTCCTGTGTTGATGTCCGATCTGGATCTGCTATGAGTTGATAGCTTTCGATTTGTATGACTATGGTGATGATGGTGGTGGTGAGTAGTTGGTACTGGAGGTGTTGTGAATAGCGCAGCTCCTTGGTATGGTGAGTGCTTGTTGGTCTTCGGGGTCATCGTAAGGGATTCGATGGTTGTGTCTTCATGAGCTTCATTAAAAGGTCCAGTATTTGTGTTGTCAATCATTGGAGACGAAATTTTATAACTCTCCAAAGAGTTTTGTGAAGGAGTCTTCTTGTGCTTTCTAAAGCTCAAAAAGTTCTTTGGAGATCTCAGGGACAGCGACCTAGATAGCGACGACGATGGTTCAGTAGCATTCGTGAGGTTTGTCTGGGCAGTTTTCTTCAAGGGCCCAGGTGACATGAACTGTTTTGGATCAGCGGAAGTTCCTTCGAGAGGATCAGTAGGAAAGGAATCCTTGCGTTCTTTAGCAACAGTAGTTGTTGTTAATGTATGGTTGAAATCCTCATCAAACGATTGTAAGCCTTGAATGTTGAGTCCTGTGGGTATACTATCACTGTGCTTCATTGTGCTACCGAACCCTCTAGTTTCCTTCAAATAGTCCGGTGTAATTATATCGTTGTCACTATCATCCATATCGATGAAATCGTCATCTGGGGGTAAAGATGGTGCAGCCACTTTTGGAGGAGGACTTTTTCTTGCAGGAGAAGCAGTGTTCTCCTTCTTTGTATAGCTGGAGAGTATATTCGTCGAAGAGCTCGAGCTTAGCGACTCAACAACGTGGGCATGTCTATTATCGCTGTTTTCAACTTGTCTCATAGGAGAGGAAGGTCTAGCACCTCTTGGGGTCCTTGTTTTCATATAGTCCAACTTCTCATCATTAGGTTTTGAAAAAGCATCTGTGGGATGAGCTCTAGGGGATACATTGTTCAAAGCCTTTGTTGGTGAGAATGAAACCGGATCATCGAGCATCATATCTGCTTTCTTGTCAGCTGACTTTGGAGTTCTTGCTGGCGACCTCATTGGAATGTCAAGGGTATCCGTCGTACCAAACGTCAAGTCATCAAGCTTAGCCTCCCCAGACACAGAGAGTGTAGACCCTGGGCTCGAATAGTTTAAAGGCTCACAAGCTAGCGGGACTTCTGGTAACGACTTATCCATTGTTGATGTCCTGTTGGTTGCATTCTTCTGGCTATTCCTCTTCTTCTTCTCGTGCTCGTGCTGTCTTTTTCTCTCCAACAGCTTCTCGTGGCACGACATACAAAACAAGCCCTTTGACGTTCTGGCATACTTCAGGTCCTCGATCCTCTTCTTACAATTGCGACAACAGAAACACGTAGAACAGTATGCTTGATCTCCAGTCAATATTGCCAAATCGTCAATCTTCTTGCCACATGCGTTACAAGCGTATGAGCAATCGGAGCAGATCAAGTCGCCGGTACCCAACACCAGGAAGTTCGAGCTGGTGCCCAATAGCTTTGTACATTTGGAGCAGCTGAAACAGTACATGTGCCATCTATCACCCCCAAGCTCATACGCGTGCCCTTCACTTATGGGCAGGTTACACCGCCTGCAGAGATGTGTCTCGCTATCGTCATCGATGAACGACGACTCCTCGAGCGCTTCTGCCATTGGTGTCGAGATATGTTTCGTAACAGATGTAAAGGGGTATACGGAGCGCTCTAATCAGTGGAGATGGTCCGCGTGTGTAATTCTTGATTGACAATGACGAATACAACAAAACACCGTCCAGGCTTGCTATTATAGTCGTGGAGGGAATGCACTCAAACACAGCTCTGTGTTGCTTCTTTGCTACTATCCCTTGCAAATTTCACAACCACCAGTGTCCTCTTTCTATTCCCACCAGTGAGATGTGGTAAGTGAATATCTCTGTCTGACTAGAGAATGGAGCCAGGGCGTAAAATCTCACTCTCCTGGGAGTTCCAACGAAAGAGAGGAGGGCAAAAAAAAAAATGGATCCAAATTTGGTACCTGAAGTCACCTGTACGAAATTAGGGGAAATGTGGAAGAAAGAAAAAAAGGCGGTAGATCCGAACTTTTGGTAGCAGGTCGGAATTTCATTTCAGATTCCAAGGTGGTTTTTGCAGATCAACACGCATTTTTGGAGGGAGAAGTGTGCATTCAAAGATAACGGAAGTGCTGTTTCTGTTGAGCAAAGAGTGTAGTGTCGTGTTTGAGATATACCAAGGGCTCTATGGTTGTTCAATTAGGGCAGAGATTTGCCCTAATTGAGTGGGTACGTTGTATTTTTGAATTGCCGTAAAGGGAAATGTTATTATTAGACAGTTCTGTGAGCTTTTCGCCATTTTCGCGTTGGCAAGGAAGCGCCAACGCGAAAACGGGACCAAGTCGAGACACTGGTGCGTCACTGCCCACCAAATAATGAGACTGTTGGTGTTTCATTTGCGCAGTGGGAATGACTGGATGGCTGTCAAAGTTGTCATTAGCGTGTGCATGTTGTGGTTTTCGTCGCTAAAGAAGTGGTATCGGTGTTGTACATTGCCCTCGTCTTACCACCAGTTGCAAGTGTACATCTCGACGTTGTCCTGGTAATCATGTAATAGGCTCGCACTGATTGAAATGCAAAAATGAAAAAGGGAAAGTCTCCTAAAACTGAAAGTACTGATAACAAGTAGCGGCATGCTCTCCAAAAGATGAAATTGCATGGAATATTTACATTCTGGGTTGGCAAAAGTAGAGCATCGGAAGGAGAAGAGAAACTTGAAAGCCCCGGTGATTCATAGAGGAAATCTGAAGTTCCGAAACAAAACGTAGGATCATGCATGAATGCCGCTCTAAGTGCGTAAAAGATCGGGTAATATGCATGTTTATGTACGTAATTTACAGAGCAGAGCATCCATCTGCCGCTTTTGCATTTATTGTCTAGTTATTGGCCATTCAATGTTGCACAATACACATTCAAATGGGAATAAGATAGAACATGTTGTGGAGAAGATTGGTTGAATATCATTCTTGGAGTGGTCTTCCTTTAGGGATAAGCTAGTGAATATCGGCAGTCTCTTGGTTGGCATGCGTAAGACTGCACAGTTACAAAAGAATACAGGAACTTGAATGCATTCAAGATCGGAGTGTAGTTCAAGGTTCAACAAGATAAAGGAACCGTAGACAACTGCACACTTACTGGAACTTCATTAACAAGGGTCTTCGTGAGATTGTGATTGTTGTGCAACGCTACGGAGTGATATGGGAGGCTCGTCGCGTAGAAGTCGAGGAGAAAGGTCAATGATGTAGATACAGTTTCATTCAAGATCTGACTTAGCCAGCTTCGACGCATTAAGAGTTAATACGTTAATGATTATGAAGTGGTAAATACTGTTCTGTATGAATTGCGTCGATATAATTCAGTCTATGAATTGACGTACGTGATAAGTCACGTACTATAACTCACAAAGAGTTCGAGGACGTACAAGACAACATGGTAGAGGAGGCTATGATGACTCAAATACTATTGTTCTTGGAGTTCTCTACATAATCACATATGAATACTCCTACAAGTGTCTGATGACTGCGAACTTGAAGAGATCACCATCAAAATAGATCAAGCAAACTTTCAACACAAGTCATTATAACAAACGACAGTCACTTATGAACAACGCACAGCTTACACAATGAAGCATTCACACTGCACGGAGCTACTCATCACAACAAACAGAGATGGCTCAGTCTGTATGAAGGAAGGATCTAAGAGGTTTCTGTAGATATCAGCCATGCAGCAGAAGAGATATTCCGGGGACTTACACCTCGGATCATCCAGAGAAGCTTCGCGAATTTCTCTGACACTGCTAAATAGATTCCAATGAACATGGTTGAACCCGCTAACAGCTCGACCACTTTTAACCTCTTGAAAGACCATATATACATCATGTCAGAAGCTGGTGAAGAACAAGCTGTCTCCGCTCCATCACAATTTTTGTCCGAAATTACAGGATCAAAAGTCATCGTCAAGTTATATTCCGGTGAAGAGTACCACGGTAAGTTATTACGTGAAAGAGAAGCTGAACGCTGAAAGTATTCAGAGCCCAGTACTAACACCTCCTAGGAAACCTTGATAGCATTGATGGCTATATGAACGTTGCACTGGAGGAGGCTGAGGAGTACGTCGGTGGACAAATAACGAACAAATACGGTGATGTGTTCATCCGTGCAAACAATGGTGAGTGGACCCGAATCCAAGTAAAACCTGTACTTTGCTTTATGGTGAATACTAACAAATCTAGTTCTCTACATATCACAGGAGTGAAGATATATTTAATAGACTTGCTTCCCTTTTGCTTAAACCATTCGTAGCATCACCCAGACCCTGTCTCCCAACCACCAAACCAATATGCCGAGATATGCTATACACTGATGTAGACGATAGCATTTCCGAATTCGGCAGTCTGCATAACTCTCAACTACCACCTCACCAGGCACTTATGCCTCGCCAATTGGAGGTCTCCGCGGTTTGGTGGGAAAAATTAAACGTCCACAAGCAAAACGAAAACACACCTCTTTGCCTGAGAGGAAGAGTAGTAAACAGAGAATTCAACAATGTCCTTCATCATCAGACGTCAATTGTCCACTTTGATTCCACCAAAGATCGCCTCTGCTAAGGTAAGTTGCTCAATCGCCGTTCTTCCGTGATGCTTTGCACGTTGTTGCCCAAGAGAGGTGTTTACTCCTTTAAATTTCGGAAGGTTCATGGGATCCAAGGAAACTAACACAGGCATCCATGTTTAGGCCATCGGTTCCAACCCAGCTGCTAAGAGACTGGCTTCTGTTGTTGAGTTCTACAAGACTTTGCCACAAGGTCCAGCCCCAGCCGTCAAGCCAACCGGTTTGATTGGTCGTTACAAAGCTAAGTTCTTTGACGGTGACAACGCTACCGGTAAGCCATTGGTTCACTTGGCTGCTTTCGTCTTGGTCTTTGGTTACTCCTTGGAGTACTACTTCCACTTGCGTCACCACAAGGACGGCGAGCACCACTAAACGCTCCCTCCTTCTCCGTGTGGACTTGATATTCAACAAATTAAGGAACAAAAGAAACAGAAATGCCGCTAGTTCTTATACCGCAACGTGACCCTGTCTCTCGAGCTGAGGTCCATCATGTTTTGGTGTATGAAATGTACGACAACGATTTAAAACTAAAGAAATGAAACTTAGAATGGAATTATATATCACTTCAATTCCAAAGGGTTCTTATGACATATATATAACACAGGAAAACAACAGACACGTAGACGTTCTATGATCACAGTGCTTCTAATTGGTCTTTAAACTTGCTCAGCTTTTCATCCTGTGTTGAATTGTCCTCGATGATCTCTAGCATATCACTGACTCTAGGAACTTTCCATCTATGCTTATCATGACTCTGGCCAAATGCCAGTTCAAAGCTGTCTAGAGTCTGCCAATCTCTCCAATTCGTGTGATCCTTTGGTAACTCTAGTCCCTTCAGTCCAGGTGCGTCGCGTCTGATAGCACCAGACTCGTAATCCTTCATTATAGCTTCTGTCACAGCGTTGGAATCCACAAGAGCATTCAAGATTGGACCCTTCTTAGCATTTTTAATCCAACCAGAGGCGTACAATCCTGGGATGACCTCGTTGGTGTTGTCCAGCACTCTTGAGCTGTCGTTAACAATGACACCTCTGCGCTTGTCAAACTGTATACCTAGCTCTTCAAATCCGTTCAATGAGGATCCTTTGAATCCCAAACTCGTAATGACAAGGTCGGTCTTGATCGTCTCGTAGTTATTTGGAATATGCTGCACTTGAACTGGTCCCTCAGGTGAGTCTTGGTGCAATCTATTCTTCTGGAACACGATCTCAGACACCAAGGAGGTATCCTTATCATTGGACTTTATCTCTATAGGGGAAAGAAGGTAATCTAATGACCACGACTTTCTAACATCCGACGGAACGACGTACTTGAGCTTGCCCTTTCTTTCAGAAGCCGGTTTCATATACTCAAGAACAGTTGTTAATTTCCTCTTCTGTACCCTCTCCAGCTTCTTCTGCAAAGGCAACAGAGTCTCAACAATCTGCTGATCTATTCCGTCAAATTTAACACCGTACTGCTCCAGTTGAAGCAATTCTCTGATCTCCTTAGTAGTGAAGGCACTTTCAACAAACCCTCTACGAGCAACAATGCGAATGTTCTTCACTGTGCTCTTCTTCAGCAAGCTCACAGCATGGCTAGCAATGTCGGTGTGTTCTAAGTCTTCCACAGGCATCAGCAAGATACGAGCAATGTCCATCGCCACGTTACCATTACCAATGATCACAACGTTCTCAACTCTGTCCAGTGGAGGTGCACCTGTGTTCCAAATATTAGGATTACCATTGTACCAGGCAACAAACTCGTGTGCATTGATAACACCGGCACTGTCTTCGCCTTTGATCCCCAATTTATTGCCTTGGTCACACCCATATGCAAATACCACGCCGTTAAAGCTCTTCTGAAGATGTTCAATAGAGACATCCTTACCAACTTCAACGTTCCCAACAAACTCGAACAGGTCGTTCTCTGCAGCCTCTGTGAACGTCTCCTCGCAATTCTTCACCTCCGGGTGGTCTGGTGCAACACCATATCTCGAAAGTCCAAATGGTGTTGGTAACTTCTCAAACATGGTGACCTGTACATTAGGTTTCTTCAGCAGATCGTGAGCAGTGTAGAACCCGGAAGGACCAGAGCCCACTATCGCAACTTTCAATGTGGACTGGAGTCTACGAAGAGACACACCTCCAAGCTGAATTCTGGGCCTGATCATTGATGTGATGGTGTCGTGGTTCTAACTACGTGAATGGCTAAAGGGAAATATCATGCTAATGTGGTTTTTATACCTTACGGGTCCGGAGCGATGAGATCTCCGTGCGCGGACTTCACAGAGGACAAGATGGAGGTAATGAAAGAGGATGGCTTCGTAATGGCATATACAACTATGATAGATCACACTGAGTATTGTGCTCTAATTGCGTCAGTATTCCATATACAGACATACACACAGTACTCTTGTATAGTCCTAAGATAAACGATGACAGGCATGCTCAACTTGATCAACAAGCCTAGCCATAGTAGTTTGGGCATCTTGTCTCGTTGTGTACAGATGAGCACTTCACACTGCACACCCTGGCAAAGCACCTTACACAGCTTCCGGGAGCGTTATCACCACAGATGGAGCATAGCTTCTTGTTAGCAACAACTAGCATGGTGTTCTTCTTCCTACTGACTTTGTTGAACAAGATGGTTGCAAATCTCTCATCCTCATCCAGATAATTCGCAAGTCCTCTTCTAGACGTGAGCACTTTCCTGACGTGTTGCATTGCACTCTGCTTCTGCTTCATTTTAGGGTACTTCTGCTTGACCTGCGGGTACCGTGGGTAGTCAAATTTGAAGCCAACCTTGGGGAGATCTATACGGGCATTCTCGTTGTAGTTCTCCCTATCAAGCTCGTTGAACCGCTTGATGGAGTTCTTAGCCTCCACGAGGTCCTCTGTCAGCGCAGTCCCGTGAACGTTGGACTCTATGGTGGCCAAATTGTAGGAGCCAGGTGCTAATCTCTTACGGTTTTTACTCTCCTGTGTGGCCAACTTGTGCTTGGATCTCGACGGCGCCGAAACTGATGATGTGAAATAGACATCTTTGTTGTAGTACGCTGGGATGATCTCCTCTACAAACGACATCGCCCTCTCTGTCCTCGATGCTCCGTAACAACGTGATCAACAGCGTGGTGAGCTTCATCAAAACAACAGAAGCTCGGTCTAGAAACCAAGTTGGTGTCTGGGTGGTGTCCGGGTGGTGTCCGGGTGGTGCTTTGCCTATGTATAGCACAGCACTGGTCTACAACATTGAACTTATATCATCTCCATAATCCGTTGTATCGAATCTATATACGTAATCCATCTGTTCAGGCAACGATGGCATGAGCAGCATCTCTGGACTTTTGAATCAACAAGTTGTCAGCAAGGACAAGAGCAGCCATGGCCTCGACGATTGGGATGGCTCTTGGAGTGACATTTGGGTCATGACGGCCTCTGGCAGCAAGCACACCTTTCTTACCATCATAGGTTGCAGTGGCTTGTTCCTTGGAGATTGTTGCCACAGATTTAAAGGCAACAGAGAAGTAGATGTTTTCACCGTTGGAGATACCACCTTGGATACCACCGGAGTTGTTAGTCTTTGTTCTCAATCTGTTTGTCTCTTCGTCAAAGTAGAAGGCGTCGTTGTGCTTGGATCCTGGGATTTCGACACCAGCAAAGCCGGAACCGATCTCAAAACCCTTTGTGGCTGGGAGGGACAGCATAGCGTGTGCCAATTGCGCTTCAAGCTTGTCAAAGACTGGCTCACCAAGACCGATAGGAACGTTACGAATTACACATGTGACAACACCACCGATGGAATCCTTTGAATCTCTAGCGTCTTCAACTGCCTTGGTCATGGCATCAGCAACAGTTGGGTCTGGACAACGGATTGGGCCAGCAGCGTCTACCTGTTCTCTGGTAACTGTGTTCAAAAGCTCAATGAATTTTGGATCCTGTGCGTCTCTGTTGATCTTCACAGAACCAACTTGGGAGACAAACGCAACAATCTCAACGTTGTTGGCCTTCTTCAAGAACTTCTCAGCAATCGCACCAGCAGCGACTCTACCAATGGTTTCTCTTGCTGAAGAACGACCACCACCAGATGCGGCCTTGATACCATATTTGCACAAATAGGTGTAGTCCGCATGTGAAGGTCTTGGGTAGAGATCAGTTTCAGAATAATCGTGTGGTCTCTGATCCTCGTTAGCCACAAGCATACCAATTGGAGTACCTAGGGTTTTACCCTTCTCGGTACCACTTTGAATGAACACCCTGTCCTTTTCGTTTCTTGGAGTTGTGAGCTTTGATTGACCAGGTCTTCTTCTTGTAAGCTGAGGTTGAATGTCATCCTCGGTCAGCTCAAGACCCGGTGGAACACCGTCAACAATACATCCCACTGATTTACAGTGAGATTCACCATAAGTAGTCACCTTGAACAATGTACCAAACGAGGACATAGTGGTAAAAAGCTATTTTTGTTTATATTTAGTAGGCCCTCTTTATGAGTCAAAGAATGTCAAAAGCTCTCGTCCGCAGCTCGAAAAGTTTCGACTCATCGGGCTCAGAAAGAAAATTTCATGGCCACGACGACGTGCTGAGGATTCCACACCCAGACACCTAATAACCCTTACACCAAATAATAACCCCATGATTTTGGCAGAGGAAGACGTGAAGAAGCACTGTCTCCTCTGATTCTTTTTAATGTCTATTAAGTGTTTTTATAGAAGAGTCTATCACATTCACATTTGACAGGTTACAATTTCCATGCGAGTGGCGATATGTCTATGTTATCATGGGTGTTTTGCAATGACCAGAGAGTAGGAATTGTGGTTTGAAGTTCAACAGGCTTGGAGCCTGATCTTAACATCTTGACACATTTGCTAACGATGTTTATAGGTATTGACAATGTAAAGTTTGCCATCACTTCTCCATTTGATAACTTACCGTTAGAAGTCATGATACCTACTAGCTCACCTTTGGTGTTGAACAATCCACCACCGGACGATCCATTCCAACAAGCTGCAGACACAATCATCATAGTCATTTCCAAGTGAGCAAGGTCCTCCAAGTGTCTAGTGATTATCTTGTTGATATGCCCTTCATTCACAAATGGCTTCAAATCGCTTGTGTCATCGTTGAAAAGTAACCCGTACCCAATCGACATCACCGGCATGCCGACTTGTAAGGACAGCATCTCTGAAGCATAACTGTCACATAACTTTGCCGGTCTCATTGTAGCCAGTGGCTTTTGAAGTTGAAGGAAGCAGAGGTCAAATCCAACAAGTGGACAGGAAACGATTTTAACGTCAGATAGTTTCAACAGCACCTTAGAGCTGTAAGGTGCGGAAATTGTAAGATCGTTAATCGTTGAATGCTCCTCAACAACGTGTTTATTTGTAACAATTAGGTCATTGCTAATGATCACACCGCTTCCCCAAAAGCAACCATCTGATGAGTTCACGGATATACGAACCACAGATGCCAGTGGATCATACCAGCCCTTGGACATTGCTTCCTGTGTGGTTAATGCTTGTTCCACTTTCGGTGATGAGAAGTTAAAGCTCCGATATCTAAGCAATCCAAAAATGGTATCCCAAGATGCGATAACTAGAATTTCACCATCTCCGTTCGTCTTGGACAAAGCACCTGCAACTAACCCCAGGCACGATGAAGTGGAATCCATGGTCACTGCTGATCCAATTGTATCATCAAGGTACTTGACATCACTGAAGTACAGTTGACCGGTTTTGGTCTTGTAGTTGACGCTCCCGAAGAGCTTGTGGTTAATGAACAAGGCTGTGTTCGTCAAGCTAAATGGACAACAATCTATTGTGATCTTTGTTGGGATGGGGACAAGCGATGACTGTTTGAATGCAAACGGCTTCAACAGGTTAACGTCAAACAACTGTTTGACAGAGATATCCTCCCGTAGCCGCTCTGGCACTTTCAGATGAAGAACTGATAGCCGCTCGCTCGGGGACGGTTTCAACTTGAAGGTATTGTTCTTTTCGAATCCTTTCAACAACGAGTAAAAGCTCTGTTCCTGTGTCCCATCGTTATCCTCCTGGAAGTAACGCACATCGACAAGCTCCAAAGGCACCCAACTAACAGATGAACTGTCTATCAAGAGCGGAGCTGTGAGCTTATACGACTGCCTCTCGGGGAACGTCACGTCGCATATCGTAAGCACATAGTGCTCGCTGGACTGGCCATTGAATAGGAGCACACCACTGCACGCAGACTTCACCTTGTTGCACACCAAGTGGATCGCAACCGGCGTATAATACCACAACGACATAGATCAATCAGCAAACGCTCTTTGAAATGCACCTAGCGCTAAAACAAATACGCAAGATTGGAAGAGGCCACCGTCCAAATTGTACAAACGATATGATAAGAAAGCAAAATGTCTAGCAGGGGGCGCAAGTTATAGGCAGAAAGACAACGATCGACAGAGGTGTCTGCTTGAAAGTCCTCGATGTTTATCCAGTATGTGAAGATCTAAATGCGCTCACGGAAGAATCCACAGGCCTTTAAACCGCCCTTATAATCGATCATCAGAAAAGCGACCTTACAAATCTCCACAAAAACCGCTGCAGAAATCAAGAAAACCGAAGAAACCATGACGTCTCACCAGGAGTCAAAAGGCTGGGGGAATTTTTCTTGTTCCCTTTGAGGCAAAGTTATCCAAGCAGCGCTGGATTGTGGACATTTTGTCCCAGTTCGGAAGTTGCCCTTTCGGATGTTTATTTGTCCTTTTTTGGTTTTTGTCCTTGTTCGTGGGGACATTCTGTGGTGGGGACATTCTGTGATGGGGACATTCTGAGACCGGAATAACTCTTAACGGAGCTTTTCCGTTATACCGATCTTTGCTATAAACGGTGAATTGATAGCTGCGAGTATCATATACAACGACAGGTAAGGAGACAGAAGGAGCTACAACAATGCCGTTAGAAACCCAGGGGCCATTCGAGGATGAGCCCTCTTCGTTCCGTACACTTCTCCAGTCGGCAAGGGAAGAGGCGCTGAATACCACCAGAACCGTGGTGGATGTCTGGAATAGACAACCGTGGTGGAGTAAAATCATCGCAGTGATATTGGCATGTTGTGGCAGTGTTGCGGGTGTGCTATTTCTGATATACCACAAGTATCTCTTACACAAGGTGGCCGAGTACTCGGAGATATGGGCTGAAATACCATGGTTGCCCTTTGCGCTGATGGGTGCGCTCTTCATTATCTCATTCCCACCAGTGATTGGTTTCAGCTTTGTCAACACCGTCGTGGGTGCGGTTTATGGAATCACACTCAAAGGCTGGTTAATCATCGTTGCTGGATCTATATCGGGCTCGGTGGCTGCTTTCGTTCTATTCAGATACGTCTTGAAAGCCAGAGCAAAGGCCATAATCAACCGCAATAAGAAACTACTTGCGTTATCTTCAGTGCTGCAAGATAACAATAGCTTTTGGCTCTTAGCCTTGATACGAGTATGCCCATTCCCATACTCCCTGTGTAACGGTGCATTGGCTGCAATTCCGGGCGTAACCCTGCTCAATTACTTCTTGGGAAGTTTCATAAGCTCCCCAAAACTTGTCATGTACCTGTTTGTTGGGCAGAAGCTCAAGGATATTGGTCAGACAACAAATACTTGGTCAATTGTATTGGATGTTTTATCAATTGTCCTGACAGTTTCGGTATTAACCTTGACTGGATGGCTATTGTTCACAAAGACTGCAAACAGAATAAAGGAATTGGAGTACAGTGCCATTGGTAGAACGGAGGATGAGTTGGAGAGACAAGTGGGTTACGATGATGTTGACGATACTGATGTTCTGAGCTTACATACACAGCCAGAAATTCATGATAGCGATGATAGTTACGATATATAGACAGTGTTTACCAAGGATGGAGTTAATACTGTCTGAAGTGCTTTGTTTTCCATTGGACAAACAGTTGTAATAATAGGTTGGGCTTTCGTTATAGAGGGTAAATTATATTCGTAGCTTCATAAACAGCACCAGTCGGAATGAACAATTGCATGATTATGAGCTCTATTTGCTAAGCGACAACTGGTCAGCAACTTTCACTGGATCCGTATCATCATCCATTTGGGAATCGTACGATGGAGACGCTGTATCATTCCTGGACAAGAACAATCCGTCTGAGTCGTCAATGTTATTATACTTTGTAGACTTTGCACCACTTGGTCCAAGGAAAAGGTGATCAGAGCTGCTAGACGTTGACATGATAAAATTGGAACTTCTGCTAGCGATCAAAGATCTCGTTCCACCTCTTTTTGTTGGAGATTCCCCTTGTTGAACAAAATATTCATCTCTACCCCTAGTAGCTGCTGGTGAAGTGGCTTCAGATGTTGGAACAGCAAATGATTTAGGATAAAAGAAACTCCCTTCATTTTCGTTGCTTGCAGAGTATGATCTATGGAACCGATTTACTGGGGTCGTCAACCTTTTGGTGGGTGAAGTCGTGACGCTTATATGTGACTGGACATGTCTCAATGTCTTCAAACGACCCAGTGTCAGAGTCTCAGATCGATGACGGACATGATTCTTGCTGTTCGTCTTGGTCTGTTCAGACTTGGCCTTTAAAAGCTTTGATGAGTCGCTAAAGCTGTTCTTGTTCACCAAGGTCAGATGAGATGTTAAGTCTTTAAAGTTTCTGCTCTTGAGCTTGTTAATTGCACGATCCAGTGCAAATTCTAACCCACAATGGTTACTTATGATGGAGACTTTTGGCCAAGTTGCCCTAGCACCTTTCAAAGTTATTTCAAGCAAATATTCAGGGGATGGATTTGTGAGCATCTTGTTGAGTCTAGTAACCTCTGACAAATCCGGTAATATGGTTATATCACCAGTATATTGTTGTGAAAGCATAGAACGAAACTTCGTACACCAATTTCTTGAAATTCCAATCTCAGCAGACATTTCCAAGTAGTGTGATACTTCCGCAGACCAAACACCATATAATTGACTAAGTTTAGTCTTCAGAATAGCACTGTAACCTGGTTCAACTTCACCACCAACACAGCTGACTGATAGCTTCAAAAATGGCACAACATGAGGGTTCACTTGACACGCAATGATATGGTCAACGTTGAACATCTCGGATAATCTTGCGATAGGGAGGTCATTATACACTGAGCCATCGACAAACTTAATAGAAGAATGGTTCCATTCCTGCGTTGCACCAGTCTTGGGATTCTTTTCGTAGATAGTGGAAGATGGGAACATTCCAGGAAGCGAGCAAGATGCACAAACAGCTGACCAGATCAGAACCGACGGCGCAGTTAAGTAGTTCAATAAGCGTGGATGTTCATGCACACTGGCAGGTGAGACCGTGATATTCAGTATTTTACCAGTTCTGTAATAGGCCTCTCTAAAAGTGAGGTCACCTAAAAAGTCAACCATTGTTTCCCTCAACTTTTGACTATCAAACCAAGTTCCATATTTGAATAGTCTGGACAAGCATCTGAGGAAACCCTCTTTGCTTGTAACGTCATCAAATATATCGAAGTTCTTTTCCACAATGGTTCCGATAAGCTCAACAAGTTCGGTTTTATTGTGGACACATAAGATGCTGGCCACTATAGCACCAGCTGAGCTTCCTGACACTATTCTCGGTAAGGATTCCGTCTCTAATAGCGAAGCTAAGACACCAATGTGGAACATACCAAAGCATCCACCGCCAGACAACACTAACGCAGTTCTTCCAATGTTTTTTCTCGTTTGCGTAAGCATTCCAAGAACATACTTATCTTCAATACCGTTATCCTCAGCGGTGACCATATCGAGCGCAAGTTGGCATTCATGCAGGTATTCCTCAATTAAAACCTTTGTTCCTATATGTGAGTGACGATAGAGGTTCTCATTCCCGATATTTCCAACATTTCTGGACCAGGTTGTACGTATAAGGTAGATCAGTGTCTTGATATCACCAGATTCCCTAGCATGGCGCAGGTCCATCAAATTCTTTTCAACGAGTTCCCAATCGTATAGTGTTGATTTCTTCTCCTGTTTCCAAACATTCAAGTTTTGTAGCTCATCCAGCTCCTTACAAGCAGATAGCCACTGTTCGTATGATACTGCTGTTTTCTTTTGTATAAGAAGCTTTTCGACCCGTTCCTTATCCGTGAAATCCTGTTTACCGGTACGGTACACCAACTCTGCCAGTCCACAAGCTGTGGATGAGACCAAATGCTGCACTGAGCTCCAGAATGATGCAATTTCGTCCGTCGAGTCGTTTTTCAACGCGTCTGCTGACTGTGAAGATAATAATGACGCGTCCTTATGGGTATTCTTGTACTTGTTAACAAGCGACTCTGTTATCGAGCTCATCGTTCCCTCGTTGTATGGTAAGCCCTAAAACACTATGGACTTATAAGCTTGTGTCCACTTTATAACTTCAACTTCAAAAAAGCAATTATCCCAGAGCTGATTAGGTTGGAATCTGTTTCTCCTGAAACCTACGAGCCCTAATACGTAAACCTTCTGTGCGCTACAAAATGTGTCACACGTTCTTGCTCGAGAAGCCTTTTTGAGGGGCCCGGTATAGGGCCCTGCTGCTTTCCGTCGTTCTCCTTCTCCACATCTCATCGCCAAAATGCCGAGACTACCTAAAATATTCCGACTGGAAGACATCCGGACATATATACATCCGGACACCACTTTTGGGCCTGGGGCACACACAGATCACTGCTCTACTTTATTACGTCATAAGTCTATGTTGATTGGGTTGATGGAAATGGACGGTGTACTTGAGAGCGAATAAATTCAGTTGCGTGGTCTGTGTCAATGATTGGATCGGGAACTGGTGTATAGTTTGGTAAGTAGATAGGGATTCTGTTGCGTGGATAGGATAGTCTTATGTTTTCCTGATTTACAGTCCATTAAAGAAGGCTATGGTGATATGCTTACTAGGAAGGTTACATATTCACAGTGCGGAGTCTGTGCTTCGCCGACTTGCACAAAGACATGTGTATATATGCGCAGTAATGGCTATACCAAGTCGTACATCCCAAGCACGTATGACAACATCCTTGTCCATGCTGGGGGCTGAGTGTCATGGCCATTCAGATGTACTTTTTATCGCTTTCGGGCCCTCGACACGCTCAATTCGGATTTGTCCTAACATACTGGGCTGGCTCAAGCCTTCTTCCAAGCCTTCCTCCAAGCCTACCTTCCAAGATTGTATTCAATAACAGGCCTCTGCGTATCAATGTTGACCTCCGAATCATCAGCAGACCAATCTGGGCGTCGCACCCTCATCTTGTGGACTGTAAACATATCATAACTGTACTATTCAATGGTGAGACTTGCCTGCGCCGGCAGGTCAGACCAAGACACACCAATGCCAGAAAGGCAAGCTCAAACAATTGTTCACTCATAATCGACATAAACTGACTACAAACGCGAGAACACGTACAAGCCAACTAACATAATCCCGACTAACTGCCTTCTGTCTACAAAGTCTCTCTCTCAAAATCGACTCCTACGCCCGTATTTGTTGCCTTAAACTTGCGTACTCTCTCTCTCATGCGCACGCACTACGCGTGGTGAAAGTTTTCAGTTGACCGACGCGTCGCTCTTGAAAAGCGCTGCGAAATTTTATCGGCGCAGTGCGCCATGGTCTTTTTTTTTTTCTTTTTTTGTCTCTTTGTGTTTATTTGTCCAAACCAAAGAAGAGCCCATCGGTATTAATTCCCAGGTTTGTTGTGTAAACAAAGGCTCATAAAGGAAGATACTTTGTGGGAACTACGCTGTGGAAGTCATTGTGTTGATATTGTACGTTGGTGAATCGATTTCTTTAGAAGTTAGAGAAGAAGAAATAGCATAGAGTGTGTATGTACAATGGCATCCCAAGGACACTCCAAACAGCCATCTTACTTTAAGACACTACCAGAGGATATCATTCGATCCCCAGCAGGTGTGTCCTGGATCCCAAACTCACGGTTCCCAACTATTGCCCCAATCAATGCGTCCACCTATAAGAGTGTGTACGAGAGAGCAGGGTTTGATGTCTACAAACCGCCGGTGCATCAACATGGCCGTCGTCAAGCGGGAGTGCAAGACTCGAGGTCGGTATCGATGTCGCAAATCACAAGTCCCAAACAGCCGGGTACGAAATTCACTCAGTTCTCCAATAAGAGCGATGGTGTGTTTGGAAACTCTGCCCGTACGAATGTTCGGTCAGTGACGAGTCCTGTACAATCGTCACTCACCCCATTGCCCTCTCCAGGGAATACTCCAACAAATTCAAAGTTTCCAGAGTCCGCACAGCTGAAAACATCTCCATCAGAAGACGTATCCAAGCCGACGCAGCTGGAGACACCTGTCTCAACGCCTCAGAATACAACAGCTAACGACTTGACAACGGTTCCTCTAAACGGAACCTCCAGTTACTCCCCAACAAATAATAGGCCTTCTGAGCCAGTGGACGAAGACGAAGAATCACATACTAGCACGTGTGTCTTTGATCCTGAAGTGAAGAGTGAATCAGTGAGTGTGACTTCTGTGAAGGATTTCAAACTTGAAGACGATCCAAGTGTAATCGAAACCGTTGAGGATGATCTAAACTTGACATCGGATGAAGATCAAGATGAATACAAGACTGCAAGTGACGATGAAAGCGAAGATCAGGAGGAACTTGATGACGATCTGAATCTTTCTGATGAAGAATCTTACCCACCATCAATGCAGAGTGCTGTGCTGTCTCCTCTTATTGGACGTGATGATGCTACAAGTGATAAGTCTCTCCCACAGTCGATTGTCTCTTCACCAAAGGATACCCAGAGTGACCTGGTAGAACCTCAAATAACTCAATTTGTGAACCAGGTGCCAACGTTCGACATCAGTCCACCAGAGGTTGAAGACGATTTCAACAATTATCAACCACCTGTGGCGAAATCTTTCAATCGTGATAGTGGTGTATCTAGGGCTGCAAGCTCGATATACTCTGAAGCACCTATGATTTCTGAGTCCCCAGATTTCACCTTTGCCCGTGAACGCATTACTGAAGATGGTTATGAAGACATTGAGGATACCACAACAGCTGCATTTGAAGAAGTTACGAGGGAACTGGATGATTTAACCATGAGTTCTGTTTCATCGAAACTTCGTAATAGTAATAGGACATCGAAGGATCGTTTATCATATCTTTCACAGCTGCAAAAGACCACGAGTGACCTTGATTCAGTACCTCAGTCGCCATTGTTCTCAGACATTCCAAAACGTCATGCGGAGAGCGGTGGATTGTATAGCCGACCACGAGAGAGACCTGATGACACGGTTATAAACAAGGAAGAGGTCAAATATCCACCTGGTGAAGGACCTTGTCGGAAATGTCATCTTGAAATCATCAAGAAGAGAATTTATTCGAAATCTGGAGAACTCAGTGGGCAATGGCACCGTGAATGCTTCACATGTACAGTGTGTGATATTCAATTCAACAAGCAGATTGCGTGTTTTGTGCTGGATGATTTACCTTACTGTGAACATCACTATCATCTAACGAATGGCTCTCTGTGCCAGGTGTGTGATCAAGGTATTGTTGGTCAGTGTCTTGAGGGGGACAATGGTGACCGCTATCATGTTGAATGTCTTAAATGTACCGGATGTGGAAGTCACATTGACCAAGATTACATGACCGTTAACGGGAAAGTATATTGTGAGCCGTGCACAACTGCATTTTTGAACGGACAAGGAACAGAGACGCTTAGATCTAATGATAAGATCGAGAGAAGAAGAACAAGGCTTTACTTCATTTAATCAGTATTCATTGACATTCAATTACTATTACTGGAGGTGCGTTTGTTTATTTAAGGACTAATACATATTCAAAAGAGGAGAACACTGTATATTCTAATATCCTTGTGAGATATAGATGAGACATCGGAATAAAAGTGAAGAAAGAATCGTTAAATTAAAAATTAGTGATATGCAAATGAGTCAGCGAGCGTAGGAGAGAAGAGAATACGGATCAAATCATTATCTGTCGATTCACTTTGGAGTGCCTTTGAAGTAAGGGTGTGCAAGTGCTTCCTTGGCTGTGAGTCTTTCCTGGTGATCATACCTCAATAAATTATCAATTAAATCGATCATGTCATCGTCAGCAAGTTGTCTTGTGTTATCATTGATGAAATGGCTCCATGGTACCCTAGCTGTTGGCTTCAAGACCTGTTTATACTCTTTTGAGAGTTCCAATCCATACTTTTCCATTAAAGCATATAGGTCATCTGTACCTAAGACTGCGACAATCTTCAGCAGTTGGTCAAAGTTAGACTCACCCCGGAAGAAAGGTTCCCTCTTAAACACTATCGCAGCAAGCATACATCCAACAGACCACATGTCCAAGGAATAGTCATACTGGTGTAAATTGACCAACAATTCCGGACCCTTGTGATGTCTTGAGGCCACACGAACGTTGTAGTCTACACCAGGGTGGTAGAACTCCGCAAGCCCCCAGTCGATAAGTCTAAGCTTCTTTTGGAAGGGATCGATCATGATATTCTGAGGTTTAACGTCTCTGTGTATGATTCCCATGGAATGTGCATAGTCCAAAGCGATCAAAAGTTGTGTAAAGTAGTACTGAATATCGGCCTTCTTGAATTTGGAATATAGAGTTCTGTACTCAACGTTCTTCACCTCTTCAAAGATAAAAGCAGGAATCTTTGAATGGCTGTCTCTGACGAGATCTAAGAGCGCAACGATGTTTGGACCACCAGTCAAGTTTTGCAAAATTTTAACCTCTCTGTAGATCTTCTTCATCTTCACCGGCTTGAGAACCTTGATCACACAAGGTTGATTATTCACAATGTTCAGACCTGTAAACACCTCAGAATATTTACCACGTCCAATCTTTGCAATGATCTCATAGTTATAGATATGACCCCATTCAAGCTCAACGCATTCCTCATAGTCCCAATACTCACGGGGCCTCTTCTCATTGGCGTCCGCGTACACTCGGGAAACAGAGTAGACCCTACTCGACTTAGGGAAAGACATATCACACGGCGGTTGGTACTTAGGCTTGTCCTTATCTGAGGTTTGCCTCCCCAGTGTCCGTTTTTACCCAGATGGCTGTCTTGTGCTAATATCCGTTACTTAGGTGGTGAAGGTTTTTTTTGTTTCTTTTTCATAAGGGACCCGGGGGGCTCAGGGCTACTAAATTTTTCCCATTGCCGTAGTTACGAAGATTATCCGTATTTTTCGCCTTTTTTTTTCGGAAGTTGCAAAGAGCGTAAAAAAATGGCGGAAATCGCAAGCCTGTTTGGGAATTTCGTATCACCAACGGTAATTAGTCGTTGTCCATTCAGTGTGAGTGGTGCGCCTGTCGTTTGCTGTGTGCTTGCTGTGTGAACACCAAGATCTCGAAACCAAGGCATAGTGATCACTCACCATGTCTGATCGGTTACTTGTCACCATCAGCGTGCGAAGTGATATTGATTGTGCCTTTGTCAATGCTGGTGATGTCTTCCAAGGTGAGTTTTTGAGTGTGTGAGTGGGTGTTTCCCGTCGTGGCATAAGGTGCCAGGTTTGACTAACAGTATGAACTTTTAAGGCATCCAGATATGGACCACCAGATCCAAGATTGTGAATGATCATATCAAGTCGCTGCAAGGGTGTTGTTCGCTGTGTGGGGTTGTGAATGCGCTGTATACGCCACCATGGGCCATTATTGATAAGCCATACGATGTGTAAGTGTGATTTGTGTATCCTCTCGAACATATAAACTAACACTGTAATACACACAGTTATACCTCTAACGAAGCTTCTCAGTCCATGTTTGAGAGTGTTTTGAACCGCTCGGATGTCTCTGGAGGAATCGCCCATGCTGCACTGCTTGCGAAGCTGAAGGATGATATATACCTTTTATTCTACACAGAGTTTGATCAAGATCAACAGCCCAGGGTACGATGTCTCCTCTTGGATTTATCGCGGCTCAAGATTGATGAGGTTCTAAAGAGGAGAAATGACGTGGAGGGCACCTGCTTTATAGACGAACCGACAAAGGAGGATCTCATGGATTCCCTGCTTCAACAGAGGCTGGATAATTTTAACAGCTTGAGTGCTAGAAGACAGGTTCAATTGACAGTGGAAAAACAGCAGATGAAGCTCCAAGCAATACGGCACAAATTTAGGATGCTCATCACCGATGAGGTGAAACAAAGGATGTGGGATAAACCGAAAAAGGTTCAGAGTGAAGTTGCAGATATGTGTTTAAAAGGTATGAATTTCCGCTTCAAGGGTATTCACTCGATGACAAAGGCCGAAGAAACTGATGTGAAGCTGTGGTTGAGCTCATTTCTTGACCTTCTTGGTGTTAAGGCAAATTAGGCCATGGTCACTACGGGATACCAACGCCGAGCAGCTGAAAGGTGAACTAGTCAGCATCGATGTTCGTCAACATCCCAAAAGAGGAAATAGATGCATGTAAGTAATAACACGAACATCGTTCTACTTCTAATCTCTAATAACTTCCTAAATCACTCACTGCTTCCTTTGGCTTACCGTCGGGCAAAAAAATTTGTTCGTCTGATGATCTACACAGCGTAATATACCTTCCACAGTGGGTCGCATGTTAGACTGATAAGCTTGAAAATTACAATGCATACATGCAACAGTCACTGACAGTAAGTAACCTGAAAGCACTTGACTCATGGTTGTATAATCAATCTCCGGTTGTGGTTACTGCCAATGATTAATTGGACCTTCTTACACCTCTTCCTACCCCAGCTCTAAGGGTTTGCCCTCACAGTCCGATCGACGTTTTGTACCGAGGCCATATGTGACAGGTTTCTTGGTACACATCTGCAACAAGCCCAAACTGGATGTATGACTCAATACACTATAGACCATATGGCGAGAAAATGCCGACCCAATTGGTACACAGCAACACTTTACAGGGATCTGATGGGATGCATAAGGCCATTGAAGCTCACCGTTCGTGTGGTTCATAGTATCAACCACTGCCTAATTTGGCCTTCTATCTTTTGAAATAAGACGTGCATGCATTGGGAAAGATTACCATTTCGGATATCTACGAGCTCTCAGGAATCCCCACTCCGTTTAAAGGATGTTCCATATACAAACCGCCTGCTGCTACTGCAATCGACCAAGGCTAATCAAGTTGGTTGTATCGATGCCTATTGCGTAAGTTCTGCAATGGGCACAGCTTTGATCGACACGGCTATTCCATAACGGTTTCATGCACATCGTTTCCAACAAATTTTGCTATAGGCTCTTCACCATGGCTTAGGCCTTTCATAGAGCGATTAATAATGAACTCCAACACCAATAACTTGGAACATGATGTCTCTGGCTTAATTGACTCAATGTAATTGGCAAAGCTGGATGAAAAAAAAAAGATGATTGTTATTACCTTTTGATTGCCAACACCGTTAATCTCCTTATCTCTTACGCTTATTTTGCATTACATGCATCAACGCCGTATACTCCCGAGTCTCACACTTGCAGGCCCAATACCCTCTCCAATTTAAGAGGTCAATTGAAAACTGCTACTGAAGGAACGACCTACCTACATAAAAGAAGACATACACCCACCAAGCATTCACATCTAACAGCTGACTATGCTTCTTCATGTGTATAAATTGCACACGATATCCCCCTCAATTTCAACGTTTCGAGAGATGCTCATTGGATATCAATTATCACGAGAAGAATGAAGGCCTTTGCATACGGTACACTCTCGTCCACTCTTTTATTGAGCCTTGTCGAGGCTAAAAAGATCTTCATCGACAACGATGGGCTATCACCAACGCAATTGCTCTTCCCATTGGCTGCTGGTCATGAGGTTGTTGGACTCTCCGCCTCTTTTGGCTCATGTTCATTGGTGGACTGTGTTGGTGTTGCATCTGCAATTGTTGAGGACTACAATCTGTCCAGCTGTATCCCATTCCATATTGGTGCTCAACAACCCTTGTTGAGAACTTACGACACTTTCCAGCTGTGGGAAGACCTCTTTGGAGAACTCGTCTGGCAAGGTGGTTGGACTCCCGGTTATGAAGATACATACACTTGGGACAACATCACAAACGTGGATGACATTCCGGGTGCCATTGCTTTGATTAACGCAGTCAAGGAGTACAAAGACACAGATCCCATCACCATTTACATGGCTGGCTTGGGTACCACGGTGGCACAGGCGCTGTCAATCTATCCACAATTGGTCAATGAAACCGCCGGGTTGTACATCATGGGTGGGTATATCGATACACAAATGGCAGCAGCCACTGCAAAGGACTCTATCGTCATTGATATCAACACCGACATCAACTTGATCCAGGACCCAGAAGCGGCCCAGATGGTTCTGACCGCGGGCTGGAAAGAGTTGTACATTGGTGGTAACGTCACTAACTACTTGGTTCCATCTCAGGCCTTGTACAACGAGTTCATCGAAAGAGCCGGTGGATTTGACGTCATTGAAGACACTCCTTACTTGAGCTGGGTCCTCAGCTTACTGGGCACTGGTAACTACTCTGAAAACAACGACCAACAAACCTTGCCCTTCTGGGATGACGTTGTTTCTGCGTACATGTCATGGCCAGAAATGATTCTTGAAAGCAGCGAAGTTTCAGTCGCCGTTGACACTGCTTTCTACTCACCATTCTACGGTAACCTGAGAGTTTGGAACTCCTCCTGGGCACCACCGTCTGGTATCAAGGTTGGAGCTGCTAAAATCATCGATAAAGTTGACAATGACTTCTTCTTTGGCAAACTCCTTGACACTTATTACCAGAACTGGACTCAGTACTGTGAAGTTGGTGGTCCAGTTGAGTTGATCCTGTAACCTCCCTGTCTTTTATTCTAATTCTCATTCGATACCACGTTAATGCTACACCATTCTATAGCTTGACTACACAATAAAACTAGATTTCGTTGTTATTTAATTGGCTCTACCGCGTAGTTGACGTAGTTAATGTTGACGTAGTTAACGCCTATTGCCTGTATGTTTGTCTGTTTTTCTGAGGTTCTCTGGAAGGTTTTTTTTGTATGGTGTGAACCAGCATTTTTCCCGCTTTCTGTTCCTTTCTTCCCTCTTAACAAGCAGTCACAACTATTCTGAAGGCCACTTAACTACGCCAGCTATGTCAGACTTCGAACCTTTGACCTCCACTGTGAAGCCACTCACACAGTCAGTGCTCACTATCCGAATCATCAAGTCCTTTCCGTACCGCAATGTTAAGAACATCATCTTGAAGGACTACGATATTGCACATAAGACTCCGAAGGACTTATTCGAGGACATCATGAAGGAGATCAAGACCGTGGGCGGACTGAGACCTTACAGAAACGTCGAGTATGACACCTTGAAGATCTACACACATGCACATGGCTCGAAAACCATGAATCTGGTGATAAACTTTGAACACGATGACGACTGGACACTAGATCTGAGCTCCACGAGCCATCTCCATGAGCTTGGTGTTGGTGAGTATTGTCTGGCACGTTCTCTAGTTCACGCTACTAACACCTAAAATGTAGATAACGAGACTGAGATCTCGATATTTAACAAGGAGGCTTACGAAGAGTACAAGAAGAATCCAGTAGAGAAGTGGTAGCGTGCCTTGAGCAGCGATTCTCGTTAAACATGTGTATAGTGTTAATTGATAAGGGTATTTTGACCAACAGCATGACGAACATCGCAGAAGGTGTCATTTACATCCACCAGCGTAGGGTTTGTATATTCGATGGTCCGGCGGGTGAACATCTGATGCTGTTGTTTTGGCCGGGAGATGAGGAAGACGCTATAACTTTTTTCCCACGCACAATGGGGACTAAAATCAAAATCAAAATCAAAACAAACCATAGCGGGTAAAACAACAAAGCCAATATATACTCATCGTGTAAAGCATACGAAAGGTCTGCACAAGTCACAATGAACGCTTCTTTGTCAAATCGCACACAGAGTGGACCTAGCGATGTTGTTCATGGTGGTAGAGAATTACTCAGAAACATGATATTCGACACCAGGCGTAAGCTCACTCCCAGTAACTACGTCATTGAGCTTTTCCACGTTATAAACCTTGATACCGACCAGTGGGCCTCGTTTGAGGAAGGGTATGGTTCAAGCTTGGTGGTGCCGATCATTGCGGACTTGTATAATGATAGCCATCAACCTCTCCCGGATAGTTTAACGTTGGACATTATCGTTGTGGATTACGGCATTGCGCTACAGAACGTCACGGTGTCATTTAAAGCTAATACGCCTCCAATACACTTTCAAGACCTGGCTCTGATGAACAATATGAGTATAGCCTTCAAGGAGTCCAAGAATAAGGACAGGGCTATGAAACTTGTAAGAATGACACCAGAAGATGGTATGGAAATCAACAGGTTATTGAAGGTTATCAACAATCCGAATGAAGGAGATAATAAAAGCACTGAAACAACTTTTGATGCAACGCTATTGGGCAATAGATTGGAGAAGAATCCAACGCAAGCAACTGAGCCATTGTTTGTCAGAAGTGACGATGAGAGAGATCAAGAGGCACAACCCGATATTGAGAAGAATACAATCACCTCAATACCTTCCACTGTGAATGCCATCACCATCCCAGTGAATAGAAAGAATGTTATTGATAGTGATGACGAGGTGTTTGAGCTACCATCTTTGGCTGCCATCCAGTCTCCAGAAACCCTTGTCAAGAAGGAAAGAATCGATGCATTTATATTCTCAATGGTTATAGTTTGTGAGGAGTATGGATTCCAAAGGTCCTACGATATGTCATCCTCAGAAAAGTTTTCTGAGGTTGCAGCAAGATTTACGAAAGAACTCACTGCTCACCTTGCAAGATTGTCTAAGTCGAATGACGATTCCTCAAGATTCATATTCAGCTATTTGGACACTCATAACTCGCGTCTTCCAATAAGCGATAACAGTACCGCTGCTATGCTTGGGTCGTTGAGTTGGCTTAATGGGAAACCTCGAATATATGCTGTACTTACGGAGGATAAAATGACGATTCGTATCGGTATCTACGAAGGAGATGACCTCTTTGACAAGGCTGAAGCTGATTTACAAAAAGGTTTATTGTCGCAGAGAGCTGTGTACACGATTAAGTCCATGGTTCCGATGAAAAGAGCATTTTTGAAACACCTCGGTGAGAAGTCTGAGGCTGTTCTAAAGGACTATAACTTCTTCCTTCAACAGGATGGATGCCTTATGCAATTTAGGGCATCACAAACTCCACGGGATATTGGACTACAGCCAGATATCATGGAGGATATCTTCATGGCCAAGAAGAAGACGAAAAACCAGCCTTCGAAAGCTTAGGGTCAAGGCTTAATTGTGCGTTCGTTCATCAGTATAATGCAATCTGATTGTAGAATCCATTAGCCTGCTGGTGGCTGCCCGAATATCACCGCGTCAGGTTTTGGCTGCGTGTCCGGGTGTTACCCTCTGAACGCGTAAATTTTTGGGAATGTCTTCCAGACTTTGTAAACAACAACAATGAAACAACAGCAACGCGGTGATTTAACAGAAGACGCGGAGAAGGATCCACTTGACAACTGATCAAGGACAACAGCTTTCTCTATTCTTGCTTATAATTCAGTTGCTAAGATAACAGCTTTTTGTTGGAACTGCTCTTTGTTTGTTTTGTTTTCAACCATAGCAACTATTCATCGCTTTGGCTATATAACCTCTCTTCAAAAATGAGCGAAGCAGACTCGACTTTAGACGCTACAGAGATCCCACCTGATCAGGAGAAGATCAAGATTGCTGTGAATGGGTTTGAGCAACGGTTGTATTTTGGTATCCGTAAAGGTACCAAGATCAAAAAGGTGTTTCAGCTGTTTGCAAAGAGCGTGGATCTGGACTATCGCACTTTGATTTTCACGTTGGATGGACGTGTGCTACGTGAGACAGACACTCCTACTTCTATTGGACTAGTTGATTCTGATGTCATATTGGTGAAATCAAACTCAGATGGAGGGTTCGCCATTGCTACCACTCTCTAGCCCTGCTCGCTGCTTATCTTTGGGCCACCATCACCGCTACGGGCCCTTGCGGTTTTGTTGCTGTGTTTCATTTGTACTACCATATAAATGAAGGTTGGTTTAGATTGGATGGCGGACCACTCATTTGATGGCCTCGTCATCTTTACCAGATAGTGGGGGGTGTCTTGGAAGTGGGTAAACGGGTGACTTTTGGTGTTGAAGTACACTACAAACTCATGTACGAGTTGCTTCATCCTGATTCGTACCGTTGGTACTCATATAGTGTGATATAAGGCTTTCTTGGCCGTATGTAATCTGAAACAACAAGTTATTCAATGTACAATTACTGATTTGAATGCCTAGTTCTCGGGGGTCCAGAATGACGGGGGTGATAGCTTCACGGACTGCCCGATGTAACTAATACAATTAAAACTGGTCTCATTTGGAGAAACCAACAGATAATCGCAGCACAGTAACACCGCTACACTTGTAACGTCATAGAATAACATCGGAAGAGCGGGTTTTCCACTATAGTACCGCCGTTGAGTTCACAGCGCGTCGCCATGTTGGCTTGTGAGGCACCTACGCTCCCCGTCCCCTCGGCGTGTATCAAACACCCTCACTAAAGACCTACTGCAAGCGCCTACATCGTGTGCTTTGGTCAACGTGTCCACTACAAGAACCAAGCACCAATGCCTCCAGTGCATGTCCACACCACATGCTCACAGATTATACCACACGCTCTCTTCTTGCCCAGATGTTATCTCTCTTCCCAAGGTGGCTGGCACAGAAGTTGACGTGGTCTTTGTCTGTGTGAACTGTGTAGCGTGCACCGGTCCACAGATGGTACGCGCAGCACACCCGGCACACCGATCGCGACGCGTGTAATCAGTTTGCCAAATCGGGAAAGAACTGTTGTCCCCGAACCAAGATCAATCTTCGGATGCATAATCCTGAAACTCTTTTCATATGGGAAGGTTTTTTTTTTGGCTAACCGCCCTTCACTTTTTCCTGGGTTTGCGAAAATCTTTGCAAAAGACGAATACAACTGTCCAGATCTGAACAAGGCATTAGAGCAATCATTTGCATACATTTCCCCCTTTGCTAGCGTTCATTTCCTTCTCCCAGAGTATTTCACCAACAGAGAGCTTCTACAGCATTGTTGCTTGTCCCCCCTGAGCCTCCGACCCTTTCTATTTGATCGCTTCATAGGCTGCGGATTGAGCTTTTTCACAGAGGACATACCCAAAACAGAAAGCATTTTGTTCGTTGTACGTGTGTTTTTCCCTTTTCAGTTGTTTGAGTGAAGCCCTATAAGGACCTCCCTAATTTCACCTTTTGATATTGCAGTCTTGCCAAAGGTGTGCGCGGATTTTTCTCCCATAGTTATTGGAACTGAGGTGTACTCTCATACTCGTGCTTCAGTGACGGTCAAGGAGGTTACTCAATTGAGCCTTGTGTGCCGCTGAATTCAGAAACGCTGTGTGGTCTCGATTTGTGTGTGTCTCTTGTTCGACTCTCTCTCTCCCTCTTTCTCTCCAGCTGATCGCAGCGACTTTGAACCACTATGCCAATGTTATACACCGAATCCGATATCAATCAGGTTGACACGTGAGTATTTTCGTGTCCATAGGACCCCCGTGCCTTTGCTGTTTTGTTGAGCCGCTGTGTACTAACCCCAAATATAGCACGACATCTTCAATGTTTGAAAACGGTGCACTCACTATCAACACCATTCAATCCAGCCCGATGCTTGTTATGACTCCTTCGCCTAAGCGCCGCCGTGGAAGGCCTCCAAAATGTCCTCAGTCGTCCGATAAAAACAGTCCAGCGGCTACCCTCTCAGCAGCGGTTATGAAACAAGGAACACCAAAGGCAAGCGCTCCACTGATGAGGATCTCACCGGTGAAGTCTGAAGGCTCCCCAGTGCAGAGAAGGAAGGTGAACCCTTCGCCAAAGGGCGGTACGCTGCTAATGCTCGATTCGACGCCGACAAAGCCTCGCAAGAATAGCAAGATCTGGAAGAATCATACCAAAGACCAGCCGAAACTTCTGATGGTTTCTACACAAGCACAGCAAAACATCCAGTCATTAACGAGTGATGGCAATGACCTCAGCAGGACAGTATCGGTAAACCCATCACTGCTGTTGTCTTCACCAATCACCACGAATAAGATCAAAGAGATAAACAAGAACAGAATGCCACAGGATTCGGCTCTCACAGATTTGAAATACAAGTGGAAGAGACCTCAAAAGTCATTGACTTCGTCATCTCCAATGACTCCTCAGTCTTCATCCTGTTTCTCCTCAATTATGCAATCTTCGCCTCTATACCATGGCTACTATGTGAATCAGAATTCCAGTCCAAGTACCTCTGTGCTCTGCTCGAGTCCGGTTAAGCTACAAGTCAGACCGATGGAACTTCCTGACGTCAAACCAGTAGATGAAACTGAAGTTCAAAAGATACAGGAATTACCTCTAAACCCTTCAAACTCCCCAATATTGAAACCAAGTGATCCATTACCAAAGATTACGACAGCCAAAACACAGGATTTGAGTCAATACAGAATCAGCATGAGTGTTGATGAAAATGGCCAGGCAAAAGTGACAAAGGTTTTCACTGGAAAACATTCAACTAACACTCACAAAGATTTACCGACATCTCCAAAGCTTTCAAAGAGTCATTCGGCGGACTTCATCCCCAATGCAAAGCTGAATAACGAGTTTTCCATGTTTGTTGAACCATCAAAAGTTACAGATATGTTTAACGAAACCGATTCACATTTGGGATTTGAACTGAACACTCCAAATGCACACCAGACGCCTGTTTATAGCCATGACGAAGATTCATACCAAAAGGCTGAGGACGATGAATTCAAGCAACAGGATGTTTTGATGTCGGATGCTAGAAGTGCACTGATTCAAATGATTCGTCGGAGTACTGTCTAGGGTTGCAAGTGTTTAAAAGGTTTAGTGTTTTGCAATTTTGTTACGATCCTCATGGTTGCAAATAATGTACTAAATGGTTGCTGGTTGGTCCCATGTCTTGGGCAGGGGAGGCTTCTCATATAGGTTTTTAAGTAAATGCTTATCGTATGGTCTACAAATGATATAGTTGAAAAATGAATCTTCCATTCAAAGACACCTAAAGATATCCATAATACTAACAGACGTTTCAACAATTTTCATTTCCAACATTTCCTGAGTCTGGCTGTGAGATCAAAGCAAACCCATTTAGATGTCCTTCTTCAAAGTACCCAAGAAGGCAGCCTTCTCGGCCTTGGTTTGGAATCTACCCTTACCGAACTTAGAGGCAGTGTCGATCCACTTCAAGGTAACCTCCTCCAAAGCTCTTCTGGAGGTTTGAGTGTACAAGGACTTTCTCAAGGTGACAATTCTCTTTCTTGGACCTGGAATAGAACCCTTAAGGATGACAAAGTCGTTCTTGATCTCACCGTATCTGACGAAACCACCCAATGGAGTGATGGTCTTCTTGGTACGGTCGAACTCAGTGGCACCGTTGGCCTCATCATCACCCTTACCAACTCTGTAAACCTTGTGGTTGATAGAGGTTCTGGAGTGGTAACCGTTTTGACCAGCACGAGCAACAGTCCAGTTGACGTGGGCCGGATGCCAAGCACCGATACAAGCAACCTTACGCAAACCTCTGTGAGTCTTACGTGGCAACTTCTTGGTACCCCATCTGTGGGTGACACCCTCGAAACCGTGACCCTTGGTGACAGCAATAACGTCAATGTTCTCGTTTTGCTCAATCACGGAGTCGACAGCAACGGTCTTCTCAAAGTTCTCCTTAGCCCAGTTAACCTTGTCAGCGATGGAACCACCGTTGATTTGGATCTCAGCCAAGTGAGCCTTCTTTTGAGCCAATGGGGTCTTCTTGATTTGAGTGTGAACCAAAACTCTGACAACAGAAGCGTACTTGGTAATTCTGGCCAACTCACGCTCAACTTGTTCAGCGTTTTGGCTGGCGTACTTAGCAGAGTACTTGGTGAAAGCTTTCTTCTTGGACTTGTACCAGTTCTTGTAGAATCTTCTCTTGACCTCGTCAGACAAGTGCTCAGCCCAGACAGTGGTCAAAGATCTCAAACCTCTTGGGGTCTCGACGTAACCGACGACACCGACAACAACAACTGGTGGAGTGTCGACAACGGAAACAGCCTCAACGATCTCACGCTTGTGCATCTTAGAACCTGGACGGTCCAAGTCACGGACAATGGTGGTCATACCAGCCTTGTAACCCAAGAAAGCAGTCAAGTGGACTGGCTTGGACTTATCGTCCTTTGGGAAGGCTTTCACTCTACCTCTGATGGAGGCAGCTCTCTTTCTTGGGAGGAAACCCAAGTGACCGTGACGTGGTGCTTCGTACTTTCTGTGAGACATGTCTGTTGTGTTAGTATTGGATGAGGAACAACAAAAGTGTTTTGGAAGATGGTGAAAAGTTAGTGAAAAAATTCTTTTTGAGTGCGCTTGGGTAAGAGTGAAAAAATTTTCCAAGCGTAATTTTCAGTCTGGCCTGGTATTTACCCAGCAGTAAAAAGTTGTGTGATGTTGCCCGTAATAATTAATCTGCTGAGGTTTTTTTTTTGCATCTTCGCCGCGAATTTCGCTGCATTCGCCGTGTTGGGCTAAATTGTAGAGAACACTATACAGGTTTCCAATTCCTTTCCAATCGTGTGTAACCTACAGCGCTGTGCATTCAGCAGCTTTAGGCTGTTAAGTGTATGGCAACGTTGAAATGGTTATGGCAGTAATTGGCCCAAAAAAGTTTCTCCCAGTATCAATTGAGTTGGAATGTTGAGTTACGACTGGCCTGCCAACACGTCTGTAAGGGTAGTTTGGTGTGACGTTGCGATAGTGCGTAGATATTTTTTGTCGATGCCAGCTTTCACGACTTTTCCCTGTACAGCTGATTCGGAGACAGTTTATCTCACAGAGCTGTTGCAAACGAGAGTCTTCTTCTTCTTCAATGCAACGATAAGGCGATGACTGAAATCTGTGATTCATCCTCAGGAATTATGTCAAAGGATTGAACTGGCCCGTATAGATTAAGCGTCTGTCCCGCCTCTAAGAGAAGCATTCAACTCGTTGAGAACATGTGTTTTATAGAAGCAGCGTCAGACCAGGAGAGAGGTCCTGACATCTTTGGGATTGGGTTTGAGAGGTTAAATGAAGCACCATGGTATGGTGGAGGCATAAGTAAAACACATGGTCGTTTTGATTTCCTCGACCCCTATACAGCATTATTCTGCGGGGACTCAAACATGCGCATTTCAAGATATTGGCAAAGTCTGGTTTGTGAAGTATCGAGTAATGAGCCTCCGCCTGGTGTAGGCAGCACCATTTTTGTCGAGTTCCCCGGGGAAGACTCTCGAAACCCTCATATCAGGTCAACATCAGCTTGTGTCCTTGAATTGTGACTTTAGCCGCAGTTGCAACTATGACGAACGTTTTCCATCTTGCACTTAAATAGTAATCTCTGTTAATGTAGGGGCAGCTTCGTCCGTTCTCTAAATGCTACACCCCATGATACAAACACAACAAATTCAACAAATTCAGACACCCCTCACAAAGTGTCGAATATTGAATCTTGTCTGCTTCAAACCGCTTGACACATCTGTGCGACATGGTCAGATTGGACGCACCCGCTATCTATCCCCCCACACTGCACAAATTTGTCACTGCTAACTCTTACGGGATGGTTCAAGGCCTACGTGTAATTACAGGCCGATCAGTGCCTACTTCTTGCCTATTCTGCTTGAACTACATGTGTGGGTGGTGTGTATACGAGATTTCTGTGTGATGAAACATGATACACTACATAACACGGAAGGATATGTAGATGCACAACTCAAAAATGGTTTTCAAAAGAAAAACTCTTGACCAGGCCTAATATATGCACTCCGCCGCTGATTGGGAGTTCGGCGCCCCACCAGATCCAGTATATAGCCTCTAACTTTAGAAGCCAAAACGACCGAAAAGGCATAAAAAGGGGAAACATGAAGCCATGTGATCGACAAGCTCGAGATACGAGGCAAACCAACTCTAAAGTAAAGGGTGTTTTAGCCATACTCTGGTTTAAGTTCAAGGTTGTTGCCTCGGATGTTTAGGTTTACAGGGTTACTCATCTTTATGTTTTCCTGTTACGAGGGTTGAAAACTGAAACAGCTTGCAATAAAACGAACGCTACCTATCATGCGCCACGAAACAGCCACTAGACACAAGTCGTCACCCATTTTCCCTTAGAGATAGCCGGCTCATTATAGTAATGGCTCACATTTTGTCATTACGCCTCTGGTCACAGAATTTACTAAAGATACTGTCAAAATGCCGCTCAATGATTCTATCCTCCTTATCAATGTGCCACAGTTTCGCAGTTGGATTTTGAAACTTAACAGTGTTTGAGGGTAGGGAGACGTAACAGTGGTGCTACCCCGGGGCACTTTTGCTGTCCATACAAATTCCATCCCGCTTGGAGACTTCTCGTTCAAGCTTCTTGCGCCTGTACAGGAACAACGGCTAGTGCCCCGTGAAATCATACAAAAGTTTTTTTGGGATCACAAGGTCCGCACGAGTGTTTTTTTCTCTATGCATTTTTTATGAAGCTGGGTTTAACAGCGAACTTGACCCTTCCTGTATCCAGCTGTTAACTCCGGGGCGTTAAGAAATCTTTCAATCAGAGAGTGAGTAATTGAGTAGACACGAAAGTGTCCATGGTAATAATATGGATCAATACAACTTGAAGGGTCCAATCCACAGGCAAAACAAGTTGTATCCAATGATACCCATCATTGTGACCTACTACTAATCTAGAGACTAGTTGTTCTTAAATCCAGATTTTAAGTCGTCTACATACATAACACCTAAATTCTATATATATGCGCATGCAAACTGCACTTTTTAAGTTTTAAACTTGGAAAAGATTTTCCGAGAATTTAAAACCTAAAAGGCACATAGCGTTGATGAGTTCGAGACAAATAAATAATATGAGGTGAGGGACGTTTTTGAGAGAATACTCCGAAAACAGCGGTTTGGACCATGAAGGTAGGCTTCAAGCGATATTCATCTTAATGGTGTGGTAGGCTGTCCTGGGTATAAGACGACAGTGTTTGCTAGCCCTACTTTTATCGCATTCCAGTGTGACAGTCGTGGCACCATCTCACCCATCGGTACCCCCACTCAACCTCGCACCCCACCATGTGATGGGAAACGCACAGAACATTGAGGAGGCTCAGAAGGTGGAAAACGGCCAACCTCTGCGGCCTCCCCTCCCCAACTTGGAGCACTCGAGGACGGATAAAAACTCCGCCAATACTGCAGGACTATGCGTCACCGGAAAAAGTCATGATAGCTGAAAACTCATGACCTTTCTGGAAAAGAGGAGAGCGTCGTAAGTTCAGCGGAGATTGTTTCTTTTTTATTTTCTTTTAGTTTAGGACCCGAGATCACAACTTGCTGGGATATTATAAAAAGAGGAGATGGCGTACAAAACACTAAACACAGTTGAGAGTTGAAACACAAAATTCGAAAAAGAAAAACACCAACAACTCTACTTTTTTTTATTGCTTTGCTATATATAAACCAATACCTTGCACTTGTCTGTTTATTCATATTCATTTTCTGCCCAACAAACAACAAAAGTACGGTAACCACATAAAAGAAACAGAACAAAATGTACACTCGAAGCCGTCCGTACTCCTATGATGACCAATACAACATTATCTTGAAAAATACGGTGAAGCATTCATCTCAGAGCAACTGCATGATTTCAGACTTTGCTGCCATCGATTACTTCCAGTTTGACTTTACCGAGCTTGAGCTACACAACTCTTGGAAAGTTGTACACAGCGGTAGTATAAATAAGTGCTTCATACCACATAGCACCGACATTGCAAGATTGGAGAACTTGAGCTGGAGAAAGTGGACACAGTTGAAGTACAACTTGGAGGAAGTGTCACCAGCAATGGTTGACTGGAACAAAGAATGCGATATTACTTGGTTGTACGGTCCGCTCGTGAGAAACGATGGAAACTCTGAAAGCTTTGGATTTGAATCATCGCCTACTCATTTAACTAACGTGAAACGTTCTACAAGTATTTGCAGTATGTCAAGTACCTGTACGGTAGACAGTCTACCACTGTACAGCGATGTGAGTGATGAAGAATCCTTAGATGGTGACGACGATAATGAAGCTGGATTCATCAAGCCAATCCTCAAACACCGCTATTCACATGGTCCGTTTGGTTTGGAGGATCTAAGACGTTCCAATCAGAGCATCAATGACACAAGAAAATTCCGCAAAAGTGTGAGCTTTTCCGATATGGTTGATATCAGACAATTTTAGACCTGATGCTCTAACCAATAACGATATCGGTTTTAATTCCTACGGAAAGAAAAAAGAATGCACACACACAAATAAAAATAGAGTGATGACCACAAGCCTTAGAGGGTAACCCACGGAACAACAACTGTCACTGTTTTGGCCTTGCTGAACGGAGCCACTGGTTTGGCCTGTACGATGAGTGGGGGTGGTTTCTACTCAAATTTTAATGACCTTTAACGAAATATGAATTTTAAGATAACGAACTATTTATTGAGAAAAATACCTCTCAAGTGTAGTTTGAAGTAGTGATATGCAACTAGGGATTGGTAAAATTGGTAGAAAAAGAACACATGGGTCAATATGTTTCCAATTTGCCATCACTGACACTTTCTATCATTTGGCGCGATAGAAAGCCCGGTTGGGGGACGGTGGCTACATGTTTTGATGTGTTTGACTCACTCGGTGGCATTCTCGGACGATCGCCGCGGAAGTCTATATCCAATCACAAATATAGCTCGACTGGAGAATTGGTCATTTGATTCATTTTTAGTTCACAGTTGCACATTGCTCACACTCGTCGATGACTACACTCCCGGAGTCGGCATGGAGAACGTAACAGGCCCTTAAACCTTGTCAGGCGATGGCAAATTTGTAATTTTGAAAGGACAACTTGGATAACTTATCGCGTTATGGCTGTACGTGGAACAAGGTCATAGCAGAAGCGTATTAACAGGAAACCCCGGGCTTGCTCCACGATAAAGATCCTTGGGGGATAAAAGGCAAATCATTATATCACCTGTACGCACTCACAAACGCACTCTGTACTCAGATCTTGAGTAGTCTAAGATAGATAATAATCGTTCAGAAACGGCACTTAAATCTGGTTCCATCTTTAAGCTCTCCAATATCTGCTTTGACATTGCATAGAACTCCAAAAATTATTTCTTACCTGGCAGTTAGACACAATTTTCATAAGGGGCAGACGCCCTCTGATTACCCCGGGGATGTGTCCTTAACCGATGGTTGAGGGTCGTTTACTTCCTGTATACTTGGACGAGTTACAACTCAGCACGCCTTAAGACGATACAAAACATGTTTAGAAAGGCGTTAATTTTGGATCCCACGTACTGGAAAGATCTGGTGGCAGCTTCGGATCCTTATAATCATACTCCAGTAGAATCAGCAGCTGTACGGTAAAATTTGAAAGCCTCTTACATGCACTGATTTCCATATTTCATACAGCACTATGATACATTCAAGTGTCAGTGACCCTGGTAAAAAAAAAGGTAAACTCGACCCATTTGAGCGAAGATTATCAGCTCTATTGTGTCTTTGCGCTTAACTTCCTCCTATTATTCGGGATTAACCCAACTGGCGTCGATACGCATAACAAAATCCAATAATGTCCTCAGTCAGATTCGCCTTTTTCCGAATAACAAAGACTGTTTGCTGGGTTTAAGAGGTGAAGGTTTCCTATTAAGATCCCGGTCTTGAGCAATAGCCTGTTCATACTGAGGTTTGAAATTCAAAAGCTAATCCACAGTCTGCTTCCAAAGAAAAATTATGTATTATTTATGGGCTCGTTGTTTGTTCATTTCACCCAAAGTATATGCTGATATTGACGATCATGTAACAACCTCATGAAACTAATAAAGCATTACCTTGAAAACTTATATCATACCCACACCGTATGCAGCTCCAACTGTTCCAGTTAAACGGTTTTTGCCTGTTCAATTAAAGCAACTACGCTGCTGTGATACTCATATGCGAGGAGCTGGTCCTATCACCAGATGTTGTTCTCTGACTGTAGATGTATTTCACATACGATGGATCAAGCCAAAGCGAATTGAGGAAAAGATGAAAATAAGGAAAAGTGACAGTATTTCTCAAGAATTTTCAATCAACTTACCAGTCATGTAGTTAGCTACTCCAACCCCTGTGGATTCGAAAGGAAAGCCATCTCAATTCATCAAGCATTTCGATTCATGCATGATCTTTAATGTCAGTAAACATCCAAATATCAGATCGTTCAAAGAAAAAGGTAATATATAGAAGTTACAGTCTATGGCTTTTTATTGGAATATATCAGACATATATTCCTTCTCATCACAATAATGTCTACTGCTTGGATCGTTTGTGTAGGCCACTGGTGGTGAACAGGTGAATAAATTTATATTAACTCGCCGATAATTTGGTACAAGAGATTTTTGATGATTATTTTCTCAAAATAATGCAACAAGAACACAGTAATATTAAAAGTCATAAGAAGAAGGTTGTCATTCATTTAAGAGATCTTCATCAGAACTCATTAATTCTTTTAAGCTATACCTGAATTATAAAAACATGCTATGTATTGAAAACACGATTGTTCTATTAATTAGCAAAAGTGCTGAATTACATAATTGGTGCAACACATCGCTTATGTATTGTTTCGCTGAGCTACCATTTTGTCACTTTTAATCAAATTGAGACTGCAAATAGAGATTCACTAGTAGAAAATTTTATATATTCAATCACACCAATGTGGTTTGGATTCTTCAGCATTAGTTTCTTGACTCAGAGGCTTGACTTTCCAAAATATTACTTCATCTGAGAAAAATGAATGTACTCAGTCTTCTCTGCCTGGTGAACTTTAGACACAGCTCGCATCCCCTCCAGCGTTCTTTGTCGTCACAACAGACTATATAAGCATAGAAAAACATTCACATTTTCTTTAGATACAGAAACACTGCCGATAGTTTATGGTAATGCATTTCTAACTGGAGTCCTATTATTTGTTTTGGGGCTAATAGATGTCTCTAATTTTATGCGTCTGATGATCCATTATTATGTCCCGAAGGGGAAATACTGTCATAGAACTTCAAACACATTATGTTCAACCAAAACAAGGGCGAAAAGAGATGCGATTTATAAAATTCCCTTTGAATGCACTGATGAAACATATATAAGGAGTACGAATGTCTACTTATTAAGGCTGCAGCTGTGGTTACCAATCCCCCAAACTGGATCAACCAGACTAACAAATATGGACTTCTTTAATATTTCAACTCTTCCAGAGGATTTCGACCCACTCACTCAGATACTCAATTACACATCTGCTTATGGACCAACATACCTTACATTCGCTGAACTGGATAGTGTTATGCACACAAATATTAGCAACACGATCATCTTTGGTGTGAGAATTGGAGCTGCCACATTTGCTTCAATCATTTTGTTCATCCTGTCAAAGAAGAAAACCTCTCCTATTTTCATCCTCAACCAGCTGTGTCTTTTGCTTGTGATTATCCACTCTTGTATCTACATTGCTTATCTGTATGGAAATTATGCTTCAATTGGGTTTCAGTTTACACAATTCACCGATATTATCACGAGAAATGATATAAACATCTCATCTGCGACCAATTTGTTCCAGGCTTTTTTAATCACATCTATAGAGGCTTCAATGGTTTTCCAAGTACGCACACTCTTCCAAACACCAGAAATGAAGTGGTTTGGAAATGCCATCTTTGCTCTCTCGGTTCTAATAGGCCTCTCCGTTGTGGTACTTACACTTTACGTCACCATCAACACTGTCATTGGTGTTTTTGAATTTACCAGTTATCAATCAAGGGCTTTGGATGTACAACCAATCCTTTTTGCAGCTTCCATAAATTTTATGAGCGTTCTGCTCATGTACAAGTTGGTGCTTGCTATTCGCTCAAGAAGATACTTAGGGTTGAAACAATTTGATGGTTTCCATATTTTGCTCATCATGTCAACTCAAACGTTACTGGTACCTTCTGCACTGATGATTGTATCATATGCGGTAAATTCGCTTTACAGGATTTCATTCACGTCAGTTGCAACTTTGATAGTTGTGCTCTCACTTCCGTTATCATCACTATGGGCTACAAGCACAACAAGTTCATCAACACCTTCCTCTGGTTACAACTTTTCTTCACTTTATGGAAAGACACCTGGTTGTTATTCAGATCCTGGTACAGCATCTACAAAGGTAGATGAAATGTCGAGAAGTCAGCATACACAGTATGTTGAGAAGTCACTATATACCCCATCAACATTGGCTGAGGAAGAGGCCAAAAGATATTGGATGTCTGCTGCTACTGCTGGTGAATATGCCGATGAACAGTTCCAAGGGGAGCCTGACTTCGTTTCAAAAACAGTTCACAGAATCAACAAATGATTCCCCATAGTTTGATCTTTTTTAATGGTTTTTCAAAAAAAAATATTTGCTCTTTCTTTTATATTTACAAGGTCACACCATCTCCCTCAGGGTTTCAACTATCAACGTCTTGTGATGGTTTACTGAAAGATGGGAGGGTAGGCACGAATAACCAGACGAACACACAATTCAAAAGATAATGTAACCAATAGAGATGTCTGATACCATAGATCAACACGAAGAAAGCCGAATAAACAAGTATCAAAATGGTAAACTTTTTCTGAGCCCATCCTTGTGTGGAAGGCAGCATAATCCCTTGCACGTTCCTTCCAACCAATAAAATGACAGGCAGGATCATCAAGATGTTATGATGGGAAGTGAAAGGAGTGTACCATCTGACAGCCATGTTGTGGAGGAAAACGACAAGAACAGGGATGTTAACGGGAAGCACCCATAACATCAACATCAAGATGGAGACGTTGAAATTTAACAGACTCACTTTGCTTATATCGACTTTCTCCTTTTGGTGAACTTCAGCATTCCATTTGATTGTTGTGACCGCTTGTACTATACAACAAACCAAGTACGCAAATTGGTATGGGATAAAAATGGTCACGAATATCACCAAAGCAATGGATCCAAAGAATCGTCTCTTCTGCTTGAATGATGAGATGTGAACAACCTGTTTGAGCTTTCCAAACCAAACACATGACATCACCTTAGATAAGCAGCCAATATTTCGAGAGAGCAGAAGAATGAGCTGAATGACCCGGAGGACAATATAAACCAGAGCAAGAGCAATTGAAAAAAGTAGCGGTCCTAGTGTCCAAATATGGTTATCTTCAAGACCAAGGAAAAATTGGTTCAAGGAAAGAGAGTTGGAGACAGATGGAGGTGTTAATGACACTGGCCCCAGATAATACAGAAAGGCATTAAAAAGTGGTGAAGACGTCAACGGCGTCAAAATTGATAGTACAAGGAATATCCACATTGAATATTTCGAAAGTGCAACCAACCCTTCTTCGAATGGTGGGAAAATCCCGCTGTTGAAGTAAGCTGAAAACTGGTATATCATCGATAGAAGAATGACAACAGATGGAAGAGATGCGATAGCCAACCTGTAGCGAAGAACCAGAAGGCCCAAACTGTTCCAGAGATCAATCCTTAGAGACACAGTAAGATCAGTTGTATCAGGTGGGAACCACAATTGTAAGTTCAAGATAGCTCTACCACGTTCAAAAGGAGTATATGGAGCAACACCATGGAACGATATGCTGTGAGGCTTGTCGAGGTGAATATGCCATTTAGATTCCATCGGCTCATCAATATGTTGTCTCATGATCGGGTGAAAGTTTGGATTTGATGAGTGAGTATCAACTTGTACTCTGTAGCTCAACAAGCTGTCCCAAACGTTCTTGTATTCAATATTTGTAACCATGTTTGTCGAGATGTTTGTAAGGGAAACAGTTGTACCAAACAGTAATTGAAGCAATGACTTGTTGACAACGACATTGACTGTTTCGCCAATCTGAAAGTCGATAAAGCTATCTGGTAGTGCTTCAGGTGATTTGTAGACCGCGTATTGGAACTGCTGAGTGCTTAAATTCAACGCCATACCATAGAGTGGATTCAAATCACCTCCATAAGTCGAATCCGAGAGTTTACTCTCTGGATTCATTGTGTTTGGAAGAGGATGGGAGAATGAAGAAATATCAATACAAGTCAGATCTAGCTTATCAGTAGCCGGAATAGAATCAAACCTCAAACTGTCATCTGAAGTGGTTGAATTGTTACACAGCAGAAGAAAGGGAGATTTCTCAACTCCGTCATACTTGAGGAGAGGAAAGGATGAGACCATGTTGATTCCCGTATCCTTAGTCTCATGTATCGGGATCAAATGTACCTTTGAATCAGAAGTCAAATTCAATGACGAAGACTCAAATGTCACATGATCTCTGTCCAGCAAAACCTGTAATGATTTACTACTCGACAATGGAGGGTATACCTCCTTCTCAAATCCAGATTGCAGTATTTCGTGGAATGCGTCCATTCTCTGTTCCAATGGTTTTGTTCTTGAAGGGCTGGAAGGATCCACCACAGCGAAAAGAGTATTAGCAAGGACAATTCTCAATTGATGACACCAAACAATTGCTAAGTGATCAATAGGTGTCCATACTTGAGGGATTCCCGTCGTATAAACAGTGAACCCATGTTCTGGCGGAACTAATCCTTTCAAGGTTGTATAATCTGCAGGTAGGATCGTATCCAACAACCCACCGGTGATGGAGACCAAAGACACATTTCTCAATCTCTCGTGGCTTATGGAATCTGGATCTGAGGAGTTCGAGAATCCAGACCTCCAAAACTCGTCCACTGTTGCGTATATTGTGACGATATCAGCGTCAAAGGTTGCTGGTGCTGCGGCATGAGGTGCTGCCAATGTGATGATCGTGTTAACAGAATCCTCAACATAATTTGGCAATGTGAGCATGACTCTGGCAACGATACCTCCCATTGAATGGCCAATGATTATTACAGACTTTGGCCGACTCTGACCCGAGGAAGGTGTATCGTAGAGCGATAGTATGAATGCAATTGCATCGTTCAGATATTCCGCCTGATCCAACATTGTACGTCCATGGAAGGCAGTGAAGTCTTCATTGAAGTGCGCAGCAAACACATCAAAGTTCTTATTCTTGTAGTACTCGTCGTCCAAATTGTCATGGTAGACGTTCGACACTTGAGATGCTATTGATCTCACCTGCTTGAAAGAGCCCGCATTTCCTGGAATGAACAGTACCGGGATACCATCTAGCGGATTCTCCTTATAGTTCTCGTCCGGTATTTTATCCTTCCCTTGTTCTCTATACAAGAACAGGTTGTACTTCGAAGCAAACTTCGTGTGCGATGTGTCAAATGCCTTCAATCTAGCATAGGACGGATACATGTAGACAGATCTACACTCTGGCGAGTCAGCACCTGTGCGCTTCTGGGACGACACCAGTAGAATGGACATGAGCGCAACAAGCCCAGCTACCACCCAGATCATCAGCAGTCTCTTCGACAACTTCAGCTCCTGCTTTAGCGTGGCTCGCTTCACAGGCTGTGCAGCGGTGGACATAATGGATCAGTTGTCAAAGCTCTAGTGGCTCAGCTAGTACGACAGGACAAACGAAGAGGACAGCCACTCTTGAGAATACCAGCGGTATAAGAACAAATGAGCCCGGCTCTCAAACAATGAACGACAGTGAAGAGCTGAAAAAAGGGGGAAAGAAGGTGTGTGCCGGTGCCTTTGACGTTAATCGCAACGTGAGTGTGTTGGCCGATGAGGATTCCCTTCTTGATTTTCCTCAGCCTAAAACATACCTGCCTTTGCATCCCACCCGTCGGCCGAGATGTTGGAGCCTAAGCAGAGGCCTAAGCAGAGGCCTAAGCAGAGGGCTCAGCCCCCCAAACAGTCAATTCTCGCTGCCAATTATGGGACGCTAAGTGGCACAGTTTACACGCTCCAATGGTGTTGATCGCACAGCAAACGGGGAGACAGCACCACCCTCTAAACCCTGGCCTGGCACTACTGAAACCGTGTTGCTAAGCCTGTGTCCCCAGTGCCCTTCTCCCTGTACGCTGCCCAGCCCAGTGGGTTTAGCACAGCTTGCCTAGCGTAGGAGGGGCGTGCGTGTACCAATCAATGCCCTCTGAGGACGGAAGTTGCTGGAGGGGCTACACGGTGGGAAAAATTGAACAAAGGAGCCAAACAGAACGTCTCTGTTTCACACGACAAATCGCTGCGTGCACTGTCTTGTTTCATTAAACCAGCACGTTTTACGCTTCCTTGTTTGTTCCAAAGAGATGTCGTTTGTATGTAACTATGGATGAGTCCAACCTATCGAGAAGAAATGCGATAGGATGGAGTAGCGGTGCTCTGGAGCTTCCACTAACAGATCAGGTACGCTGTTGATGTACAGGTAGGGAAAGCAGTTCATTACTCTGTTGATCTCCTGTTGGTGTCCACTATCTTGGCAGGTGTGAAGAGAAACACCGGACTGGCACCAAAGAAGGACCTGTTCGGTCCTCAGCCACAGGAGTACTTTGACAAGTACCTTGGGGCCGGTGAATACATCTACGATACCAGCGTAGGTTTCATGAACGCGTCCGCTTACTTTGAGAGAAAATGACTTTTAATTCTATCAACATTCCTAGTTTCTCCCCTGTTCTTCTTTGTCGTCGATACGCCGTAGTGCCTCATGAAGGATTGAATGGTAAGATACCAGCAATGCCTCTTAATTCCTCTTCAAGCTCCTCAATATCGTACTCTTCCTCCTCGGCAAACACGCCATACATCATGCTGAATTTTGCATTCTCCTCGGTATCCATAATATCGTTTTGGTAGTTCGTTGGCATGCCTGACAGCGTACCCATCTTCTCCCAGAAGTCAACCTCGCCATCAAGTTCCTCATAGTACTCTTCATTGGCAGCAGCACGTCTTTCTGATGACAGACGACGCTCCTTTTTGCGCGTGGACTCATTACTAGAAGCTGAGTACCTTCTCTTATTCAATTGCTGTTGATGGTTTAGTGAATGCTGATGATGTGGAAGTTGCTGGTGCTGTTTGAGATGCTGATGCTGATGTGTGTGGTTGTGGTGACTATGCTGTGGATGAGGGTTCAGTAGTTTGGATATGTCGCTCTCTTTTGAGCTAACCTGTGATGAGCTTCCCAGTTGAGGTTGAACCATAGGAGGCAAGTAGTTGAAATGTGTCGATCTGTTCGGTATGAGACCATCTTCATTGGTGTTGTTGTTACTGTTGCTATACAGATTATTTCCAGACGTGTTGGAGTTTGAGTCCTCAGATCCACCTTGCTTTGAACTCACGGAATATCCATTACCTGAATTGTGTAGTGTGCTCGAGTAGTGATGGTGGATATGTTGATGAATAGATATCTTGAGATCGTTCTGCTTTATAGCTTCGATAAGCTGCGTAGCAAGTTCGGTATTGGCTATGACGCCACTTGAAACCGAAAACCCAGAGGAGTCCTTGAGTGTAAATTTCCAATCCACTTGAGTGGTTGCCTGATTGCTGACGTTATTTGTATTTTCCTCAACAGATGGCACTGATGGAGGGCCCAATGGTGGTCTTTGGTAATCCACAGGTACCTTAGCGGCCTTCAAAGTGGGTGCTCTGGTCTTCTTCTTTCTTGTATCCACGGTGCTGTTACTCCTTGATGGTGCACTTTCTATATCCAAAGTCTGTTGTGCCTTTTTGGCGATCACGTCCTTCTTCAACGTCTCTGAAATCTCTTCAACTTTCGACAACCCCCCTTGGATGCTATCAATGGCCTCTTTGACGTCGTCACTTGCCTTTCCACGAACAACATCCGTAACGATCTTTCTCCATCTGTTACGGCATGTTAGACTGGGACGGCTTTCCATCTCTGCGGAAATGGCCCTCCACTTAGTTCCATACGCTTTAACCTTTCGTATCAGGCTCAGGTCCTCCTGCTCAGTCCATGGCCTTAACCTATCTCTAGTATTCGGGTCTAAAACTTCAACATATCTCTTAGCACATTGGTCATCTGTTCTTCCCGGGATCTCTAGAGAGATCTTCTGCCATGACGAACCGTACATCGCAAAGGCATCGATAAGCTGTTTATCCTCAGTGGGCGTCCACTTACCCTTGCGAAGAGTTGGATCTAAAGAGTTCAGCCATCTCTTACGGCAATCCTTGGGCTTCCTGGTCTTTATCTTTGCGCTGATCTCCTCCCAGTCGATCTGCTGGGGCAAGGCCATGGCGTTGAAGTTCCAGTCCGTCTTCTTCAGCGCTTCCAGTCCTTCTGCATAACCCATCGCTACTAACTTCCCTCCAATAATCTGCTTCAGAGTCTCATCCTCCTCTTTAGTCCACGGCTTACGCGAGTCCCTTCTGAAAGTCGTGTACCCCAAAGACTCAGTAACGTCCAAAGGGTTCACCTGTATCGATCTCTTCTTCTGCTCTGGCATCGAGTGCTCTGGAACGGAGAGGATGGTGTGGCTCTATGGATAGCAACAGCAAGTTATAACGGAAACAGGCTCGCTGGGTCAGTTCCTGAGATAGGCTCTATAGGATGAACGATCGTTTCCCCGGCTCAATACCAAGTTCTAGCACTTAGAGGGGGGCACAACGTGAGTGCTTATAACTGTATACATTTTTCCCTTCCCACACACTACTCCTGTTAAAATTTGTCGTTGTGGGCCACACACCACTAGCGATGCTGTGACGGAAGCTCATCCTTTACTCTCTAACTATACTTCTCTAATATATGAACAAACTGGCGAAAGATATCACCAGAAACCACCGTTAGAGAACATGAAGTCCGAGAATTGCGAACAGTGGGAGTTTTCACGTTCAGACATGGCCTTTGGAAGCCATTCCTTCATGTTTTCTATTCTTCTTTCAGACGCAGGGTGCGTAGATAGCAGCTCGGGCATACGAGAGATGATGGTGCTCTTCTCCCAGTTGGCCATACGGTTCCACAGCTTTGGAGCCTCTCTTGGGTCGAAGCAAGCCTTTGCCATCAGCATCAGTCCAATGTAGTCGGCCTCTGTTTCCATCTCCCTGGATGCTGGCATCTTAAACACCGCGTCAATAATCAGCCTGCTAAACACGTCTGCCCCGGTGAGTGCATACAGAGTTAGTGAGATGGCCCCGTATATTGGGGCAGACGACAGGTTCTCACCGGTGTGTCTGGCTAACTGGTGCGCAAACTCATGAGAGAGCACGGTGGCAAGCCCATCGTCATTCTCACAGATCGGCAAGATCGTGGAGAACACGAACACTTTACCACCAGGCAGAACGAATGCGTTTGGTGGAGCTGTTGGGTCATTAATCACGTGTAATGACCAGTTCAAGCTGGACTCGTCCACTGGACTTGCCTGTAATATCCTCTGGAAGATCCGCTTTGCCCTAATGGCCTGTGGATGGTTATCAGGAAGGATCTTACCAGTGTATCTGAACTCCGCCATGAGCTGGTTGTACGACTGCTTGCCAATCCACTGCTCGAATCTCTCAGATGTGATGATGAACCGTTTTCTACCGGTGACGGGCGCAGCGTCAAGGTTCGTAACGTAGATAACTGTACCGAGTCCCAGCGTTATACCAATGACCTTCTTCAAGAATGGATCCTGTAACGGGTTTGACGATGTCACTTGGTTGTTGAACCTTCTGTAGGTGGCGTACGAACGTGCGGAGCCCTTCCCAAAGAACTGCTTGGTAAGCTGGCCACGAACAGGCGATACTCGTGGCCTGTTGAAGATATTCATGGCTCGCTGGCGTAGAGCCTCGCTAAAAACTGCTCTCACGTTGAGCATTGTATTGTCTAAGGGTGTATGATACTCTCCAAGTCCTTAGAGAACAGGAAGAGTGGTTCAAATCAGCGTATTGGGGACCATCGTGGGAGAAACGCTGAGCAGAACAGCATAGTGGGCGAACCGGTGAAGCCGCATCGCCAAAGGCCAAAGACGTCTGCTCCAAGTTCGCTTTGAGGAACAAGGCCGTCACCACGGTATCAACTACACTGTGAAGAGAAGAACACGAGAGGATGGCGAAGGCAGAGTTTGGTACTCCGAAGTACCTCTCTAAGCAGATGAAGCTGAAGGGGTTGCAGAAACTCAAGTGGTACTGCCAAGTATGCGAGAAGCAGTGTCGAGACGATAATGGGTTTAAATGCCATATTAGAAGTGAATCGCATATAAAGAGGATCGCCAATGTTGGTAAGAGTGACATTGAAAACTACTCTAAACAGTTCCAGGATAACTTCATTTCACAGCTACGCAACTATCATGGCGAGAAGAGTATCAATGCTAATAGGTTCTACAATCAGCTGATCCAACAGAAGGACCACGTCCATTTGACTGCCACCAAGTGGTCTTCCTTGTCCCAATTTGTCCAGGATATGGCAAGAAAGGGGATAATCAAAGCTGAGATAACGGATGATTCGGATCAGAGTCTTAGTGGTGTTGACATTTCGTATATTAACAACTCAGGAGACGAGGCAATGAGAAAGGCATTGTTGAAGAAGAAAGACGATGCCGAACGTGGCGATGAGGCGATGAGTTCGATGCTATTGCAGCAACAGATAAAGAGGGACCAGATTTTGCGAAAAGTTGAGACACATGAGGAGGAAGATATAGAACCTGCTGCTGAACCAAGCAAACCTATCAAGATTACTCTTGGTGGGACGAAGAAACATGATTCGTCAAATTTCAAAAAGGCCAATGCTTTCAAAGTGTCAAAGCCCAAAAAGACGAACGTATTCAAGTCATGATTCTATTAAAACGGGTTGTAGCTATTGACACCATACTCTCTCCAATACTGTCTATCCATTCTGCTGAGCACCTTTTGACAATAGTACTTCTCCATCGCCCTGACAGTGTCAGGTTTAAGGTCAATACCATGGAGCACAAGTATTGGCATCTTTCTCTCTTTGAGAAATTCTAAAAGTTTGTACCCATTTAATTCATTGTTGAAGGAAAGATCGAGAAGTCTCAACCTGGGGAAACTGTTGTTTATCCTTATGGTTTTGATGAAGTCATCAAGAGCTGAATCTGATAGGCCAATAGATTGGTTCATATACAAAGATTCAAGATTTGGACATAGTGCACTAACCTGTTCAAAGTTGAAGTACTCTGTACCGACAATTCTTGATTTCTGGAACGTTATGTTGTGACAGAGGCCAATGTAGAGATGCTTTAAACTCTGACCACATACTCTCAACAGTTTGATCAACCCAGAATAAGAGATTGAGCTTCCGGTGAGATCAAGAACCTGTAAGCGACCAAATACATTGAAAAGGTAATCATCAACGTAGAGTTGTAAACCTTCAGCCTGTCTAGTTTCAGGCTCACGGAATACAAATTTCGTCAGCATTGGTAATTGCAAGAAATCATGTCTCTTGAGTAAAGTCCTGAAAGTGAAAGTCTTGTTGTTCTCCAATACCAGGGTTCGTAGTTTAGTAAAGTTTTCCAGAAAGTTGAACGTTCCATTGTTGCTGTTCACATGAGAGAAATCATAACCAACAATTATCAAATCTTGTAAGTTGGGGAACATTTGAGAATTGGACTGCTTGAAGATACATTCAAAGGGTAGAGAAGGATACTTTTTCCTCAGATCACCAATGATGTGTAACGCTTTCAGATTTGGAAAACTTGCTAGAGGTGATATATAGTTCTTGGGTAATGCCATGACTCTCCTGGTTGGTGTTGGTGTGATGGATAGATATTCCAATCGGGGGAAAAGAAATGGCAGCTGTTCTTCATATTTCGGTACAAATATACAGGTCAACTTCAAACGTTTCAGCGTTTTGACAGCTGAGTCATTCTCTCTTAACATATCCACAAGTTGTTGCATCGTGATATCCATGAGAGTCATATCCAAAGTCCCAGTTATCTCCAGCCCCTGTTTCAAGATAAACGATACAATTCTTGATTCATCTGCTATACTCACAGACGGTAGAACGAGTCGTTTCACAGACTTGACCATCGTATGCTCTTTGGATCTATGAACCAACTTGAAGCAGTTTGCAACATCTTTAAATGACAAAAGTGATGCAAGCCTTATATCGTTATACAAGGGTAAAGCTGGAATCAGTTCATCCCACCTCTTCGAGATCAACCGGCATCTCAGAGCCAACCTCAAGGGTAGCATTGATAGGATACGGTGCATCAATTCTACCGGCAAGAAATTCAACGGATCTAAACACTTTGTAGATGAAGTTTTTACCCTTTTGCTCTTGCCCTCTTCTAACGGAGGAATTGGAACCAATCTGCCATTTTTGCGCTTTGCGATATCTTTCAGTTTTGATCTAACGATAGACCTCTGTTCTTTCATAATCTTGAACATCTGCTCGTTCAGCTTCAACTTAAACGTATCCCTTCCCATCAATAGCATACTGATACCTCTGTCGTACACATCAGATGCTTGTTGCCAGTGTCCTAAAGCCTGTAATAACTTTCCTGAGCGGATATAGCCTCTGGCATTGAAGGGCTCCACTCTCACAATCTGTTCGCCATCTTTCAGAGCATCGTTGAGCTTCTTAAGCTTCTCATACGTCGCAGCCCTCGAGTCCAGCATGGCAACCAGCTTAGGATGATACAGCTTGGCGGTTCGACCAGCGTAGGAGGGTCTTTCTGTTAACCCGTACGACTTCCTCAGCTTCATGATGGACCGCTGATCCATCGACAAGGCATAACCAATGGCCCTCGACAGTAACGTCAAGCAGTCCTGGTATTTCTTCTCCTTGAAGTTGCGCTGTGCCAGCTCAAACACCTTTACCATAACATCATTGTCCTCACCAGCCATCCTCAACCCTCCCTCTCAGAGCGTGAAGTGTGATTTACTGATGTAAACATAGTACAGAAGCGCCAAAAACGCGGGCATTGAAAAGTGTTGAAAACCAGCACAGAAAAGAGAGGGAAAAAACGAGAGAGAGAAGGAAATCCCGTCTACAAACTCCCTTAGAACAAGCTGGACTTTCAGAACAACGAATCGGGGAGAAATGTTTCCAGTTAGAATGAGAGCACTTGGTGCATCCTTGCGTATCCAGTCACCAAAGATGATGGGCAGATGGTCTTCTGTTGGGCTGCAACAGTTGCGTCTGCAGAGCACCTCAACCGCCAGCTCTGGGTCTACTGAAGGCTTGAAGGCGGAGAAGAAGAACAAGCCAATGACCGTTGACCGTGAGCTGCCGGATCCTTTGAAGGACCGCACCAGAGCTCGTGTGCAATTTGTCGGGTTTTGGGTTTTGATGGGTATCTGTGCTCTCTTGATGTTCAACTACGAGAAGCAGAACTCTCCAGTGGTGACGACAACTTTGCATTTCTTGAGAAGAAGTCAGATCATCAGAAGTGTATTGGGTGATGAGATTGATTTTGCCAGTGTCTATCCATGGATCAGCGGTGAGTTGAACCAAGTCAAGGGTGTTGTGGATATCAAGTTCACCGTGAAGGGTTCCAACAACCAAGGTGTTGTTAGATTGGTTGCTGATAGAAAGAGCAGACACGACGAGTTCCTGATCCATGAGTGGAGCTTAGAGGTTGATGGTAAAAAGTATGACTTGCTGGCAGACGATAGCGTCGACTTCTCCGTTTGATGGGATATAACATACTCACATCATCTTCATTAACGAACGAAGACATGTAAATAGCGAAATTACACACAACTACTATAGTGACTGGGTTTAAAGTAAGATAAACACAAAGACAAAGCTCTGTTTAATAAAAGGAAATGTCATGATGGATCTAAATACTGGTTGATGATGCACGCGTAAGGCACTCATGGTGCCGATAAATTTGTTCTTTTTTGAATTTTCATTGATGTTGTCCTTGCTGTTGTCCTTGCTGTTGTCCTTGCTGTTGTTCCAATTTTGGTCTTAATCCTTCTATGAATGCCCTCTTGTTTTCACTGTAATTTGTGAATTCGTTTTCATATTGATCCTCCTCTTGGATTTCACCTTCGTTTGCAAGGTCATAGTTGTTCTTCAAGTCGTATTCGTCATCTGTATACTGCATCGTTGAAGCCGATGACGAACGGTTCATCGAAGGTCTCTTTGAATATGAAGGGGTGGGTATTTGTAACGACTTGGCCAATTCCATACTGTTTCGACACGAGTTATCCTTATTGTCACCGTCAACCACAGGGACGTTAGAGTAGAAGTTCTCCGTCGAGTTCGTAGTTATAGAAGCGTTTGACGCCGTGGCAGTACCACCGTTAGGCAAGTTCGAATACGAAGAGTTTCTTGAAGTTGATACGCTATTGATCTGCGATTTCATTTGTTTCCTGTAGGCAGGAACATACCTTGTTTTTCTCTTGTTGTTGTCATTATTATTGATATTGCTGTTACTCAAGTTACGAGTAGACGTGCCGTTCTCGTTGTTATCGCTGTAGTTGTCGTCCTGTGCCTTTTCATGTCTCTCCTGATCAGAATCTTCCGTACTGGTTGTATGTTCGTGGCCTGCACTGCGACGGCTATGAATCCGTAGTTGATCCAAGTTATCATACGATAGATCCTGATCGATATCTCTCATCTCTGTATCTTTTTGGAACTCAACATCCTCCCTGGCAAATCTTTTTCTTGTCTTTCTAAAGAAGAATAGCGCAACGCATATCGCAATACCCGATGGAATGCCAACGGCGCATCCAACAGCAATACCTGTAGTGTTTGGCATGGTTTCCTCGTCCGACCAGGTCCTTCTGATACACTCTCACGATGACCTTTTTCCACCGTCACAAACAAAGACACTAAAGGCGCGTAGATACCGTGTTGTTGAAGCTGGGCAATAAGCACACAAATGAAATCAAAACAAAACAAAAACACAGCTCTCTCACCAAAGGGGGGGAAGAGAGAAACGCGCGCTTTAGTTCAGGAGGGAGCCAGCTCTGGGATTAAGCGAATGACTTGGATCTCAGATATCACTTGATAATAGAAATCACACACAGAGAACCGTTGATTGGTGGGATTCAAGTTCTCAGAGCCAAAGCCAAAAAAAGAAGGGGGTAGCAACGCCAAAAGTGAAAACGCTTTCCTTTGTCGTGTAATTTTTTTTTAGCATAAATCGTTACAGAAAAGTGCGGGCCGGGGCTTTCTGTTTTTTCTCTCTGTTTGGTTCTTCCAGCGCAGTTTGCCTGTGTGTGTTGTTTTTCTTCTTTTCGGCTGCAGAACCGACTGTATAAAATTTCAGTTTGGAGTTTACGCCTATTGACAGTTTGATCGTGTCAATGCGATTTCTTGGGCTAAATCAGTGAATAAACAACAAATCAAAAGCAGTAGATAAGCAACAGAAGACTGAGAGAAGCCGCAAAAATGAAGAACAATCAGGTAGACGATGATGGGCAGAACGGAAGCCAAACAAACAAAGAAAAACTTACCTGAATTGAAGGAGGGAATTTGATGGCTGGTTCTAGCTCACTTTCTCCTTTCATTTCTTTCTTTTTTTCTGTTTTTAAGATTTCGCAGATCCGACAAAAAAGGCAAACTCGATGCAGCCGTTGAACGCTGACGTTCTAAGCCTGTGCGAACAGGAGGCCTTACAGTTCATTTCGTACAATGACAGACGTAGACATGAGCGCAAACAGAAAACAACGAAAGTAACAGAAGAGTTGCTGTGCAACTTGTCTTCGTGAATGAGGTGATTACGGGCTCATGTTCTTTTGTGTAGCCAGGGCCGAAGTGTATACAAATATGATCGTGTCAAGCGTGTTCTGATTTTGGATCAAAATGCTGGCTGAACGTTGGAAGGTCATCTGGTAAGCACACCGTATGTTCTAACGTTTTGAGAGGAGACACACACAGCAATAATTACCCACCATCATAAGACCTTTCCCTTGTTGGATCTTACAGCACTGAAGGCTTAGCATATAACAAAGCCACATTTATTCTGTAACTACCAACGACTCGTTTCGCAAGCCTTCCCCCGCGGGGTCTTTCTTTTACTCCAACATGCTTCAAGAACTGTGCGATGTATAATACTATGTGCCTGTCGATCTCGCAAATGTCCCAATCAGGAATGGCAGCGCCAAAATGTCTCATAGGCTGGTTCGATTGGCGGTCTCTCTGTTTTCGCAAAACACGGTTAGTGCAACAACACGCGGTACTTTTAGTTCTGCTTTGGCGTGGCATCGAGCTTAGTCAAAATTTCCTTACATAACCGAAGTGCTACAGCGTGTATTTTTTTCTTTGTATACACACAGTCTCCAAATTTTGGATTGTGTCTGAGAGGTTTTGTTTACTTATTTGTAAGAGAGTGAACTCCTCATACCGGAATATACGCAGGCGGCTACTTTTATACGTGTGATATCACTGTGGAACGACGGCTCTGGTATAATACGGGGTAAGTGCTTCGATTTGTCTTTTGCCTCATCTTCTATTTCGCCGTAATGGGTGAAAATGATTTGGAAAGGTGTAACAAAGATGTGTGTCAAACAAGACACACGCACACACATTCGACCAATAAGCTAACATATTGGCTTCAAGGTTCTAGAGTAATGATTCCCGGTGTGGATAAGATCAGGGAGAAGAACGTTGCTGGGTCCGTCATTTCAACGGATCAAAGGCTACGACCGGTACCAACATCCACATCATCGCGATCAACCTTGGAATCTGTTTCATCTTCAACCAGGTCTAATAGAATGGACATTGCAGACCTGGGATTGAGCATCGTTGGTGAAGGGCTGTCAAAGCCACAGAAGTTCAAGGAGGAAGATGAACCTAAACCGGTACCCAGGATAAAGGCACAAGACTTGGAATATCAATTCCTCAATTTTGACAAGGATCAACCACCGAGTGATGAGATTGTTACAACGCTGTTCGAGGAGTTTTTAAATTCAAGGGCTTTTCCAAGAGATGCTTTGATGAACCTAAGAGCGCATTCGATAGCGTGGAAATGGAAGATGATTTGTCAGGATAAACAACATGATACAATACAGAAAATGGTGAAATATGATCCACAATGGGCTCTTGATAAGCTCCCCAACATTGGTTGTAATGATCTTCATAAGCTGGAGAGGATGCTAAGAACAAGAGATTTTGTCGACGAATTCATTAATCTTAACGGCCATGCAAAGCTAACAGAAATCAAATTCGATGACATTGAGGAGGAAAAAGAGTCCTTAGTGATACACTGCTTTAAAGACATCTTAAACACTCAAAGAGGCGCAGATTCCGTTGCTCAGGACTATGAAATGGTGAAGTTCCTCGTTAGCATCCTTCTGGAATCCTTGAAGATCAGTAACAAAAAAACTTTGACAGATGTGCTCGTGCTCATAAGTTACTGGACTCCGCCTTTGGGTAGAAACAATATTCTCAAAGCGTTCTTGAGATTATCACATGAAACCCTATTCGATTCATGGATAAAATTCTTGGATGCCTCGTTGGATACTAAATACGAACCTCTTGCATATATGTCGCTGAAAGAGTTCATCATGAGTTCAATGTTTCTAATCATTTCAGTGATTGAAGGAGCAGAATCCTTAAATGACAAGAAGATCATCCATATAAAGTTGAAAGAGAGTGGATTTTACACCACTTTGCACAAGATGAGAGAACTGGGTGATCAGGAGATAAATGACTTGCTAGACCGCTACAAAGCTACTGAAACACTTACAATGTCAGATGAGATCATGGATGAGTTGCAGTTATCTGATACTCAGTTCGATAAAATCATCAAAGCAATAAGAACAAGAACAATCACCAGCGATGAACTATTTGAGGCCACTTGTAAGATCGAACAGCAACTCGTGAATGTTTTGGAGACCAACTCCATATCTCAGAGCTTGAAGATCTTCACCATTTTCGAAACGTTGATTTCGAAAACCAAGAGGTCAACTGATTTACTTAATGACGGAGATTCACCGATTTACATGGCTATCCAACAACTCATGGATCAGATGACTACTGATGATTTGGCTAGAAGAGCTATGCACGAAGTCCACGAGTACGAAACAAAGACTGAAAAGCTGACACAAGAGGTTAGAGTGTTGAAGCAATCATTAGATGTGTCTCATGGAGATGTTTACAAAAGGAATAATGATCTACAAGCCCAGATATCTAACAAGGACAAAACAATTCAACAATTGCAAAAGGAATTGGAGGAGGCAAGGAAGATCGTGGCCTCAGAAAGATACAAAACGTCTAGAGAGAATGCAACCATTTCGTTCACTAACACCCCAGTGACATCTCTGAGAGCTCAACGCACTTACGCGGATGATTCCCAAAACCTTCTGAAAGCCTTAAAATCAGCAAAGGCTGCGTCTGCAACTGCAATTCTTGGAACACAATTGTTAAAGAACGAGTCTATGAATAAGAGGAAGTCTACTTTGATTCACTCAAAATCTTCATTATCACTTCTAGCAATTGGAGGAACATTGAATGGAAAGTTACAAGATGGGCGATTAACCCTTGAGGAGGAATCAATAACTGGAGAACAATATGTTTCAGGAAAAGGAAACACGCCTTCAAACGACACAGCAGTAAATGTTTATGGTTTGAAAGGTATCACTGTTGGTAATGATGGACGTATGATAGAGAATAACGGATCTACAGTATCATTTGAAAGTGTGATATCAACGGCATCTGGAGGCGAATTTAATGGTAGTGTACCACCATCAGGTACATGGGCTCCTTCTGGGTCATACGTAAACGGCTCTCAAGGCTTTCGCTCTGGTTCAGCAATGCATTTACCAGTCATTCAAAGTCCTAATAACAGTGGCGTGAAGATTTACAATTCTGGGGAAGTTATGAATGGTTCAATCATCACCACACAAGGTCTACAACATGGTGCAGTTAATTCTGTCGATTCTTTTACTGGTCCACTCACTCAACTGAACAGATCTCATGGATTGGGTTCAGGTCAATCAAACAGCGTTTCGGTTGTCCCAGGAAATTGTTTGGCTCTGAATGGTGTCTTTTCAACATCATCCCTTGGTGACAATATGGGAGGCAGTACTTCAAGTATTGGACAACTACCACCACCACCTCCTCCTCTTCCAAAATTCTTGAGGTCGAGTGCAAAGGTCAAAGGTGAAACAGCAAGTGCAACACCACCAGCACCAGCACCACCACCTCCTCCTCTTCCAGAATTCTTGAGCTCGAGTGCAAAGGTCAAAGGTGAAACAGCAAGTGCAACACCACCACCACCACCTCCTCCTCCTCCTCCTCCTCCTCTACCTCCCTTCATATCCAAATCAGAACCAGACCTCACAAAGAAGGACGGTATCCCTCCTCCGCCACCACCACCTCCTCCTCCTCCTCCACCGCCACTTCTAGCTAAGTCCAAACCAAAAATCACTGTTGACACCAGCATTAGCACAACGCCAAAGATCGATGATTTATCAAAGTCTCTTTATAAGCCTTCGAAAAGATTGAAACAGCTTCATTGGGAAGAAGTGAATAATGATGTCGTGATGAACACCTTCTGGGGTGATGTACGCTCAACTTCAAAGGTGGAAGAATTGAAGGAACTAGGTGTGCTACAAGAAGTTGAGACGTTGTTCACAGTAAAGGAAGTCCAGAGAAAAATGACTCCTGTCACCGCAATAGACAAGAAAGAACTCATAACTTTCTTGCCTCGTGATCTCTCACAACAATTCGGAATCAACTTGCACATGTTTTCAGGCCTCTCTGAGGAAGAACTAATCATGAAAGTGTTGAAATGTGACTACGATGTCTTAGAGAACATAAGTATTCTCGAGTTCTTCAACAAGGATGATTTGTGTTCCGTTTCAAACAACCTACTGAAAAATTTCAAGCCATACACCACTGATTTCATGAATAACAAGAAACCAGAGAGTGATGTAACCCACCTAGCTAGGGCAGACCGTATATACGTCGAACTATGCATTAACTTGAGGCATTACTGGAGATCGAGATCAAGAGCATTGCTAGTTGTGAAGACTTATGAAAAGGATTATCAGGATTTATTGACTAAACTACAACGTGTTGACGACTCTGTGCAAGCGATCAAAAATTCCAAGGCATTGAAAAACTTATTCGTTCTTATCAGAGAAATCGGTAACTTCATGAACCGTAAACAGGTTGAAGGATTCAGGCTATCCAGTTTATCCAAATTGAACTTTGTGAAAGACCAAAACCAGAAAACATTCTTGCACTATGTCGAGAAGGTGATCAGAAGAGCATATCCAGAATATCTCACATTTCTCCAAGAGTTGATACTGTTGCAAGACACTTCAAAAATTTCAGTGGATCAATTATCCGCAGATACATTGACTTTTGTGCAGAGCATAAGAAACATTCAGAAGTCAATTGAATCTGGAAATTTGAGCAACCCCAAGGTATTTCACCCTGATGATCGTGTATTGACGAAGGTATCAGTCAAACTTCCAGGTGCTTTACGGAAGTGCCAGCTTCTTGAAGATCAGCATAAACTTATCATGAATGACTTTGACAAGTTAATGATATATTTCGGCGAAGATTCATCTGACACGGTTGCCAAATCTACATTTTTGCAGAAATTCCTCGATTTTATGCATGATTTCAAGAAAGTCCAGATTGAAAATATAGATAGTGAAGAGAAGGATAAGATCTACCAAAAGGGCAAAGAGCTGATGTTGCAATCGAAGAAAGCTAGAGAACAACGGTCCAAATCAGAGGGCGGAGGAAACGATAGCGAACACGATGTTGTGGATAACTTGCTAAAGAGATTGAAGGGAATTTCTTCTGACAGAAGACGGGTCAGCACTGGTGCAATCAACACCACGACCCCATCCACAGCTAGAAGTACCAGGTCCACAGAGGATGATATCAAACTCCTGTCCAGAGCTCAGACCATGTTGGAAGATACAAAGGAAATTTAATTAATTAATAGTTATGACGAATGAAATGAAATTGCATGCTGCATGTTATGATATCTATAACTCTTATTGTACGTTTTATTATAATTTGCAAGGATTTTACTGTCAAATGGAGAATATAGCTATAATCGATAGTGTGTTGATGCAATTCGCGGGCTCAGCTATTGTCTTTGTTTTGATTTCAAACAAACAAAAAAAACGCGTTGTTATATCTTTCTCCATAGACAAAAATAGTAAAGAACCAAACATAATATGTCATTACAGCAAAGAATAGAAGAAAAGAAGAGAGAGCTGGAACATCTGTCACAAATAAAAGAGCTTTCGTTGAATCTGTGTAATCAGCTGGAGAATCTTGAAGCCAAACTTGAAACGCTAGCGGATGGTTCAGAAGGTAGGTCATTTTTGGTTCTCCCTTAGTTGCCAGTTCTTTTGACTAACCAATCTTCAGCTGTTGCCCTTGTCATGTCCAATTGGAATCATATCATAAAATCAGTATCTCTAGCCTCGAGTAAGTATGCTTGTGCAATTTTGATGGAGTCAAATACTAATCAATACTCAGTGAGTTTAACGAGTTATACGGAACAGAGCTATGAAAACAAAGAAGATCCTCCACTGCCCGAAACTTTAGTGAGGCTTCGCATACATGATGATGTCGAAGAGCAATGAATGACTACGATATATTCTGAGTAAATGATTTCATTTTTTGACCCTTACGTTATGGATTTTGGATTATAAGTTGACTGTAGTTTATCACTTTATCAGCACCACTCTTCTCATTAGCAGTACCAATGAGTGCTTTGACCCACCCTTCAAGATTAGCAGAAGAGATCAAACCATCGATCACGGAGCTGTGTGAGTTGAGCTCCTTCTTCAAAGCTTGTAGTTCTTCATCACCAATAAATGTGAATCTGGACAAGAGCTCTTCATCTGTTCCCAAATTAGCAAGCAATGTCACATCTGGTAATGATATTTGATAATCGTTATTAACAGTGTACACATGGTCTTTGAAGAAGTTCAGCAGTGTTGTAAATAAGACAGTACTTTCGGAGCGTTCTCTGATCCACTCATCTGACTTATTTTCAGAAGCGATAATACTCTCCCAATCATCAGCAAGTAAAGCTCTAGTCCAGATAAGTCTTTCGTTAATGACTTTTTCTCTTTCAGGCTGTGAGCTCAAATGGAGAACTTTGAGGGCATAAAAACAGTTTAAACTGTTTTGAGTAATCTTGGAATCAATGAGCGTAAATATATCAATCAGCTCATTAACAGACACGGATTTGTTACCAAGCAATCTATTCAGAGCTCTTTGGAAAGTGTGTTTGATGGTTACATCATTCTTATACTGCTGTTGTAGAAGTTCAGAGACGATTGCATCTGTTTGAGCAGCTGGATCGCTATCAGATCTTATGAATTGACTTATCTGGTCAAAAATACTAGATTGTGCATCTGCAAAGTCTAATTCCTCTTGAATATCTTGGATCAAATCCACATTCTGGTTGACATCAGCAAGGGCAGACAACTTTGCAATACTCAATTGCAAATGTTTGTGTGTTTGCTTTTCTGTGGTCTTCTGAGAGACAGAAAGAAGTATATCAGCTGCCTTCGTGTAGTCACCATCCAAGATATCTCTTGCCCATGAAATCTTGCGATGATCATTTTCGGTAAAGAATCTTTTCAAGTATTCACTGTACTCTTGGAAACCAAGTATCAGCACCTGGTATTTCCCAGTATGGATGTAGTAGTTGTAAAGAGTCTCAGCAAATGCATAGCCAAACTTATTGAAATAGTAGTCGAAGCGTAGGTGAATATTGTCCAATTCGACACCTTTGGCAGTTTCCCTTTCTCCGTCGGATATTTCAGCAAGTGACTGCAAATCTTGATATGTTTCCGCAATTGCAAGAGCTTCAATTTTGGAACCAAAGACAACCAACGTCTTTGTCCAAATGGTAGATCTGGCCTTATAGAATGTTTCGCATTGTTCAATGGCAGCCTGATCAGCCTTTGACTTCGTAACCTTGGATTTTAACCATTTAAGTCTTTGCTGCAAGTCGTAGAATAGTATTTCTGTGAGCTCCACACACATCTGAGACGCAACCGCATTTGGCAAGCTTGGACGTGTAATAGTAGCATACTTTTCAAATGCTTCGTCAATGTCAAAATATACGTCATTGGCAGCAAACCATAGTTCTTCAGAGCCTATAAAAGAGTCATCCAATTTAAATAGCCCATAACGATAAACCTTTTCAGCCTCCAACACAGGAATAAACGCTCTAGTCAGTAATTCGACAGCAAAAGCTTCATTCCCTCCAATTTTATTCAATGATTTGAGAATCATTAAGATGAACTCGTTAATGTTTGTTAATCCAGCGTGGAAAAAGTCTCCATTTGGCGTACTGAACTTTTGAACAGCTTGATCAACTATAGTGTTAACAGCGGTCGTTGTGTTAGATTTTTCAAGAACCTTGTAAATATCGTGTGCTGCAGTAACCTTTTCGAACGCTCTCACCAGCTGAATCACAAGGTCTTCATCAATAATCGTACTAAAGTTTGAAGCAGTATACTCCAATAGTCTCTTCAACTTTGACTGACGAAGCTGTAAGTGGGGCTCGATAGATGATAATCTTGGAGGTAGGTATGCTGAATTGGAGTTCATGATTTCAGCAGCAACCTCAAGCAGTCCTTGCTTCAATTCAACGGAATCAATTTGTATTCCTTCTGGAAGATCGAACTCCAGTGGTCCAAGATTTTCACCACCATAAAACACCGCTTGCTCAATATGAGATTTCAGTACGCTGGGGTGTGATTCGTCATACAATTTCGACTCATCCTGTGGTAATCTTTCAATCCGCAGGACACCAATCTCAGGAATGAGCACGTACGCAGAGGGTAGTTTGAGGATCTCCTTATCCAATTCCAGATAGTTTTCAATACCACTACCAACTATTTTGAGCCCATGTCTAAAAGTGATGACATCCTCCCATTTTCTCAATCTGTTGTTTTTGACATGATCAAGTTCTGTTGGTAGTTGTGTTAATACAATTGCATCCTCGAAGATGATGAATGCCGTTGAGCCTGGTGATGGAACGTAGAGTTGTGGCTGCTTTGTGTAAGGCGTATAGTACGTACGCACTCTATATGCAGAGAAGAGTAACAGTTGAGTGTCATCTCTTCTTATGACAAATGTAACGTATGAGTTTTCGTTGGCATTTATCTTGATGTTCGTCAATACTAAGAAAACATCCTGTGAGTCAAAGTTGTTCAACAGCGCCAAATCGACAATCTCAAGATTTTTATCTATATCGACGCCCTTGTACTGTTTATCCAGGGACAGATGTTCAACGAGTGACTGGTGTATATTCTGCTGCAAGATCACATTTGATTGCCCTCCTCTTGCACAAGATCTAATGACAACCTCTCCTCCTCTGGTGACAGTGATGGCAATTCTACTTCCCTGTCCTAAGACAGCACCAGCCTTGATAGCTGCAATTTGCCTCTGTGGAGATAGAGAGAATGTGAAGAAGGATGATTGTCTGCGGACAATTTCAGATAGAGTGATGTTAGGGTTACCAGCAGCGTCTCTTAACGACACGAGGAAGACACGGCCGGTTGACGTTGCAAGTAAAATACCAGCAGGCTCAATAGATTCGGATGAAACGATGATCTCTCTATCTGAAAGTCTTATTTGAGCATCTATACCCCTGTGGTGTTGTAATAACCCGATTGAAGAAGCAGTTTCGATGTTGTCATAATATCTAACATGACCAGTGCGTGAATTGATGATGACGACACCTGGATCGGAGGATCCAGGATTAGGCGAAACCAAATGAGCGATAGGAGGAAACCCGGCATTTGCAGGAGCCACAGGCAAGTTTATAGTCACTGGGATGTTATCACTAGAGTTGTACTTCCACACAGAGACAGAAGAGTCTGAAATGAGAAGGGCATGGGAAGTTGTCTCGTTGATCAATCCAGTCACGTTCTCCCTCGCGGATGATTTCAAGGCATTCGGTGTGGCCACCAGTTTGGATACGACGTAATTCGAATTCCTTGTCAGTTCAGCAGACGCATTGGTGAAGTTACGTGGTGTTTTCAAACCGTCATCTGGCCTTGGATCAACACTCTTTGAAAACCCTTCTCTTGTAGCAAATCCACGTGGCACAAACGATGGAGAGCCGTTCCTTAACGAGAACTGTGATGTTTCTGCCATTTCAGAAGGAAGCAAGCAACAAGTTTTTTAGAATACTCCCGCTAAGATTAACTGCCAACGTTGGTACTTTTACTTAGTTGTTGATGCTGTTGTTGTTGTCGCCCTTTGTTTACGTTTACGAGTGCGAGGAACAAACACAAAAAAACAGAAAAACTTTTGAAGGATTACCCGGCCAAAGAATACAATACGGGAAAGCTGTCACCATTCACTAGAGGCCAATTAGCACAACATTGGAGCATCATCAAGGGCCCGTTGTAAGCAATAAGTGCCAGATAATCCTCTACATCATTCTACCTATATATACATACAAACATAAAGGTATTAAATAAGGATTAATATCAGATAATTGAGGTATGGACCCGTAGCATCCAACTGACGGCCCTCGAATTTAGCCATACATGGCAATTCCGACCATCCCTATCACTGTCGAAAACCGGGCTCTCACCCACCAAAAAAACGGCCGGATCTCGCCCCATCTCATCGCACAGGCTTATGCAGCTTGGGAAGGAGAAAAAATTTCCGAGCAGAAGAGCCCATAGCGCCAGCTCTTGACATCTCGAGACATAAAGGAACAACACCGGCGGAATGATCAGAACAGTGTATGTGTATACCCATTAGCTGCTGGAGAGTGATGAGGAATCAGAGATACTAACATGGAAGCAGTAAACCTAAGAATGCTCGTTCCAAGAGAGCGCTGAAGAACAAAGAGTCTAAGCTTGTTGAGAACACCAAGACTGCTCTTTTTGTACCAGGATCTAACAGCACGAAGCTATTACACGATGTTATGGTTGATCTAAGCGCCTTGAAGAAGCCAGATATCAAGCGTTTCTCGAAGAAGAACGATATCAGACCGTTTGAAGATGCATCCAAGCTGGAGTTCTTTTCAGAAAAGAACGACTGTTCTTTGATTGTGTTTTCCAGCAGTACGAAGAAGAGAAGAAACAACCTCACCTTCATCAGAACCTTTGGGTATAAGATTTACGATATGATTGAGCTCATGGTTATGGACAACTACAAATTGCTCCAAGATTTCAGAAAGACCACCTTCACCCTTGGACTCAAACCGATGTTTACCTTTAACGGGTCAGTTTTCGAAACTCATCCGGTCTATCAGCATATCAAGTCTTTGTTCCTTGATATGTTTAGAGGTGACACCACAGACTTGCAAGATGTTGCTGGGTTGCAGTATATAATTTCCATCACCGCTGGTGACTACGAAGAGGGCCAACCTTTACCTCAGGTTCATTTCAGAGTGTACACGTTAAAGACCTTCAAGAGTAATCAAAAGGTGCCAAGGGTTGAGCTTAACGAGATTGGGCCAAGATTGGACTTCGCCGTTGGTAGACGTGAGGCTCCAGCAGCAGAGATGGAGAAGGAGGCTATGAAGAAACCAAAACAACTCCAACAAAAGACGGTCAAGAACGTTGAGACCGACTTGATGGGTGATAAGTTCGGTAGAGTTCACGTTGGTAAACAGGATTTGAACAACTTACAGACGAGAAAGATGAAGGGTTTGAAGAAGAGATACGACCAAGTTGGCGAGGACTTTGACGATCCAGTCTACGACGATGAACCTGAAGAGCCTGTCACCAAGAAGGCCAAGATATAAATCTGAAGAAGATGAGAGTGGGTTTCAGTGTATAAAAAGAAAGAATGTGTATTTCATTAAAAGCTTAATATGTTTCTAAATGGTGTAGTAACAACCTCGCCTTGTTCATTTTGACTTGTTTGCAACCTTGTTATCGATCAATCTCAACAAGTTTCTCAATAGCATTGCGATGGTGACTTTACCAGTCATTGGAACGTACAATGAGGCCTTTTCCTTGACGTCTGGGTTGAAGTTCTTCTCAGAGGAGAAGTTTACACAGACGGCGCCATCCTTAACCAACTCCTTTGGGAATTTGTAGTTTGGAGATGGAACACCGGTGACGATGACGTCGGCATTCTTTGCAACGTCTTCCAAAGTCAAGTCAACGTCTTCGACTTTATGTCTCTTCAGATGAAGCCCTGCGCCTCTCGTGAATCTCTGGATGCCGTCAAGATCAACAGAATATACGGTAGCACCGTCATTTGCCAATAAAGCTGCAAGGGGACGGCCAACAATTTCAGATCTATTCACAATGACAACTTGCTTACCGTACATTCTGTTACCGTAGTCCAGCAGTGTGTTATAGACACCCAAATATTCCAAAATCTTGACAAGGGCCAATGGTGTACAGGGAAGAATAGACTTCTGTTGTTCTTCCTCATCGAGGAATCTGATGTTATGGTACATGTTCTGGATGTATTTATGGTTCAGTCCCTCGACGTCTTTCTCCAGCGAGACAACTTGTTGTAGGTATTGGTCTTGTCTGTTGCCAAACACTGGGAAATACACCATTATACCATCAACAGAATCATCCTCATTGGCGTCGATGATGGACTCTTCCAAATCATCCTTGTCAACGACCCTCAGCTCATACGTGAACCCGAGCGACTCTGACGTCTTCCCTGTCCATTCAGCATACATCTTCGCAGCTGGATCAGCATTGGCAAGAAAGCCAACCAGCTTTGGCGATCTACCGAGCTTACGGACGCCATCTTCAACTTCGCTGATATACGTCTTCGCTATAGTCGAGGCTAAAATCGTACGCCCAACTGGCTTAACTTCGGTGGTGGACATGGCTTCAGCTGTGTAATGAACTAACGGTATCCAGTAGTGGAGGCCTATGCGATTGGTGTATTACAAACACACAACTGGAGAAAAAGGGGGAGGAGACAAAGCACAATTTTGAGATAAATTTTCTGTGGGCCTCTTCGCATTCTCTGCTCTTCCTTTTCGCTTTTGACACAACGAATTTAATTTAGGCCCAGGGACACAAATAAAATTTGACTCGGGCAGGCACTCTGTGTTGCGCGAACCGTGCTGTTTCCCGACATGGCTACTTACCTAATTGGGTATTTTTGTGTTGTGGTAATGTGGTGTTTGGATGTTTGGGTGTACGGGTGTTTGGGTGTACGGGTGTTTACGTCTCGTTGTCAGCACGGTGCTCGTTTGCGGGAAACACACGGATTCTGTCCCAGTTGAGGAAAACACACACAAACACACAACAATCACAGTCTAGGGCCCTTTGTTGATCTGCTATAGCCTCACATTGTGCTTTAACTCAGGATCTGTGTATCATTTGGCAAGATACAAGACGTGGAATCTGCCTGCTTGAAGGATTGGTAGACTCATCAAGAGGGAAGACTAAGAGAGCAAAGCAGAGGTGAAGCCTTAAACTCCGTACATCTCTCGTCCCGTATAAAGGATTTACACCAGAATTCACAAGATGGGGAGACGAAGCTCGAGTAACCAGCCGGTACGTCTCACATGTCTGCGTTCATCGTTGAAATGAATTGGATTACTAACTGTGTGGAACTTCTAGGAGATGGTTCAGGTCAGTAAGTATTAAAGCCCAGCATGCCGAAAATGACGAGACGAAGCAGACAATAGAGACTAACACAGCATATTAGACCAGAACGAATTCCTGTTCGAAGAAGGTGGTGGCAGAGGAACTCATCTTCACTCCAAGTCTGTGCCATCGCTGTTGAAGACGATAACGTCCGCATTCAAGGATAAGAAGTCCATAGTTGCGGATGACCAGGTTAGAACAATGGGGGCCTCGTTCTCACATCTGGGTCTAAGTAATGACGTTGTATCATCGGTAGTGAGCCTTCCATCGAGTAACACCGGTAAGAAGAGCTCTTCTAAGTCTAAGAATCTACAGCGATGGACCTCCTCAGGGTTATCAACCCCAAGGGACTCAGAACATTATACCGATTTGGATGACGACTGGGACTCAAACGTTGAGAATTGCTTGACAAGTGTGAATTCACAGCCCAAGTTCATTGAGAATAAGCCCACCTTTGAGTACCCATTGATTAGAAAGATCAGCTCCGGTGTCAAATCCAGCACAGATGATGGAGCTCTCGCACTCTATGCACCACATATCCTCCAAGAAGAAGAGAGTCATAAAGAGTTGGAAGAGATGAATGCAAAACTATCCAGGTACCATAGATTTAAGCATCTCGTTGAAGAATCAACTGTGGATATGGACAAACTGAAAAAAATGGCATGGAATGGTATCCCTTCTGAATTAAGACCGATTAGTTGGCAATTATTAGTTGGATACCTCCCTACTAATTCCAATAGACGTGAAGCACAACTTCACAGAAAGAGACAAGAGTACTTGGGACTCATAGAACAAGAATTCACTAAGGAAAAAGACGCACAGACATGGCATCAAATCGAAATTGACATTCCAAGAACAAATCCACGTATCAAGCTGTATGGGTTCAAGTCCACTCAGAGATCCCTGGAAAGAATTCTATACCTATGGGCTGTCAGACATCCTGCATCTGGTTATGTTCAGGGTATCAATGATTTGGCAACGCCTTTCTATCAGACCTTTCTGAGCGCATACATCAAGGATGAAACCGATGTGACGCAATTCGATCCAAGTACCTTGCCAAAAGATTCGATAGATGCCATAGAGGCTGATACGTTCTGGTGCCTAACAAAGCTCTTGGAAGGCATCCAGGATAACTACATCCATGCACAGCCAGGCATCATACGACAAGTGAACGAATTGAAAGACCTCGTGAGGAGAATTGATACAGAGTTGTCAAACCATCTGGATGACGAAAACGTTGAGTTCATCCAGTTCTCCTTCAGATGGATGAACTGTTTGTTGATGAGAGAAATCAGCATGGAGAGCACAATCCGTATGTGGGACACCTATCTCAGTGAACCGAATGGCTTCAGCGAATTCCACGTCTACGTCTGCGCAGCCTACTTGGTCAAGTGGAGCGACGAGTTGAAGAAGATGGATTTCCAGGCCATCATGATGTTCTTACAGGACCCACCGACTAAGAACTGGACAGAAAAGGATGTAGAACTTTTACTGAGCGAAGCATTCATCTGGCAGAGTCTCTATAAGAATGCCACGGCTCATCTAAGAGGATAAACGTCTGATTCAACACTTGTTTTACTTCCCACCACTTTGTAGTGTCGCTCGAGATGAGGGCCTCTTCCTGCCTGGGCCTCTTCCTGCCTGGGCCTCTTCCTGCCTGGCCCGCCTACAGGGCCCCGCCTACCACGGGGGCGGGCATTGGCCCCTAGGCCATAAAGCCAGGCAGGACGGCGGCCGGAGAAGAAAAAAATTCACCAGCTGCTGATTGTTTACATCCTCTAGACGAGAGTCCTCTCAGCTCTGGCACAAGTCTCTTCGAGTCGTCGAGTTGGAAGCGATTGTAAGCAATCTGTCAGAAGTAGCAGTTGCAGTGTGTCGCTTTGAAAGGTTGACAGAAGGACAAGCCGTGAAGTAGGAGCCGGAATACCATCCCATCTCATCTCATCTCATCTCGTTCAAAGTGTTCTCGATTGCTAGACAACCCGCACGAAGGCCATCGTTGATCCTCACCAGTAGAGCAGTCCACGTGGTTCCCCAGCTCGTGTTAAAGAAGAGGGCGAAGAGTATCAGGCTGAAGAGCGGGACTGAAAAGGATACTGTAAAGGACGTCAAGCGTGAGCTCAAGAAAGATCATACCAAGCCAAAGAAACGTCCTGTGTTGCCAGAGGCCATGTATCCATTCAGAACGATAACTCATCCAACTGCTGATATCCAGCATCCTGCGATTCTGCTGCACACCTCCCAGGGTAAGAGGTACATCTTTGGTAAGGTTCCAGAGGGGTTACAGAGATGCCTCAACGAACAGAAGCTTCGAGTATCAAAGCTATACGGCATCTTCCTTACCGGCAAGTTGAACTGGGAATCGATAGGTGGACTACCTGGCTTGATCCTGACTGTCAGTGATCAGGGGAAAAAGGACCTGAATCTGTTCCATGGGTCGAACATCTTGGAGTATGTCGTATCAACTTGGAGATACTACGTATTCAGGTTTGGGATGGCTTTGAATCCGAGAGTGATTGCACAACACCATCCACATCGAGATGAGATTATGGATGTGCAAGCATTTGTGATTAACTCTTCGAAATCAGATAACAATGAACCCTTGTCGGATGAGGTTTCCGAGAAGCTTCGAGCTATAGTCCAGCGCATGTTTCCATTAGACGTGAACAATAACACTCCTGTTGAAATGGAGAGTGACGGAGTTTCGCAGAAAAGTGATCCAACTCTATCAGATCCTTATATTCATGTTAAATTACCAGATATAGAAGCTAAAGAGGCTTCCACGTGCTATGCCATTGATCTTCACCCTGTTAGGGGTAAATTTAACCCAAAGAAGGCCATTGAGCTGGGGATTCCAAAGGGACCACTGTTCGCAAAGCTGGCAAATGGGTCTGAGATAACGTTAGATGATGGGACAGTGATTAAACCAGACCAGGTGGTTTCGGAACAAAGAATCTTTAAGAGGATTCTGATACTCGATGTCCCCTCGATAGATTATACTGAGTCGTTACTATCTACACAATGGGGTGAGAACGTGGGCATTGTGTATCATTTCTTGGGCAAGGATATTGACCCATTTGATGGTGAATATATGAAATTCATCAAAGAGTTTGGCCCTGCATGTACGCATTACATTTCTCATCCGTTATATAGCCCAAACTCTTTGACCTTTAATGGTTCCTCCAAAGTTATCCTGAAGCTGAAAACACTGCAATTGGATAAGTACAACTTACCAGAATCTAGTGGAGCTCTAGTGCAGTTACCCCATGAGATCCCAGCAAACATCAAGATTCTGGTTCAAGGACAAGTTGTCAACATCGAAGCTGCTGCTGCTGATTCAGACAACAAGTACACGTTTGATGATAGTGCAGTTTCCTTAAAGACAGAAAAGGATTGGAGCAACACTTACGATACTGAAGTGACACCTCTTGATCTTAAAACTAACAATACAAAAGAACAAGTGCTGGACTTGAAGAACGTTTCATCAAATTCAATTGACCCAAACCAACCTTTGAAGGGTCAAGTGGAAACTATAACTTTTGGTACTGGTTCTGCCCTTCCTTCGAAATACAGAAATGTTATTTCAAATCTTGTGAGAGTACCATACAAGAAGGGGGAAATCACTCAATTCAGATCTATACTACTGGATGCTGGTGAAAATACCCTTGGTAGTATGAAAAGAACTCTACGTCAAGAGAATCTTGAATCTTACATGAGAGAACTGCAACTGGTTTACTTGAGTCACCTACATGCCGATCACCATTTGGGAATCATTTCCATCTTGAAGGAATGGCTAAAATTCAATACTTCTGATGACGATAAGCTATACTTAGTCACTCCATGGCAGTACTCTCATTTTGTTTATGAATGGCTTAAGATGGAGACCGATATATCAGGAATTGAAAGAATCGTCCATATAAGCTGTGAAGACTTCCTTGTGGGCAAGACAAGGCCTCAGATTGCACAGATACCATTTGAGAGTTTCATGACAGACAGAAACGAGAACAAGAAAGAAGATGTGAAATTTAAAAGAGACTCGCAGTCCGTGAACCAATTCTTTCAAGATGTTGGTATTGAAAAGTTTGAAACTTGTCGTGCCTACCATTGTGATTGGGCCTATTGTTGCTCTATCAGTTTGAAATTGGACTCTGACAGCATGAATGTGGACAATGATAACTCGAACACCTTCAAGGTATCGTACTCTGGTGATACGAGACCGAACACTTATATGTTTGCTGAAGTTATTGGACAAAATAGTGACCTGCTGATACACGAAGCAACATTGGAAAATGATCTGTTAGAAGAGGCGAAGAAGAAAAGACATTGTACCATTAACGAAGCTATTGAAGTATCCAATGTTATGAAGTCACGCAAGTTAATTCTTACCCATTTCTCACAAAGATACCCTCAGCTTCCACAAATCTCCAACAATACAGTTGTTGAAGCAGATTATTGCTTTGCTTTTGACTCAATGATTGTGAAATTTAGTGATATTGGTGATCAAACAGAGGTTTTCGACCAATTGGACATTGCATTTGCTAGCGAGAAGAATGAAAAGGATGAGGATTCTTAGACCTACACTTTCGAACATCGATGAAACAAGTTTTTATATCACACAAGAAGCTCAATTCATGCATAGAGAGAATAGGGCTCAAGCCGTGAGGTACATATTGTAAAACGTTTCCCATAACTCAACTGCTTCCTTCTGAGACTCAATTGTACTCTCCAAGAATATCTCCACCGTATTTCTGAAGTCATGGATCTTTTCGACCTCAAATGTTGCCAGCTCCTCTCTTATCGTATTGCCTATTTCATCAAATCGTTCCCTTGTTGCCTTGTATCTCTGTTCAATTGCTGTGAGTTCTGATTTGATAACTCCAATCTTCTCCGTCTGTGTTCTGTTGTACTTGACGTATTTATCAAGAGAAGCCTGCTTCTTCTTCAAATCGGTTTCTGCCACTGACAGTTGGACCAGAACCTTGTCTCTCTGTTGGAAAACAGTCTTGATACTGTTGATAATTCTCATGTATTCATCAAGCGTGGCACCCAAGGTCAGCATATCCTGTAGTGACAATCTGTCTAGAAGTTCTTTTAGCCTCATTTCAGTAGCAGCGAACTCCTGGAAAATCTCTGTTGAGCCCTTCGAGATTTCCAAATCTGCCAATGTCTCGATGATGTTGGCAAACTCCACAGTAACAGATGCCAGGTCATGTCTCTGAATGATGATAGTCTCCAAATTCTTCAAGAAAACCTTGTACTGTTGGCTTAATCCTTCAATATATGATTTCTTATCCTTGAAGTAATCCTCAGGCTCAATGATCTTTGGCGTGAAAGAGAAGGCACCTCCTATGGAGCTCAGGAATCCACCAGAGTTACTGTTCATACTATCAGATTCGTGTTCAGTGAAGATAGAGCTTGCACCGGCAGCCTTTTCACGCTCTCTGGCCTCTGAAGAGAATCGCTCACTTTGTAAGAACATGATGAAGTCAGGATCATTATGAAGAACGGGGTTCTCTGAGATCTTCTTCAACATTCTTTCAAGGGCAAACCTTCTTCCCTCGATGAAATCCTCGTTGAATCTTCCCACTGCCTGCTTGTCTGGTGGTGGTGGTACAATACGACCAGGATGTGTAGATTGCAACTGACGGTATAACCATCTGAAATCTCTATACCTTCTAGAGACCACCGTTTGTGGAGTTTTGAATAGATCGCTATCGCTGTTTGTACGAACACTGTAGGCGATATGGGCACCCGTTAGTTCGCCAACCTTGATGGGATCACCAACAGAGATTTCCATCTTCACCTGTAATTCTTTCTTCGTTGGCTTCTCCTTTTCCTTGACATTACCCTCGGATCCTGTTGTTTCAACCTGAGACGATGGGATCTTCTTGAGTGGAGAAAGAGGTGTTCTGTTGATGTGGAAAAGCGGTCCATCAGCTTGTTGGAACAACGAATCGCCCCCTGATATCTCTTCCGGATCTGCAACTTCACTTGTCTGTTCAGAGCCACCCAGTGGCCCCATAGGGTCATCAGTACCGTCATCAGCAGAAGAAGTACCCAATGGAGCAGAAGCAATCGTGCCAGTGGTGTGTTGGTGACTAGCACTCTCTGGCAACTGGGTTCTGCGGTGTCTTGGTGCCCTGTACATGTTGCGGAGACGAACCTTTGAAGGCGATGAGGATGTTAAAGTCGAAGAGGCTGCATCGTGAGAGTCGGATCCGTTGGTCAGTCCAGGCAGTTTCACTGCGCTGCCGCTGTCTTTGAACAATGCCTCATCTTTCTTTGGAGACACTATTGACTCTGAGATGAATCCCTTATCTCCATCAGTCAGAGTAGAGAGCAAACCAGACGTATCCTTTGGTTCGGCCTTCTCTTGTGGCACGTGTACAGGCTCATCATCATCGTGTTCATCCTCATCTTGCTCAATGTGTTCGTCTTGCTCCTCCTCCTCCTCCTCCTCCTCTTCCTCAGGTGTCTCGTTCTCTCTGTGATCGTCATCTGTGCCGAGGGTGTTTGCCAACTCCTCAGCCAAATTATGCTCTAGAACCATGGGTCTGGGATTGGCACTGATGGCGTCATCCCATTCAGATCCTTGTAGTGCATCGTCACTCATGCTGTCCGTTGTTGAAAGAGCTCGTTTCTGTATCCAATTGGTGTGATCTCCGCTGGTTCTGGTATTTTATGGGTGGAAGTTTCCCAGTACGCTTTGCCCTTTGAATTTTCTCCTGTGGCCTGTGCCTTCCGGGCGGTGGGCGGGGGTGCGCTCTCCCCCTACGCAGCCTCTATGAAATTTCTTCCACTAACAGCAGCCGGTGGTTGGCATCAACGGGCAAGCATCAACGGACAAGCATCAACGGACAAGCATTCGTTGAGGGAAGGATGTCGGAAGTAAGGAGTAGAAAGAAGAAGACTCCGGTGAGGTCGTCACTGGAAGGCTCAATAGATCCGGGAAGTGAACCGAAGAGCCCTTCTCCGTCAGTGAAATCATCATGGTTCTCGTCCAAAGAGCCTACAAAGGGAACACGCAACTTCTCCCTATGGAACATCTGGGTAGCCACCACGATCTTGAAAGTGCTGTTATTTGATACGTATCATTCTACCGACTTTGACGTGCATCGTAATTGGCTGGCAATCACGAACAGATTACCCCTGAAGAGCTGGTATATCGAGGCCACGAGTCAATGGACCTTGGACTATCCACCGTTCTTTGCATACTTTGAATGGGCTCTGTCGCAGTTTGTGCCTCCGAGGGTTGTTGAAGATGGATGCCTCGATCTTGTGGAGAAGGGACAGTACGGTTGGGCAACCGTGGTGTTCCAGAGAAGCACAGTGATCATCACAGAGATATTCCTGTTTGCAGTGTTGCAGACGTACATCAACTTGAGCGAGAACAAGACTCTGACGTTCATCATCGCAGGCTCACTGGTGCTCTCACCAGGGTTGTTGATTGTGGATCATATGCACTTCCAATACAACGGGATGCTCTTTGGTATATTGTGCTGTGTGATCCTGTGTGCAAGACACAAGAAACACTACTGGATGGCCTTTTGGTTTGCTGTGTTGCTATGCTTTAAGCACATCTTCTTGTATTTGGCCCCAGCGGTCTTTGTTTACTTGCTAAGAGCGGAAGTGTTGGACGTTACACAGAAGAACATCATCAAATTTGTCAAGTGGCAAAACTTGTTCAAGTTAGGAGCCATCGTCATCGCAGTGTTTGCAGTGGCATTTGGGCCTTTCATCTACTACGACGTCATGCCCCAGTTACTCTCACGTCTGTTCCCCTTCTCGAGAGGGCTGACACATGCATATTGGGCCCCGAATATTTGGGCTCTTTATTCGTTCGTGGACAAGATCTTGGTGATAGTGTTACAATGGCCGTATATCAATGGACTGCTCTCGAGACTCATCCACGTTCCATCGCGTGAAGTAATAGCTGCTAAAATCGCCAGTGCTGGCAATACTGGCACGAAGGGGCTCGTGCAAGATGTGGCGTTCATCATTCTACCAAACATAACACCACGCGTTTGTTTCCTTCTGACGTTATTCTACGACGTACTATCCGTCCTACCAGTGCTTTTGAATCCAACTTTCAAGAGATTTATCGGCGCGTTGACTCTGAATGCGTACGCTTCCTTCCTATTCGGATGGCACGTCCACGAGAAGGCTGTGATGCTCATTATCTTCCCCTTCACTTTCCTAATCACTGAGAAGAGACTGTTGAACTGTTTTATGATCATTGCAGGTGCAGGCTATGTCTCTCTGTTCCCGCTGCTGCCTAGCCAGAACATCGTCAAGGCACTTTACACATTCATTTGGTTCGTCATATACACGGTGTCTTTCAACGAGGTTTCATCGCACAAGACCAAACACGAGAGAGTCTTTATGTTTGACAGGGTTGCATTGATTTATACACTGGGCTTGATCCCAATGGTTTATTTTGTCTTTCTATTAGACATATTCAAATCAAAATATGTCATACTACAAAAGTTCGAATTTGTGGGTTTGATGATTTACAGTGTCTATTGTGGTGTTGGAGTCATTGGAAGCTGGTTTGGACTAAGTTGGTTATACTTCTTTGAAGATTCGCTTTGGGATAGTGACACAGATGAATAAGCATATATATAATGTATACATCTTATCGAATGCTTCTTGTTTTCCTTCCGTGATTCTTCTTCTTCGGAGACGTAGTCTCAGCTTTTACCTTTGCGGTTTTCTTCTTCATTTCAATTGCCTTTGTACAGTCAGGACAGAACCATTGACCTCTGGGTGCTCTCACGATGCCAACACATCCATAATGGAACCATTCAATCTTACAATTGGGATTATCACATGCAACCATTTGTCCAAAACTTGGTTCACGACAGATACAGTATATATCATTATTATCTTCATCAACGACCGACTGGTATACATCCTGTCGTTCCTCTTCCTTGGGTTCTACTGTCAGTGGATATTTACGAGGCCTTCCTCTCTTTTTCTTTTGTGGGGTAACTGATATTCCGTCGGGAGACCCTTTTGACACATTTTTCAACTTGAGTCTCAACTTGATGGAAGGATTACCGTTGGGTTTGGATATCGTTCTCTTATTAGATCGTTTTGAGTGTTTCAAGAGAACATCTTTCATTTCCATCTCATTTTGGTACATCTTGTGATCGTGTTCTAACTGAATGTACTGATTTTGCAATTGCAATTTTGCAATCTTGATTGTCGTTTCAATGGATTTGCTCTCCTCCAGTACTTCCCGCCGTATTTCAACAGCTTCATCTGTCAACCTCAACACATTCGCAACGCATTGAGTGTACGCAGAGTGTCCCGTTGATGATACGCGCTCCAATTCTTTCAACGCGGCGCTTAGCTGGTCCCTAACCGCGTAGTGTCGTATGTTAAGAGACTGTATTAGCCATAACTTCCGCGTGATATCTGACGGAAGATGATCAACGAAGGATACAAATGCAGTTCTAACATCAAACTCCATCGCGTGAACAAACCGCGCAGTCGACAACGCCAATATACGTGTTTGTTGCTTGTTATTGTTGTTTGTTTACATTTTCCTCGTTCTCTGAAAGTCGATGAGGCCGAGCCACGCTGGTTTTCTCTCTGTTTCCTGCGCGTCGAGGCAACTCCCGAGGGCAACAATGTACCGGATTTCATTCTGCGCAATACACGTGTGGGTCCTACCATTTTGGAAAACTCCGGTAGAAACATCGATGCAGAAGTGTCAACTACGCTGTATAAACAGCATTATGCAGAGCCAATAGTAGGTGGTTCATTGGGTAGGCAAACCACGCTGCAAAACAAAGATGTTTACAGCCCACGAGCTCTGAGCATGGTAGCAACATCAGTATCCGGAACAAATCACTCGATCCAACATTGGTATAAACACTTAACTCCACCATCATATCGCACTAGTTTGTGTGCTTATGTAAGCGAAAAGGAAGTCGCCAGCGCTCCCTAACCAACGATCTTGTCGCGAAGCAATTTCAGCCAATGAAAGGCGAAACAATTTTGCAGAATAAGAATATCCCGTTAGGCGCAGCATATTAGGAAAAACAGTTGTTGAAAGCAGCGAATTGGTACACAGCGAATGTCTCCCAGCAGGCGCAGAGGGATAGAGAGAGGTTGAAAAAAAAAACGAGGGAAAAAAACTAGCAGAGTTTACCACTAAACCCATTTCAACCAGGGCATTTTCCTATTAAAAACAGAGAAAACACATCATGTTCTCATCTATCAGATCTGCTGTGAGAAACAATATCGTATGTCATTGAGTCGTCTCCAACTTTGGTGGAAATCTTGTGAGGGATGGGAAGAGCAGGAATCCTTTTTCCGTAGATTTGGATTTCTTGTACACCGAGCAAAAGAGTGTGTGTGGTTATTTCTGTGAGGGACAGGAGCGAGCCAATCAAAACAGAGCTAATGGGGAAAGCTCATCAACAAAACAATTTTACAAATTCAAGGGAGTGATGTAATTGAACCAGAATCTTGTTTCTGGACTCCCTTGGAATGCTGTTGATCAATATATCCTTGGGTATTTTTGCTTGTGTTTTTTTTGCTCTTTCTTTCCGCTTCCGATATCCTCGAGGTTTCCGCTACCAGTAGCTACCATGTCCAATTCGAGTGTCCAGTTTTACTAACCAATAACCTCAGAAAAACTTCTCCACCTCTGCTAAGCAGGCATCTGCTGAGCCAACTTCTTTGGCAAAGAAGGCCATCATTGGTGGTGTTGCCGCTTCCGGTTTGACTGCTTCTTACCTCCTTTACGAGGACTCTGTCTTTGCCGAAGCCATGACTGCCGCTGAGCACGGTCTTCACCCACCAGCTTACCCATGGTCACACAATGGTATGTTTGACACATTCGACCACGCTTCCATCAGAAGAGGTTACCAAGTTTACCGTGAAGTTTGTGCTGCTTGTCACTCTTTGGACAGAGTTGCCTGGAGAACCATGGTTGGTGTTTCCCACACCAACTCTGAAGTTAGAGCCATGGCTGAGGAGTTTGAGTACGACGATGAACCAGATGATGAAGGTAACCCAAGAAAGAGAAACGGTAAGTTGGCTGATTACATCCCAGGTCCATACGCCAACGAACAAGCCGCCAGAGCTGCCAACCAAGGTGCTCTTCCACCAGATTTGTCCTTGATTGTCAAGGCTAGACACGGTGCCTGTGATTACATCTTTGCTTTGTTGACCGGTTACCCAGAAGAGCCACCAGCAGGTGTCACTCTTCCACCAGGTTCCAACTACAACCCATACTTCCCAGGTGGTTCTATTGCCATGGGTAGAGTCTTGTTCGATGAATTGGTTGAGTACGAGGATGGTACTCCAGCTACTACTTCTCAAATGGCTAAGGATGTTACCACTTTCTTGAACTGGGCTGCTGAGCCAGAGCACGATGAGAGAAAGAGATTGGGTTTGAAGGCTATCATTGTTTTGTCTTCTCTTTACTTGATCTCCATCTACGTCAAGAAGTTCAAGTGGGCCCCAATTAAGACCAGAAAGATCAGATTCAACCCACCAAAGAACTAATTGAACTAAATTTGTGCACATATATTCCAGTTGTTTTTGACATCAAAAGAGAAAGACAAAGTCATTAATCATACTTATATTCACACATGTCATTTTATGCCACTCACGTCTTTTTATGTTATACACGTTCTACAAAACTTTGATTCTTTTTCCCTTTCTTGTTGAACGTGAATGTCTATGTGTATAAGTTTGATTCTGAAGAATGAAAGAGAAGGAGAGTAAGTGGTTGGGAGACGAGAAGGGGAGAGAAGAATGGGAGAAGAATCGGATTAGAGTGAATGAATTTTTACAAAAAAAGAGATCTTTATATTTATAGTAAGTTTTAACGATCTGGAGAGGCATTTGTCTCAGGAGAATTTCAAGCTGAGGAAAACCTTGTTCATATATCCAGTTTCTCACTTTTTGTTCTATTGGTTCAGCAGTCCTTTTTCAGAATGCATGCCGTTATAAAAATGAATTCCAACGATGTAGTTACATGTACTTTGTCACCAAGCAAAACTAAGCTGATGTTGAAGTTGTAGGGTCCCTTGCATTGTGTGTTTTAGCAAGCTGTTGGTTCTTTACTCGTAGGCTCACCTATTGTATGTGCAGTGTACGCAATCTCACAAAGTGGTGATCAGCGCAATAAGTTATAATTACACGATGCTGAATATTACCAAGTTATGTTGGTATTAGCAAAAGCCTCTGAATATCAACACATTGTAGTTTGATTGAACCGTTTCTAAATGCAGAGCTTTGATTGGTTGTTTAAGTTAGAGCAGTTGTAACTAGGCCAACCACATGAAAACATCCAAACACCTCCTGAAAGCTATCAGTTAGGGGTTGTGATCTCTAGTCGTATGCAATATTACCAATAATTATGGTATTCTGGTGCCATAGATGATTCATCAACAGAATCAACTAATGCGTAGTTGAATATAAATCTGTTCAAGGATTATTCAGTATATCATAACTTTTTATTGCTTTGGTTTCTGATCATAATTTTGAGATTGATAATTGCATTTTATAAGCCAAAAAATAGAAAGTTAGTACTTGTGTAGCATAACATATCACGATAAGTTACTGGAAGAAATCAGTGAAAACACATAAAAAAGTATCTGAAAACAATAAATTCGTTAACCATATTGATGAGTTTATCCACAACCAACAAACACGTATGGCGATAGTTTTAAAGTGCCATTATTCCACTCACAACGTGACTGTTACACTTTTTTTTAGGTGACAAAACTTAAAAAAAAAAACTCCGCGACGGGGAATTGAACCCCGGTCTACCACGCGACAAGCGGTAATTCTAGCCACTAAACTATCACGGATTTTTGTTGAGTTGTGATTAAATATCGATCCCAGCATCAGTAAGTGAAGCACAATGTATCCACAGTCCCATCTGCCAATACTTCACCAAACTATTTGGTATACACTTTGAGGTGCCAATGTCATCAAGACATACCTGTCCCAACTTCCCGGTGTATTTTCTCAATACATTGTTCACAATTCACTGAAAAGCTGGTGACGCATCCGTCAAGTCAAATGGCATCATGACCCAATGTTCATCTGGTGTTGAGAAAGCAACTTCACCAGGTTTCCTGTTCTTCAATTCAAATTTGATGATTGTCTGATATGAGACGGTAAACCAATCTCCAAAACCTAAGATGACAGTTATGAAATACCTGTGTCCACACATATACAGTGCGGAATAAGAATGAACAGATCATCGTTGTGGTACCTAAACCATAGTACATTTTGGAAACAGATCACTATGTAAGTTCGTTATCTGTCATACTTTAAACATCATATGGCTAGAGATAACAGAGTATTACAGACTTATGGAAATGATTTCTAATCTTTATAAAAAACAAAAACTGCAAAATCTACAAATTATACTGTGAGAATAATTAATACGAGTAGTCCAGTTCATCCAGCGAATACGTGAGCACTAACAAGAAGACCAGTGAGTACCATTTCAGGATCGGTATATATGACTACCCTTAAACCTGAACAGTATGATAACTCATCGAAAAGAAACAAAATGCAAAGAATGCAAAAAAATCAAGTGGAAAAAAGAAAGGTAGGAAACATCATAACGACACAGTCATCGATAAGGCTCACTCTTGACCGAAACCAACAGTTTCCTCAACAGCTAAACTCATCTTTTGTTTCATGGAATCGTAGTCAACATACGGAGGTAAGTCCACTCTGTTGAAACACGTGTGGGATTTTGGAAGCTGGTTAGGTTCGCCAGCCTTTTCAATGGTAAATCTTCTTGGACCATCAGAACCTTGTAAATCCTTGAAACCATTAACTGGGATTCTGGAAGTACCAGTAGTGAATTGTAAAAGTCTGGCCCTTTGTTCATTATCCCATTCGGAAATACATTTCCAGAACCATTGGATGACTTCATCAGACTCTTGGTATCCCCTATAGTCGGTATGCTTCTTCCAGTCATCAACGTCAATTTCAGCGATACCACCAATCAACAACTCCAACTCTCTCTCGTCAAACACATTCACCAGCTCTTCTGGTATGAGTTCGTTGAAACCATCCATAAATGCCTTGAACTGCTCCTCAACACACTTGTAAATCTTCCACTCAGTGATGAGCTCAACATATTCCTTTTTATTATCATTTGTCACTTCAATCTCTCTTCCATTTGGTTTCAAATCAACCTCATGCATCTCTCCAAATCTCTCCTCCTCTGCAGAGAACGTGAGGTCAAGGATGCCCTGAATGTCGTTTTCAAGCATCCATTTCAATGATCTATAGAATTCAGCGTCAACACCCTCCATATCTTGCAACACAACCTTTTTGTGCAGCATCATCTTATAAAGAGCACCAACAAAGAATGCATCCAAGAATCTTCTGTGGAATACACCCAAACCAACAACTCTTCCAATGAACTTGAAGTAGTTCAAATGTTCTGGGTTGATACCAGAGTTTGGATTGATTTGAAGTGTGTAGTTATCGTGAGCAGAGTATTCGAACAAACAGTAGAATGGGTTAAACATTTCATGTGACAAAAGGAAGAAGAATTCTCTTGAAACACCACCGTAGTCCAGACCTTCTTCACCTTCGAATTTAATCATCAATCTCTTCTTCAAATCTTCAGGAGTTTGTCTCATAATTTCTTGGTATGAGTCTTCGAAGATGTGATCTCTTCTAACCTTGATGTGACACTGACCTGGTAGGATTCTCAAAGCTGGTTGAGATCTGAAGTAGATAACCTTTCTTCTGAAATCTCTCTTATATTGAGGAACATTTTGATCAAGAGACGATGGCAATCTTGGATCATCCCATGTCGTAGTCTTCGTGTTGTGATCAACAAAGTACACCCTGGCGGTGTTCGTAAGTCTCATCTCCCATCCACTTGGCAAAGGACCCAACTGTGATACTGGTTGTTGTTGTACTGTTGTGTTTGGTCCATACGTTCTAATGTATTGTTGTCTTCTAGGATCAACCCATGTGGTGGTTCTTGTGTTGTGATCAACAAAGTAAGGGCGTCCCTCGGGTGTAAATCTTTGCTCCCAGCCAGGTGGCAACTCACCAAGTCCAGAAGTGGTACCCCCAGTAGCAGCCAAAGATACTGCAGATGTTCCACTCGAAGCAGGAGCACCGCCAACGGTGTTTACCGTGATATTATTTGGATTTGGAGATGATGCTCTGTCATCAGGAAGCGTACGACCACGATGTTGTCTACGTTCAGCTTCCGTAACGTTTTGTCTCTGTTGACCACGTTCTGATTCTGACTGTTCGAGGGTTGGTCTTTTCCAAGTGGTGGTTCTGGAGTTATGGTCAACGTAATAGGTACGGCCAAAGTTGTCGGTTCTTCTCTCCCAACCAGGTGGCAGTCTTCCATATTGATCTTCAAACGACGAGTACTGTCTGTTTGAGTTTGAGGATGTTCCAGCAGAAGCAGCAGTACTAGCAACAGCAGCAGCAGCAGAGGTATTCGAAGATTGGACTGCACTAGAGCTCGAACGGCTTGAGCCTCCAATGGCTGCGGAAGGTCTGGATCTGGAGGAGGCAGTCGACCCATTGGTGGCAGAATGGGACACCACAATGATCAATCTACCACTGACGACAACGTTATCGTTAGACTTCTTCAGCTCCCTGGTGATTGTCTCCTCAAAGTTCGACAAGCTCAAATCGATAACATCTCCTATTCTAATGTTGACGACACCCAGGAACCCTTGGTCTTTCTTCTTGAACTTCTTCTGATCAAACACCTGGATCACAAGGATGGAGTTTTCGTTGGCGTTGAAGGTGAAGGTCTCGTTCCAATACGGGTTGAGCGTCTTCTTTGCAGCAGACGTGGACTTTGTCTGAGAACCATCAACAGTGAGAACGGCAAAGGGATCTGGACTGCGAAACACATCCCTCTTGTAAAGAGACTCAGCAGCAACCACTTTAACCGTGATTGTAGTGTTCCTATAGAGATTCCACGTTAGTATTCACCCAGTAAGGAGGGATAATTGCTGCTCTTATCTTCGTCTAAAGGCTCTCCAACTTCGGCTGTGTTGACAGGCGCTGGCGTCCTCTGTATAGCAGCGACAGCGAGCCAGGCAGAGTGTCCACGGCGTGGGGGGGGGGAGGCGGGCCTCCCCGTCCAAGAAAAAACACACACACACAACAAAGACAAGGTAAATCCCAAGAACATGGAGGGAAAAACAGACCGGAAGAAGAGAAAACACACAAAAAACACACGAGACATAATGATACTCACCCTGAATGAGACATAAGTGTGAAAGTAATCGATACTAATGGATAAATATATTCCTTCTTCCTGTTTTGAAGCTCTCAAGTCTTAGTATACGAAGCAAAAAAAGGCAACAGGGTAGTGAAAAAAGAGGATGTGTAGAAATTGACCAAAATAAGAACAACAGAACGAGGCGTTGAAGTAGCACAAAGCGTGAGAGTAAATGAGCCACAAGGATTAAACACAGTGAACTTCTCCCAATGCTTAAGCCTTGTTTACTAAAACACTTTCCCTTCTGAGGTGTTTCTTTGTTAAAGAACTGACAAACGATCCAATTGTGTTCCTTCTTGAGGTGTGTGTGCTCCTTTTTTTTCGCTCATAGTTTTTTTATCACAACGGCAAGTTCCGTCTGTTGGTGCACACTGCAAGGTCTAAGCCAAAAACACATTCGGGGGCTTGTTGATCCGGAACTTGTTGCATGTTCTATGTATAGCCACAATAGAGCATCGAGTTTTTCTTAGCCGTCACATGGACCTTAGTAAAATTACTACTGTATGAGTCATGTAAAGGTCAAACAACGTAGATAAAACACAGTAGTCACGCGTCACTTGAAAATATCACAAGACTTTATCTTTCAGTTCTTTAACAAAGTTCCACGGCGTCTTTGCTCCTCTTCAAGAGTTTCAAATAACGCTTTAAAATTCCCCTTCCCAAACCCATTGTGATTATGCCTTTGAATGATTTCGAGGAAAAAGGTTGGCCTGTCGGTCAATGGCTTTGTGAATATCTGCAAAAGGTAGCCCTTTTCATCAAAGTCAATCAAGATACCCAACTCTTGTAGCTGGCTGATATCTTCTTCGAGGGACAAGCCAGTGCGCAAGAGTCGAGGTAGTATGCTTTCATAGTAGAGATTTGGAGTTGGGACGAACTCGACACCTCGAAGACGCATGTTCCTCACTGTGGTGACAATGTCATAAGTAAGAACAGCAATATGTTGAACCCCTGGTCCGTTGTAAAACTCCAAAAACTCCTCTATTTGGGATTTGCAGATACCCTTTGCCGGCTCATTCATAGGCATCTTGATCTTTTCGTTACCAGAAGCCATCACAATGGAACGGAGCGCGCTGTACTCTGTAGAGACATCCTTTTCATCAACAGACCAAAACTTGTGGAAGCCAAATATCTTCTCATAAATGTCACAGGAAGGCTCTAATTTGTTCCAATCCTCATTCTGAACACAGTGGTCGATCACTGCAAGTCGCACTGGCGGGAATGTTTCAATGCATGTAGAGATGTACCGTGCAGAGTATGGCACATCCTTCAGCGAAGCGTAATGGGGCAAAAAGGGACCTTGATAGTTGATATATTCAACAAGTGTATGCCAAAGATCGTCAAACACCTGTATAGTTGCCATCTTAACGGAACCGTTTTCATCAGTTTCTATATGCGGTGTCGAAATTGATGTAGCACCACCTCTAACGGCTCTTTCGAATACAGCAGTAACATCACTGACTGTAAAGGCAATATCCTTTACACCATCGCCATGGGTACGGATAAAGTCATGGATTTTAGAGACTAGGTATTCTTCAGAAGTATCCTCCTTCAGATTCGCAATTGGGGATACAAATTCAAAGATAACATCGCCATTCTTGACAACATGGGAAGAGTATCGTTTTGATCCTGTTTCTAAACCCTTATAAGCAATCTGTTCAAACCCAAGACAGAAGTTGAAAAAAAGTGCAGCTTGTTTTGCATTTGAAACAAACCAAGTGGCGTGGTGATAAGCTTGAAAATAATTCTCTGAAGCATCTCTGGATCCTATGGCCTTGGTTTCCTTCGAAGCCAACTCCATTAGCTCTTTTGAATAACTACTCTGGAGACTGCCGGTTCTCTTGACGAGCCCGTCTTCGCCATGTAAGCGTGAGGGCTGAAGAAAATCACAAAATGTATTAGAGGCATCGCCCGCATGGGGCGCCGGTGACGAACAAGCTGATAAACTGAAACATGGCGTAAAGCTTGATACGTTAGACATGGCGTGAAACTTTTCTATAAACGTTTGTGCAATGGTATAGCGACTGTCCTTGATAGCTTAAAAGCAAAAAAATCCTATTCGACTTCGTTATAAGAACCAATTGTTGAGCTATAAGTAAAGGGAACATGCCCTTATATATTTCATCAACCATTGGACTTTTGTGTCAGTTGTCACAAAGAACGCTTCAACGATTCGAATAAGGTCTCTTTCGTGCAGATCACCAAATTACGCATAAACGCACAAGGCCGTCACGATGAATGGTGATATTTCATGACTTTGGGTTTCAGATGTTCACACTGGGTTCTGAATTGAATTGGTCCACAATAGAGATGCGTTGCTGTTAGAAGGATGTTGATTGTAACACCCAAAGATGAGCCGGTAGTAGAAGCTGCAACGTCTAACTCCACTGCCCAGTGTGTACTGGGGGAGCAAAAAAAAATGCGCGAGCCCGGAGTCGAACCGGGGGCTCCAAGATGGCAACTTGGAATTTTACCGCTAAACCACTCGCGCTTCTTGTACGAACCGGAAGGAACATCTCTCAGCCCGACACTGTACATGAAGATTTACCGAAGATATGCTCTCGCCTTTGTAACGCTTTTGTGTCTCTTAATTTTTTTTTCAAACTCCTCCTTAACTTACCCACTAATAAAAGGACCAGCTGTTACTCTATCAAATATCCACAGTAATCAGATTATCTCTTATTCACTGATGCTGACTTTTGTTAGTGCTTTAAACACAGCTGTCACAGCTCTTCGTCCACTCGGTTCTCTGTGCGTGGCCCTATCATAGTTCTCTCAAAATTTTCCTGCAGCAGAACTTCACGAGAGAATGAAATAGGCCCAAAAAACAGTGCACCTCATCGCCTACACTTTGACCTAAATATATAAACCAAGGTTGTGAGAAGCGGGTGCCATTTGTCTTTGCTTTGAAAACCATCTAAATCATGGAGGACGATTTATTCTCTGTCTTTGATGAAGCGCCACAGGCTCCTCCGGAGGTGGTTGAAGATGTGAAGGAGGAACCAAAGATTCAAGAGATTCACGAAGAGAAAGAGCAAAAGGAAGATGACGTTTCTAAGAAGAGACCAGCGTCTCCGAGGGTCGAGGAATCGACCGAAAAGAAACAGAGAAAGGCAGTCAAGGGCAAGAAACTTGTCGATACCAAGGAAAAATCTGATGTTATTCCTATGGTTGCCGATTCCTTTGAACAGGAAGCATCTCGTGAAGTCAAGGCCTCCTCTGGATTGATGGCAAAAGTTGAGGCCGAGACAGACGATGGGAAAGTTAAACTCTCGCATCAGGTTCGTCACCAGGTTGCTGTTCCCTCTGGATATCCTTATAAACCAATCGGTCAGCATAAGAGAGAGAATGAGGCACGGACATATCCGTTCACTTTGGATCCTTTCCAAGACACTGCCATTTCCTGTATCGATAGAAACGAGTCTGTGTTAGTTTCTGCTCACACTTCGGCAGGTAAGACTGTTGTTGCAGAGTATGCTATTGCACAATCTCTGCGTGCAAAGCAAAGAGTCATCTATACATCTCCTATCAAGGCTTTGTCGAACCAGAAATACCGTGAACTTTTAGCAGAGTTTGGTGACGTTGGTTTAATGACAGGTGATGTCACTATCAACCCAGATGCTGGTTGCTTGGTGATGACCACAGAGATTCTAAGATCTATGCTGTATAGAGGTTCTGAAGTTATGAGAGAGGTTGCATGGGTCATCTTTGACGAAGTTCATTACATGAGAGATAAGGAAAGAGGTGTTGTATGGGAAGAGACAATCATTTTGTTACCAGACAAGGTCCACTATGTGTTCTTATCCGCCACCATTCCAAATGCCATGGAGTTTGCCGAATGGATTTGTAAGATTCATTCCCAACCTTGTCACGTTGTCTATACAAACTTCCGTCCAACTCCATTGCAGCATTATCTTTTCCCAGCCAATGGTGACGGTATTCATTTAGTTGTCGATGAGAAGAGTACTTTCAGAGAAGAAAATTTCCAAAGAGCAATGGCTTCTATCTCTAACAATCAAGGTGATGATCCATCATCCACCAACTCTCGTGGTAAGAAAGGTCAGACCTACAAAGGTGGTAACAAAGATTCCAAGTCTGATATTTACAAGATTGTTAAGATGGTTTGGATAAAGAAGTTTAACCCGGTGATTGTGTTTTCTTTCTCCAAACGTGATTGTGAGTCCTTAGCACTCAAAATGTCCAAGCTAGATTTCAACACTGAAGAAGAACGTGAAACACTCACAAAGATTTTCAACAATGCTATTAATATCTTACCAGAGAATGATCGTGAACTGCCTCAAATCAAACACATATTGCCTCTTTTGAGACGTGGTATTGGTATCCATCATTCTGGATTATTGCCAATTTTGAAAGAGATCATAGAGATTCTTTTCCAAGAAGGGCTATTAAAAGTGCTCTTTGCTACTGAAACTTTCTCCATTGGTCTGAATATGCCTGCTAAAACAGTTGTATTCACATCTGTTCGTAAATGGGATGGTAAAGGATTCCGTTGGGTTTCAGGTGGTGAATATATTCAAATGTCTGGTCGTGCTGGTCGTCGTGGTCTTGATGATCGTGGTATCGTTATTATGATGATTGATGAGAAAATGGAACCTCAAGTTGCTAAAGGAATGGTCAAAGGTGAGGCCGACAGACTGGACTCCGCATTTCATTTGGGTTATAACATGATTTTGAACTTGATGAGAGTCGAGGGTGTTTCACCAGAATTCATGCTTGAACATTCTTTCTACCAATTCCAAAATGCTGCCAGTGTCCCTATCTTGGAGAAGAAATTAAATGAGATTGAAGAGCAACTTTCAAACATAAAGGTTGAGGATGAAGCAACTGTCCGTGATTATTACGATATCCGTAAACAGTTGGACACATATAACGATGACGTTCGTCACATTATCACGCAACCTGCTCATGTTTTAAGTTTCCTCCAACCGGGTCGTCTTTTGAAGGTTAAAGTTGGCCAATTTGACTACGGATGGGGTGTTGTGATCAACTTTGAGAAGAGAAGTAACAAAAGAAACAAAAGTGAGACGTATACAGACCATCAGGCCTATATCGTCGACGTATTGGTTAACACAATGTTTGCTGATGCACCAGTAAACTTGATCAAGCCATTTAATCCAAACTTTCCTGAAGGTATCAGACCTGCCAAGTCTGATGAGAAGTCCAAGACTTGTGTGATTCCAATTACTCTTGATTCTATCCAAGAGATTGGTAATCTGAGATTGTATATGCCGAAAATTATTAAGACAGATCAAGTCAAGGACACCGTTGCAAAGAGTTTGCAAGAAGCACTTCGTCGGTTAGTTGATGGAGTTCCAACATTGGATCCTGTTGAAAATATGAAGATTGATGACAACGATTTCAAGACGTTATTGAAGAAGATCGAAGTGTTAGAGTCCAAACTATTTTCGAACCCATTGGCCCAATCTCCAAGACTAGCAGAATTATATGATGAATATAGCAAGAAAGTTGCATTATCAGAAGATGCAAAGACACTCAAGGATAAAATCTTGGAAGCTCAAGCGGTTATTCAACTTGATGATTTGAGACACCGTAAACGTGTTTTGAGAAGACTTGGGTTTACCACTGCGAATGATGTCATTGAACTCAAGGGCCGTGTTGCATGCGAGATATCTAGTGGTGACGAACTGCTGTTAACTGAACTGATTTTCAACGGTAACTTCAACGAATTGACACCTGCGCAATGTGCTGCTTTGCTCTCGTGCTTTGTGTTCCAAGAGAGATCCAAGGAGGCTCCAAGGCTCAAACCTGAACTTGCCGAGCCTCTAAAGCATATGCAAGAAATGGCATCCAAGATTGCTAAAGTCTCCAAGGAGTCCAAGATCGAGATCGTTGAGAAGGACTATGTTGAGAGTTTCAGATCGGAACTGATGGAGGTTGTATATGAATGGTGTCGTGGCGCAACTTTCACACAGATTTGTAAGATGACGGATGTTTATGAAGGAAGTTTGATCAGAACATTCAAGAGATTGGAGGAGATGTTGAGACAGATGGTTGTTGCTGCTAAGACCATTGGTAACGTTGAGCTAGAAGAGAAGATGGAGAAGGCTACCGAATTGGTGCATAGAGACATCGTCAGTGCTGGTTCTCTATACTTGTGATGTGGGTCTCATCTCCTGTTTAGACAAGAAAGAATAACGTATAATAGATAAGTTGTTGTGCTCTAGAGACTACCGACCGTGTAAGATGGATCTAATAGCAAAAAACCGGGGGAGTGAGATGAGCTTGGTGAATTTTTTTCGTTTACCCCAGATTTCGGAGAATAGAACATGCCCTGGAACCGCTTCTCCCCTAGTTTTTGTCTGCATGTGATGAAACTTAAACCCCCACGCTTGCTGCCTTGTCCCTTGAAAGCCACACAGTGCCGTAGGTAAAGAACGAATGAAAGCTGGGTTAAACCAGCGGCAGCTTTACAACAGCGAAACGGCTGAATGTATCCGATAGGGCATGCTGTGCTATCCTTAGGACTTCAGAAACAGGAGTGCAGCAAAAAGCTGGAGAAAATTAATAGGAAAACTGGAGTTAAAGACGCAAAAACGTGGGGTGAGACGACAGTGTTGCAATAGACAGATCATTATTTCCTTGTTTCCTAATTTAACAATGGCATCAGACAACAAATGTCGAACGTATCTCCTGATTTGCAAGACTTGTGTTCCGCCCCCGAGATGACCTTGATCATTCAGAGGTATTGGCGGATCGCAGCGATGAAGCTTGTAGGTCCCGCTAGTAGAACAGGCCATGTGGTTCAACGTCTCTCTCTCTGTAAAAGACCTCAGACTCAAGTTCTAACGTGTCGATAGAGGATTGGGAGGTGTGTCGCTTATGGCTGGCGTTTATCCTTCCGGCTGTCTCCGGATAGAATCCGTGCTTCAGTGCGTAGAGCGCTGTTCCATCCAACAGAAGCCATAGGGGACTTGAGGGCACGCTTCTCGCATCCGTAATCTTCCTGCTTGGAACCGGGGAAGAGGCACGGTACGCGCCGCACACAGCTCCTAGAAGCGCACGCCGAAGTTCGGTGAAGAAGATATCCGTGGGCTGTGGGTAGATTTTCACTCAATGACAAGACCTGTAAGACTCTGGCACCACGATCTCCACTGTTGTGCATCCAATCTGTTCTCCCTCAAAATGTCTCGTAGACGAACCAGTGCCATAGGCATTTGACCGTTATCGCCAAAATGTGATCATTTAACCTTGCGATGTGTCAAAGGAAGAGACGTCACCTTTTCCGCTTTGCTCATCTGCAAAAGTGTGCGAGGCAAAAATAAGGCAAAAAGGACAAGAAAAATAATCTGGGGTAGAAAGCGGTACGCGCCACATCCATACTAAACTATGGGGGGGGGGGGTAGGGCTTTAAGGTTTTTTCTTTTTTTTTCCCAAACGCAGTTGCATCAAAATCCCCGGGCAGTAGGAAGAAGGAGCCCATCAGCTGCGGAAAGAGGACAGACAGGCAAATGGAGGGGCGATTGAAGAGTGAGTTGATGGGTTTGAATACTGGAGAACACCGTATCACAGCCAACGTGATCACCAGCTAAACCATCACCAATTGAAGACCTTGCTTGCACAGCAAAGCACGGAGAAATGGCCTGTCTCCTCCATGTTTTCTGCCCAATTCCAAGAGGCCAAATGCTGTTTGCGCCTCACCACTTATGTCCCACGTAAAATTTGGAATAGCCTTTCCATGGATTTTCTACAGGAGAGAAAACTTATCCGGGGTTGTCCTGTGGAAAGTTGCGAGCAGCTGTCTTGTGAGAGATAGGAGGTCTTGCCCTTTTAGCTATAAATATGGGAGTGATTTCCCCAGATTTCCCCTGGCCCTCTTGTTGTTTCTCTCCCCTCAACAGTTTTTGACTGCCTTTAACACATACACACATCTATACACACAGACATAATGTCACCATCAAAGGTCCACAGCAATCCAAACGCAGCCCTTATTGAGAAGCTTGGTCTCCACCCAGACGTTGTGCTTCGTCACAACGCGTCTGTCCCAACTTTGTACGAGGATGGTCTTCTGGAGAAGAAGACCGCCATCTCGTCCTCCGGTGCGCTCATGGCTTTCTCCGGTGAGAAGACTGGTAGATCTCCAAAGGACAAGCGTATTGTTGACGAAGAGACCTCCACAAACAACATCTGGTGGGGCCCAGTGAATAAGAAGGTTTCTGAGCACACATGGAAGATCTCCAAGGCCAGAGCTGCTGACTACTTGAGAACCAGAGAAAAGGTGTTTGTTGTTGATGCTTTCGCCGGCTGGGATCCAAAGTACAGAATCAAAGTCCGTGTTGTCTGTGCCAGAGCTTACCACGCTTTGTTCATGAGAAACATGTTGATCAGACCAACCGATGAGGAGTTGGCCAACTTTGGTGAGCCAGACTTCACCATCTGGAATGCCGGTCAATTCCCAGCTAACATTTACACCGAAGGTATGACCTCCAAGACCTCTGTTGAGATCAACTTCAAGGAGATGGAGATGGTGATCCTCGGTACCGAGTATGCTGGTGAGATGAAGAAGGGTATTTTCACTGTCATGTTCTACTTGATGCCAGTTAACCACAACGTGTTGACCTTGCACTCCTCTGCCAACCAAGGTGTTGAGAAGAAGGATGTCACTTTGTTCTTTGGTTTGTCTGGTACCGGTAAGACCACCTTGTCTGCTGATCCAAACAGACTCTTGATTGGTGATGATGAGCACTGTTGGTCTGACAATGGTGTCTTCAACATTGAAGGTGGCTGTTACGCCAAGTGTTTGGGATTGTCTGGTGAGAAGGAGCCAGAAATCTTCAACGCTATCAAGTTTGGTTCAGTTTTGGAGAACGTTATCTACGATGAGACCACCCGTGTCGTTGACTACGATGACGCTGCCATCACTGAGAACACTCGTTGTGCATACCCAATTGACTACATTCCATCGGCCAAGATTCCATGTTTCGCAGACTCTCACCCAAAGAACATTGTTCTTTTGACCTGTGATGCTCGTGGTGTCCTTCCACCAGTTTCTAAGTTGACTAACGCTCAAGTTATGTACCACTTTATCTCTGGTTACACCTCCAAGATGGCTGGTACTGAGGAGGGTGTCACCGAACCAGAGGCTACTTTCTCTGCTTGTTTCGGTCAACCATTCTTGGCCTTGCACCCAATGAAGTACGCTCAAATGCTTTCTGACAAGATGACCGAGCACAAGGCCAACGCTTGGTTGTTGAACACTGGTTGGACCGGTGCTTCCGTCTCCAAGGGTGGTAAGCGTTGTCCATTGAAGTACACCAGAGCCATCCTTGATGCCATCCATGATGGCTCATTGGCCAACGCCGAGTTCGAGACCTTCCCAGTCTTTGGCCTCCAAATTCCAAAGGCTGTTGGTTCCGTTCCACCAGAGATCCTCAACCCACTCAAGACCCAAACCGACCTTGAAGGTTTCAACAAGGAGGTTCGTGGTTTGGCTGAGTTGTTCTCTGAGAACTTCAAGGGCTACTCCTCTGAGGCCACTGCTGAGGTCATTGCTGCTGGTCCAACTCTCTAATTGCACTAACACTGTTATAACGGTACATAAATATTTGGGGTTTGTATTTTTTTGGTTACTATGCTTTACATAACTTTTCGGGAATTCGATATTGTTCAGTTTGAACTATCATTCATATTCATTGTTGCAAAATTATTTCATCCATTGTAGGTTTCATGTCATCATCATTTCGCCCATGGTGCTTTAGTTGTGGGAATACCACCAGCTTGTGCCGACGAGCTTGAAGGTCTGTTACTGATGCTGGTGCATGGTTGTTTCATGGCGTGTTCCAATTCATGATCTGTCATCCTGGCACCACTTGCAATGACTTGATCCTGGAATGACTGCGTAGCTGAACCACTGATTGGGTTCGAGATCCACGGAGCATGCACCTGTTGTTCCTCCCTGACCTTCCAATCTTGAGTTGCTTCTTTTTTGAGTTTAGATACGTCTTCATCACCAGTAGATATTGGCAACGGCGAGCCGTCTTTGGCATTGGTCCATGGGAAGAGAACTCCTCCAAAATAGAAATGCTGAACTACGGGGAATTTCCCAAAAACTTCAGCTTGGTACATCTTCAGCATGCCTTTAAGGATCTTCGACCACGTCTTTATACTCGAAATATCGTAGAGTATGGGCGAATGCTCAAAGAATGCGCCCTTCTTCACTTTGTAGATGAACGCGATCGCATTGAAGTACATGTTGGTAGTACTGTACTGATAGACGATGGATCTGTTATTAACGTACTTCGGCAATACGGAGGTTGTTGTTTTGTCTTGCTTCAACAGTTGGGAACTTCCCAAGATGTATATAATGTGGAAATGGTCGTCCAACCCCCAGACTCCATGGCTTCCAGCTGGCTCCAACGTATATGTTGTGATGAGCTTCCTTGTGAGGTTATAGTAGTGACCGAACATTATCAAAAAATCTGATCCATTGACTGTCCTTGGTAATATCCCAACTTTCCAAAGTCCAGTTAGGAATGCCAAATAGTTCAACTCGTGCCCTGTTCCGTAATCTAACCTCTCCATGGAGCCAAATGCGTTGGAGATATACCATTGTAACTCGAGCAGATACTGATCACGGTGAGCGCCAGAGTATAGTGGTCCAATGAATTCGTGCATCCATTTGTTCAGCTGTGAGTCCAGTTTCCTATGCCAGTCTCTACAAGCCATATTACCGTACCTTCTTGGACCCGGTAAAGGCGGCGTGCAGTCAACCAGTGTAGATAGCTGACGTAGCAATGATACCACGGCCTGGACGCATGGTTTTAGAGGCGTGTTCCCGTCTGACGGAGCAGCATTGTATGGGAGGTCAAACAGCTCATGTGAGTATTTCTCAATCTCATCATCCGTGTACAGATCATTGACCGAAAACACACCACGCGGAACCTGTACACCTTCAACAAGAGACGTTATAGTCGATAGAGACTTCTGCAGTTCCACCAGTGCGGTGGAAGATTGGAATAGACGGAGCCCATATTCATCATGAATACGCTTCTCTGGTTCTCTAAAGAGCAGATCCTGCGGTAAGGAGAATTGGATATCTGTCATTTCGTGTGAACAGCTGTACTCGGGTATAGCTGATATGGCAAAACTAATGAGTGTATTGCTTCTGTAGATATACACGGTCCTGTTGTCCAGGTGTTTTGAGTCCTCGGATAATTGGATGTCCGGATGTGTGAATGTCTGGATGTTTGTGTGTCCAGGCTGTTTAAACTTCAACTGAAGGATCGAAAGCGCACGGACAGAAAAAGAAAGAAAAAAAAGTCTGGAGAGTTCGAGACAGGGACCTTAGGCGCATGGAAAAGTTTACAGCGGCAGTAGAGGAGGAGGACACAAATCCAAGAACAAGGAAAAAACACACATACAAAAATAGTACGCACAACACAGGGAAAATTATTAAAACGTGACATCTTTTTCACTGGGTTATTTCATTTGTCCTCCGCTTCAGAAGGACGCTGCAAATTTATAAAGTTCAAGAACACTCTGTGTGACTGAGATATATCCATCGACTAAGGGGATCTACATTGCCATTTACGCACTTTAATGTCCTTAGAATCTGCATTAGCCACCGACAACAACCGTCTTGTCTCGCACCTGTCGCCTGGCAGGGGAAGAGATGTATCGCTTTCCCCTACAAACACTGGTGGCCAGTTGCGCTCCATATCTCGTGGTCGTACAAGGGGTCGCTCCTCTAGCCGTAGGCCTAATGGTTCGAGGGCCGCGAGCCAGAACGAGGAGACGAACTACCGCTGGTCGGTTTTAACACATGACCCCTTTGAAAGGTTTGAAGGGAAGAGTATAAGACCGGATGGCACTCCGAACCCTGAGGACGACTACAGTGATGAAGAGCAAATTAGCGACGATGAGGCCGATTTCGACTTTGACGTTAATGAGATGAAACTCCCGAACTTTGGTTGCTCCATTAACGATTACTACAAGAGGAGATCAAGCACGATAAAGTCAACAGCGGCTGCACTGGAGCGTTTATCCATTGATGAACAGAACAGACAGAATTTGCTGAGAAAGAAAGAAGAGATGGAGAAACTTAGCGAGGCGCTAGCCTTGGAGAAGGGTCTTGATGATGCCAAAATAGTTGGTAACAGTGTGCCAGAAGGAATGGCGGAGTCGATTCATGAGAAATTGCGAGAGCTGGGCATTGTGCATCCCCACGACGTTAAGGCCGAGGAGCTAGTCAAGTTGCAAAACAGAAAGAACAAGACTCTTGACGATTACAAGAAGTATATCATTGAACATTCAGGAAAGACTGCTGATTCAGGACCTTCGTCAGAATCAAACAAGAACATTGTGAAGAGCAAGTTGGAAGTTAACAATGACAACCCGAGAGTTTCAAGAAGCTTGACAGTTGGCGATTTCTTCAACACAGAAAAGACACCGAAGGATATCAACACATACATTGTTTATATGGATATGAGTGTGGACTCTCTGATGGCTCTTCAATACACAATTGGATCTACGGCGAGCTCCGGAGACGTTATTTATATTATCAACTGCTCCACAGATAAGTTTGCACAGATGGAGTTCTACGAGAAACAAGTTGATACCTTGACTGGATATGCTGAGAGCTGTCTAAACTTGCTCTCCGATCCAGAATTCAAATTGCACATTGTCATCGAGAGCACGTACAGACCATTCACAAAACATTTTGTCAACCAGTTAGTTGGGTTCTTGAAGCCTTCTTTGTTTGTCATTGCATACCAAGTGCTTATCACCACCGACAAGTTGGCGAACTACATCACTGCTTGTCCTTTCCAAGTTATAAAAAGAAAGAGCAGACGGAGATCAGTTGGATATTGAACAGTCTGCATGTGTCATGATTCACACTTTGTTACTCAATCCAGACTCTTTACTTCAACTACTTTTGTACATGAGATAATATGTTGTTTTTACATCATGTTTTAGTATTTACAGAGCCAACATGTTTATGCCAGATATTATACACAGATGATCCAAGTTATTTCATTTCACCAGATAGTTGTAATCAATTATATATGGTGATGGGTATTTCTCATCCGTTAAAGTCAGCCAATCGTTGTTGCTGTGCATATGGCTCCTCGACCATGATCGAGATGTCCACGACCAGTAACGTATGTCCCAAAACAGCAAAAAGGAGGCCAAATTCTCGTGCACGGCCTGTACTTTGTTCGTCCGTTGAGATTGGTCTATTTCCCCGGGCTCGTACCGTTTTTCGATGGACGTTTACCCGGGGCATGCGATTCGCGACGAACTCCAGCCCGGGAATTGCCAGGCACTTTTCGAGTCAATTTCTGGACATGGGACATTTCTTTATTGCTTGAAGTGGGTGTCATCCCAAATAAAAACGTTCCAGATATTTCCTTTTAATTGGGATAGGATATTAGTACTTGTAAAACAAACTTCTAACAACAAATACAATGGGCTAGAAGAAGAATTGTGTTTTGTTTGTCCTCGGCTATCTCTTTTCACGTAGTATACAGCTCCGGGGAAACCATGTGTCAATATCCTGTTTTTAAGAGTTCCCCGAACGTAAGACATGCAAGTGCAACAACGACAACCCCGTCACTTATTCTTTGGTCTTTCCATCATATATGAGCTCACAAGTGATCTTTCATAACATCCTGTATCCATTGTATTAATTATTCATAGAAGGATTCAGTTCTGTACTCAGTTGTTGTTCTCTGAGTTCTAAGCCATAGGAGATCCAAGACAATACCTATCCAGATCTACATGGCTAGTGTTTCTGGCACCTTGAAATAACTGGAAAAGAAAATTCAAATGTACTGCAACTGATCGTCCAGGAATTTTCATACAAGAACAAATATTTCAAAAGCATTTCTTATATATGGGTAATAAATGTCATCGACAATACTATAGCTATAATTCGGGCACTGGCCACACACAAAGGTGGGGTCTTCATCTGACATCCATACATTGCTAACCTCTATAGTTTACTTCACTACGCTGTGCGTTTAAAGGTTTTATGCAAGAGATGGAGGGAGGGGGTGTAGCATGTGGAAATAGACGCGTGTAAGGTTGTCATCGACCCATTCATCCTGGTTTCAACGTTCATGGTTTTTTCGAGTTTGGAAAATGCGCCTTTCTGTTTGCCGATGGCCACTTCGAAGCTCGGTAACTTAAAACAGGGGTGATTCACTTTCCCCAACTATCCACATTACAAACAGAACCGGGGGAGGGGGTGGTTGTCCTAAACATTTGTCTTTCATATATGACTAGTAAATGATCATCATTCATCTTGTAGTTCAAATGCTTCGTATCCAGTATTGCTTCCTCTATGAAATCAAAAAACAAAGTTCATTGTTCGGCTTGGAGATCGTCGAAAAGACGGTGTTTTCAATTGGACAAATAGCCTGTACGCAAGGTGAAATTTAGCCTATTGAACGCCCAAACAGAAATTGCCCGTGGAAACTACGCGCAAAAACGTCCAGGAAGCGCTGGCGAACATGCTCGAAGGCATGGACCAAAACAACCCCATCGTAGATACATGATAACCAATTGTAAAGCTAAAGGAGTTTCAACTCTGTATAGGTACATTCAATTTTTCTTTGCTTGGTTGGCTCATACCACCAAACCATATGGTCGACGATACATCAGATTCGATATTATATGTTGGTGGTGTTACTAAGGATGTCGGGAAGTTGTACGTAAAGCCTCGATTTCACACAAGAACCGGAACCGCTTATGTATGGGTGCAATTTTCCATGAAGCTAAAATATGATGCTAATGGAAAAATTTCTTCCTAATGATATATAACTATGTAATTTATCTGAATCTATGGGTTCATCAGTTACTGGTTGTACTATGTGATAGTACATGGTCACTGTTGTATTAATCCGTAAACGCTGAAAACGTTCCGAAGTAAACAGAAGGTTGGGACAAATGTCGCCGTTTTTATTTTGGGACATATGCAACTCCCATCGGACAAATTTTCGACCCCTCCCTCTTTCCTCAGGACACCTTTTCAGCATGCACTAATTTTATATAAAAAGGTCGGAGACCCGTCCAGCGGTTTTTTTGAAACACAATCCAGTCAGCTCTTTCCTTTCTTCTCTTTCCCTTTTCTATTCACTACTCCTAGTCTTTCGACAAGAGGTTAAAGAGAAAATGTCTTTTGCCTTTAAGAGAATTACTCAACGTGGCTTTATGGCCACTGCTGCCGCTGCTTCTGCCGCTGCGGGTGCTTACTACGTTTCACAGCAATCTCATGTTTCCAACGAGGTAAACTTACCTCCTCTGATCGAGAGCAGACCAGCTCCTCCATCAAGAGAGGAGATGCTCAAGAAGCTCGAGACCACGCCAAAGTTTGATGTTCTTATCATTGGTGGTGGTGCCGCCGGTACAGGTTCTGCAGTTGATGCTGCCACCAGAGGTTTGAACGTTGCTCTTTTGGAGAGAACAGATTTCGCTGCTGGTACTTCTTCAAAGTCTACTAAGATGGCTCACGGTGGTGTTAGATACCTTGAGAAGGCATTCTGGCAGTTATCCAAGTCCCAATTGGACTTGGTTATCGAGGCCTTGGATGAGCGTGGATCCATGTTGAGAACTGCTCCTCATTTGGCTACTGTTTTGCCAATTATGATTCCAGTCTACAAGCTCTGGCAAGTTCCTTACTTCTGGGTTGGTACTAAAGTTTACGACTTGTTTGCAGGTAAGCAAAACTTGAGATCCTCTTACTTGCTCTTCCCACAAGCTGCCCTTGCTGCAGCTCCACAATTGGATGGTACCGGTTTGAAGGCTGGTTTGGTGTACCATGATGGTTCCTTCAATGATTCCAGATTCAACGCCACTTTGGCCGTCACCGCTGTCGAAAATGGTGCTACCGTTTTAAACTATGTTGAAGTTACTCAATTGCTCAAGGAAGATGGTAAGGTTGTCGGTGCTGTTGCTCGTGACCGTGAAACTGGTAAGGAGTACAACGTTAAGGCTACATCTGTTATTAATGCTACTGGTCCATTCTCCGATATCATCTTGGACATGGACAAGGATCCACAAGGTAAACCACCAGCTACCCCACAACCACCAAAGGTTGTTGTTCCATCTGCTGGTGTTCACATCATCTTGCCTGACTACTACTGTCCAAAGAACTTGGGTATTTTGGATGCTGAAACCTCTGATGGCCGTGTGATGTTCTTCTTACCATGGCAAGGTAAGGTTCTCGCTGGTACTACCGATGTTCCATTGGAGAAGATCCCAGAGAACCCAACCCCAACCGAAGCTGATATTCAAGACATTTTGCAAGAGTTGCAACACTACATCAAGTTCCCTGTTAGAAGAGAGGATGTTTTGTCTGCTTGGTCTGGTATTAGACCTTTGGTTCGTGACCCAAGAGTTAAGAGCAGTAGTAACGGTACCGAGAACTTGGTTAGAAACCATTTGTTGTTCACCTCTGAGACTGGTTTGACTACAATCTCTGGTGGTAAGTGGACTACTTATAGACAAATGGCTGAGGAGACCATCGATGAGGCGGTTAAAGTACACAACTTGACTGCTAAGCCAACCGTTACGAAGCAATTGATCTTGGCCGGTGGTGAGAACTTTGACGTTACCGTTGCACCAAGATTGTCCCAAAAGTACCACGTTGATGCTGAATTGGCCGAGCACTTGGCTGCTAACTATGGTTCAAGAGCTCCATTGATTTTGGAGTTGTTCCAAAAGGATCAAGCCAACCAATTGCCTGTTGCCCTTGCTTCCAAGACCGCAGAGGCCACCTACGAGAACTTTGCCTATCCATTCACTGTTGCTGAGTTGAAGTACTCCTTGAAGTACGAGTACACCAGAACCCCAATCGACTTCTTGTGTAGAAGATCCAGATTGGCCTTCTTGGATTCCAAGGCTGCCCTCAAGGCTGTTGATGGTGTTGTGCAAGTTATCGGTGATGAGTTCAACTGGGATGATGCCAAGAGAGCTGAGGAGAAGAAGAAGACTGAGGAATTCATCAAGACTTTCAACTGATTTCCCAAGCTAGTGGAATTTTTACGATATTCTTCTTTATTTTGTATGATTTTGATGAGTCCAACGTTAGAAAAATGTGTTGCCTTTATTCGTAACGAAAAGGTGCAAGAATGGTTTAAAAGTATACAGGGAGTTCAACCGACTCCACGGACATAAATCTATTGTGATGATTATGTTTATGTAATGGCTGTGTAGTTGTAACTATACCACCTGTAACTGCGGCTTGTTCTTGGAATTTTCGTACAGTTTAAAGTCGTTAGCTGGAAGCTGGAGGTGACGATAATCGTTCACCAAGTAGTTGAAGTAGAACTTTACGCTTTTATCCATGGCTCGGACCTTTGCATTGAAGTTCCGTATTACATCCATGTTGGACGGTTTCCCGGGAAACGATTGTAGTTGCAAGGGCGACTTCTTCAACGTTGGTATTGTAATCTTGTACTGTTCATTGTTGATCTCAGCTTTGTAGATTTTCGCCTTGTTTGTAGAGTTGATGAGAGTGATCTCGGGAACACACTCGATTAGTTTGCTTATGTCATCCAGCTCATCCAGTCGTGTATCCTCCCTGTTTGTTGACTTTCGACTGGATGGCGCCCTTGCTCTCCTGGTGCGCTGTGAACTCTTTGTAGAAGACGGTGAGTCAGAGGTCTCTTCTCGTGAAGGGCTGCCCTTGGCATTTCTTCGAGGTCCTCGCCTGGTTTGGCGTCTTGCATCGTCTTTTTTCTCCACGGTGACCTTCTTAATCTCCTTCTCACTCATGGCGATGCTCAGCGCTCACCGTCTAGTACTCGCACAAGTGAATAGCGGCGGATTTTTCAAAATGTATGCATAGATGGGCGGCAACAGGCAAAAATAAAACGAGTATCAAACCGCTCCTATGAGGAAACTCCAACATTAGGAAGCTGTCTTTTTAGGCAATATTCCGCACCCAAACCCTTGCCCCTCTGCCATGGCCAAACCGCGGTTTGAAAATAACCTTGAAATCCCCCACTGAGAGTTTAAACGAACCGGGATAAGTTTGATTTTCCCCAACCTCGGTAAAGTCCCAACTCTGAAAAATTTCTACCGCTTTTTGTGTCAGCTTTTCTCCACAAATTTGTGTTTTATCCGCTTGCCTCGCTCTTGTGCTCTGGAATTTTACTCCAGCAACAACACCACATACTCGCTTTTGGTTTTGTAAACCGTAACATGTACTACATTTAGTGTTGGGGGACGCTGGGAGGACGCTGGGCGGGAACAAAATGTGGGAAATCCAGCATAAAATTGACCCTTGGGAAAACAGTTCCGAAGTGTAAACTCACCCCTCTCTCCATCCTTTCTTTTTCCTTTTTGCCTTTTGCGACTTCTCTCTCGCTGTTCATGTGTGTGTATGTGTGTGGTGAAATGGATAAACGTATAAAAGGGGTGGAGTAGTACCCATCCGTGTCCATTCTGATGTATCAAGCTTGTGATTAGTGTTACACTACAAAAGTAAAACAGTCTAAACAATGGAAAGATTGAGCCAAGTACAAACCCATTTGACATCTGCCTCTAGAGGAGGTGTGCAAGCTGCTAAGCAGAAGAACCCGGACGATGTTGTTATTGTTGCGGCTTACAGAACGGCCATCACCAAGGGCGGTAAGGGTCTTTTCAAGGATTTGAAGTCGGATGAGATCTTGTACAAGTTCACAAAGAAGTTTTTGGAGAAGGTGAACGTTGATCCGGCAAAGATTGGTGACGTTGCCTGTGGTAACGTGTTGAACAAAGGTGCGGGCGCCACTGAGCACAGAGCTGCCGTCTTGGCGGCTGGTATCCCAGACTCTGTTCCATTCATTGCCATTAACAGACAGTGCTCATCGTCGTTAACTGCCGTTAACGACATTGCCAACAAGATCCTTGCTGGTCAAATCGATATTGGTTATGCCTGTGGTGTGGAGTCCATGACCTCTCACTACGGCCCAGGTGCCCTTGCAGAAATATCTCCAAACTTGAAGAAGGATGTCAATGCGAAGAAGTGCGAGATCCCAATGGGTATTACAAACGAAAACATTGCTGATAAGTACCACATTGACAGAAAGGTTCAAGATGAGTTTGCCGCTGCTTCTTACAACAAGGCTGAGAGATCCATCGAGTTGGGATTGTTCAAGGACGAAATCTTGCCAGTTGAAGTTGAAGTTACTGAAGAAGAGGAGAACGATGACGATGAAGAGGACAGCAAAGTTGTCAAGAAGACTGTGATTGTGGATACGGACTCAGGTCCAAGAAAGGGTGTCAGTCCGCAATCTTTGGCTAAGATTAGACCAGCTTTCAAGAAGACCGGTTCCACACACGCTGGTAACTCTTCCCAAGTTTCTGATGGTGCAAGTGGTGCATTGCTCGCTAGACGTGACGTTGCAGAGAAGTTGGGGCTTCCTATCGTTGGTAAGTACGTTGCATACAGAGTGTTGGGTGTCCCACCAGAGATTATGGGTGTTGGTCCTGGTTATGCCATTCCTCAGGTTTTGGAAGCCACTGGATTGAAAGTTGACGATGTTTCCGTCTATGAGATCAACGAGGCATTTGCCGCCCAGGCTTTGTTCTCCATTCACAAGGTTGGCATTGATATCAACAAGGTTAACCCAAGAGGTGGTGCCATTGCCCTTGGTCACCCATTGGCCGCTACAGGTACAAGACAACTTGCCACATTGTTGAGAGAGTTGAAGACTGGTGAAATTGGTGTCACCTCTATGTGTTTGGGTACCGGTATGGGTGCTGCCGCTGTGTTTGTGAAGGAGTAGGACTCATTTTTGGTGTAGATGTCACGTTTTCGTTGTATAAATTTAAATTAATTGCATTGATTGTTTAAACCTTGTAACGTGTTGATCGAAGCGACAGAGTTGCGGTTAAATGTCCCATGTGGACAGACAAGACCTTCTAATCAATTGAGCCCTTGTCCCAGACATGGACAAATTACGTCGTTGTGTTTACATCAAAATTATTACACCAAGAGGGTGTGGGTTCAGCCTTTGCCGAACTACGGTGACTCACTTGATTTACCTTTAGTCACCCGAATTTTTCCGATGACATCGGTGTAAAGTGGTTTTCCATGTCCAAGCGCGCGCCGTGAAAAATGCGAAAAACCACAGGTTCCTTTCCCCAGTTATTGCTTTGTTTGGGGTAGCAAAGTTTTAAGCCACGGTCTAACGGTTATAAAAAACAAGCACTATCTCCTTATAAGGACTTGTCCTGATCTTCTTCCCCGATTTCTATTTGATACTCTGTCACAACAGCAATTATTCTCAACTGAATAAAGACGAAATGGTTGTCGATACTGTTATCTACCACCCAACTTTGACAAAACTCATCACCTATCTCAACACCACTGCTGGTCGTGAGAAGACGCTTCGTCTTGTCCAGTACCTTGTCCGTTTCCTCTCTTTCCATGCGGCACAGAGAGGTCTGCCAGACCTTGCCAGATTGTTCAAGTCGTTGCAAGGTAATGCTACGTTTATCAGAAAGGCTCTGAGATTCTTGAAGCCTCTGAACCATTTGCAGGACGCTGCAAAGGCTTACGACAACAAGCTGACGGACAGTGTCATCAGAAGCACCGTTGTGTTGAAGAACCTTGCATACGTGGGGTACTTGTCCCTTGATTCCGTTGCTTGGTTTAAGTTGTTGGGACTGACATCACCAAAGACTCTTCCAAAGGCACCAAAATGGGCCAACTGGTTTTGGTTCATTGGCCTGGTTGCCGGCTTGACAAACGATTTGAGAAAGATTGCCATAACCTCTTCCAAGTTGAAGTCCATTGCATCTGAAGAAGATGCCGAGAAGGAGATCTCCGCTGAGCAAAAGTCGCTCTTGGCTGAGAGCGCAAAGACCCACAAGAGACTTGTATGGGACTCTTTGGACTTCTTCATCGTCCTCAACAACCTGGGATTCTTGCACTTTGACGAAGGTGCCATTGGTCTTGCAGGTACATTCACCTCCATTTTTGGAGTTCAAGACATTTGGGCAAACACAAAGGTCTAGACACACACGTTATAGTAAATACAAGTATTCGAAGGTTCTTTCGTTGGTGCTTTCAAGGGTTGTCTTTGATCCATTGCAAGACGTAGTTAGGCCGTAGTTAGGCAACCGTAGTGTGGTGCGAACGTTGGTGTTTGGGTGTTCTGTCCTTCCTCTTCTTTTTTTTTTGTTTGTGAATGCGTGCGCGATGTTTGTACAAAAGAGACGTGAACAACAACATTTGACCGAGTAATAGAAGAACAAGAAGAGCCTCTCACCCACTTGGGAACTTTGTACTTGTTCTGTTATAAGATACTTCCGTATATCTTTGCTCTGGTTGTCTTTATCTGTCTCTTTCAGTGGTCCTCAAGTCTTGAGCAGTGTGTTTAGTGAACCTCTTTTGTTCTCTTCCAGCAGTATAAAGCGCAATATCGAAGAAAGCATTGGGAACGGGAACATTGACTAGAAAATGGCTTCGAACGATCTCAAGCGTTCGTACACAGAGACGAAAGACTCTCCTTCCCAAGTCAATGGTGCTGCTAATGGGTCTGTAATAACAAGAAACCAGCAACAGCAGCATCAACAGGCACAGTCCAATGCCGAGGCTGCAAAATTACAACAACAACATCGCCAGTCGTTGATGAATGGTAATCAGCACGGTTTGGCACATTCTCCTGCAGCACTGAAGAAGAAGTATGTGTTTCATGAAGGGACAGAGGAGATCCTGAAGAAGTATGAAAAGCTGAAACCGTCCTTGGAATTCCATATTCATGAGAATCATTATAGATTTGGAGCTCAAGTGAGTGGAGATCAATCTATCAACGTATAAACTTGACACATTACTAACTTCAAAAAGGATGGTATTCTTTCGAAGGGGAACGCTCTGGTGAAGGAATTCTTAGAGTACGTGGCAAAGGGTGAAATACCTTATGCCATTGTGGAAGTGCTGAGAGATGCTGGTATTCAATTTTATGAAGGTTGTCTAATACTATTGGTCTATGATCATAGGAAGACCGTTGAAATTGAAGTTGTCAATGACAAACAGGAAAGAGTGAAACAACTCGTACCAAGAAGCTTCAGAACGCTTTTAAGACCCACTCCTCTTTCCTTGTTTTATGATTTACTATCACAGACTGATGCGGCACCTCAAAGATTTAGCGATGCATTAGGGCTTGGGATGGAGGCTGAAATACTCACACTGACAAACAGAAACGTCAACTTGAAAGTACCTTTGAATCCTTATAAATGCACTGCTTGGAAGCCGGAACACGAATTCCCCAAGATTAACCGTGACACTGGAGAAATCGTCCATTGCCATAGAGTTGAAAGTACTAACCCAAAATCAAAGGCATTCCATCCATTTAGGGAATTACACGAGGATTCGCCACAACAGAGCTCTGAATATGAGCAGTTCATGCTGACACTCAGTGATAAGGTATCACTAGGGGAAGAAGCTACACAGTTTACACGTTTGAGATTTGTCGAACAGTTTAGGGCAAACAAGGAAAAGATAAAGCAAGCGAACGTTACAAATGGCAATGGTAATAGAGTACCATTTGGAACGAATACAAATCTTACACCACAGCAGCAGTTACAACAGAGAAGGCTTCAACAACTACAACAACAACAACAGCAGCAACAACAACAACAGCAACAGAAGCCTCAAAATGGCGCTGTTGGTGATTCCTCAGCAAATCAAGCCACATCTACTCCAGGAACTACAAAGAAGAAAACATCACGTAAGAACAACAACAGTCCAGCTAAGAAGAACGTTGCTGGTAAAACTCTACCTGGATATTCCGACAAGACACTGCCAGGAGCAGAAATCCAGGAACCACCAAAGAAGAAGCGTGGTACCTACAAGAAGAAGAAGCAGAACCCGGAGAAACAATGAACTGTGTTTTTCTTGTTGTATTTTTATGATCCTGTATACTACATGTTATGTTTTAGTTAATGCCTTTCTTTAAATCCATTCACTCAGACTGTGGATGTGTTGTTTCATCCTGGATTAGAGTAACCAACAGATTATACAGCGATTCCTTATCATCTTGTACCCAAATACCATAGGTTTTACCATCGGTGCTCTTTATCACTGTCAGGGATTCGATATCCTCCACTTTCATCTCTCCTTTATCGAGTTTAGTACTATTTTTGACACTCATGATGCCAATGCTGAAGTTTTCAACCTTTTCCTTGTTGAGCACAATCAACCCAGCGTGGTACCCGTCATCATCTTCATAGCCAGAACGTGAGTAGATAGCCAGAGGACCTCTAAAGGGCAGTTTCAACCACTCCCCAGAGTCCAAATCGTACTCGTAGATCTGAGAATTCGCCTGAGTCAAGAGCAGATTGGACAGCTTTGGATCATACCGGCCAATGACGTTAAACGTCAATGTTTGGGCAAAGAGCGCACGATTAGCCAGGATCTGTTGTTGTTCCTCTTCTTCGTCATCCTTAGGCACCTGAGCGCCGTTGTTGACCTGCTTGGACTCTTCAACCATGTTCTTTATCCCTTCAAGCGGTCGTTTTGAATATAATGAGAGATACACTGTTGTTGCCTTTGTTTACAGTGCCTAAGAAGTGATTTTTGTAGGTGGTTTCGCTAAAAAAACACCATACACACAAACATCAACAACCGCCTACTCAGTTACTCCAACAAAAGCACAGGGAGATGTAGATAATCCGATTATTTCTTATATATTTTACTTAGATCTCCTTCAACACGTTCTCGGCAGAGGAGACGTTGACGCTGAAGTTGTCGGGTTCGTCCAATTGCTTGACGACTTCGCCGTTGTCAACGATAAGAGCAAATCTCTTTGCTCTTACGCCTCCAAAGAACTTTGAAGCGTCAATGGCCAGGTCAGAGGCCTTTGCAAAGTCGCCGGAAGGGTCAGCGATGAAGCGGACGGACTCTGGCGCATTCAGAGACTCCGCCCAGGCCTTGAAGACAAAGCTATCGTTAACACCAGTGACAAACACCTTGTAGCCCTTTGATTCAAACTTCTCCAAGTTGTTGATGTAGCCTGGAACGTGCGAGGCGGAGCACGCTGGGGAGAACGCACCTGGAACACCAACGATGATGGATTTACCGCTCTTGGTCAGCTCCGCAAGGTCAACCTCATTGCCCGGAGATCCCTCACGGAGCGTGGAGACTGATGGGATCGAATCGCCAGCTTGGAGGAAAGCGCGTGCGCTGGAGGAGAAGTTACGTAGGGCGGATAGTCTTGTTGTTCTGAGCATACTGTGGATTCCGTTGGCGGAGGCGGTGGTTGACGGTTACAGCAATTGAGGGTGGAATAAAAAGAAGATGATGTTCCCACAATGAATCAAGCGAAAAAAAAGGGAGAAAAGGGGGTGCAAGGCGATGTTTGCTGTGTGCTCTGCGTGCAGTGTTTGCAGTGTTTGCAGTGTGTGCTGAACGGGTGACGAGATGGACTAAAATTCGCAATCCGAATGAGCGGAGAGTGTTGCAGTTTGTGATGCAAAAGAGCAGCATATTGCCAAACGTCCCGAGGTTCCCCAGGCGATGCCATTGTCGAAAGAGATCCAGCTGGCCAAGCGATGGATCAAAAACCTCTCACCGTCATTGCTACCAAAGGACGACTTCCAGGTGTCGTTTAGCAGGTCATCGGGCCCCGGTGGCCAAAAGGTCAACAAGACCAGTTCCAAGGCCACTGTGGTATTGCCACAGTGGCACGCAAAGATGTGGATTCCTCAAGAGATCAAGCGACAGATGGTGGAGCATAAGTACCGCTACATCACCAAGAGAGGCGATATCGTGATCCAGAACGATACTCTACGGTCGAGGGACCAGAATGAGCAGCTGTGCTACGACAAGTTCTGCAACGAGCTACGGAGGCTGGTGACGTTCCCGGGCGAAGTGAGCGAAGAGGACAGGCAGAAGTGGGTTCAGGTGAGGAAAAGGACTAACGAACAGAGACTACACGACAAGAAGCGCCGTTCCATGAAGAAGGAATCAAAGAGGTTCGAATTCTAGTGATATCTATGCGTATGTATTAACAACGTGGCCATATAGAAGCCAATCATGCGATGGCATTGCCCTTCTGTGTCCAGTAGTCCCTCTTGGCCTTCTTATCGAGACTTGAGGAGGATGAGGTGCTCTTCTTCATCGCATGCTCTGCTGGTTGATCTGCATCGTGCTGATCCTCATCGTTGCTGTGCTCCAGCCCCATTAGGTCTTCCACCTTGCGCTTTCTCTGTTGCTTCTGCTTCTGGGATTCGATCTTTGCCTTCTTTCTCTTTGGCTCCGGCTCAGCTTCCTCCTCAGAGCTGACGCTCTGCTCAGAGTAATACGACTGTACGCCAAACACCGAGCCAACTTCACTCATTGCCTGGTTCAGTACCAGAGACCTCTCGTCGTTGAAGTCTCTCTCCTTGCCGCGGTACTTCACTATGCTTCCCAACACGCTCTTGCCGATTCTCTGCTTATAAGTGGCCATCTCCAAGTCGTAGCACTGGTTAGCCAGTGACCAAAAAGCACCGTTGAATGCCTTCTTCAGCCCAAGAACGTTGAACGAGCCCCTGCTTATGTTATTCGAGGAGTCTGAAGGGTCCATGATCGCTAGCGTGAAGGAAGAGCGGCCTTGCATGTCCCTGTACTCGGACTTTTTAAGGTAACAGACGTGGTCGGTTTCAACACATATCACGACGTCGTCGTAGTTGAAGTTCTTACCGTAGAGCTCGAAGAACTCGATCAGCAGCACGCCCAGGTTGCTCAGGGCGTCGATGTTGCCTGTGCTGATCCTTGGATGGAGTCTCAAGAAGGAATACACGAGACAAATGGTGGAATAACCGCCGAGTCCTCCGTGGCGGACGTTGTTCAGCTTTCTCACGGCAAGAAACTGTTTAATGACCAATACCAGCTCTCTTAGCCCGGGAGTGTCCTTCAGCCAGTCTAATATCACAGTAGCAGCTTGTATACCGTTGGTACGCTCAAACGATATATCGATATGGATGTTTGTGTGTGGCTCAGTCAGCTTGATGATGGGTACTCTGGCGTGTGCAACAACCTCCACGTTGGTTGCGAGCCCGTTTCTCTTGAGATGCGAGGATAGTTGATACAAATTGTTACGCGTTCCATAGTTACCGTGTTCACTCACAATGACCATGTCGATATCGGAGCCAGGAAGATACAAATCTGTAGCGCTCGATCCAAAGACGTGCACTTCACAATCCTTCCATAACTTGTTAATGCACTGCCTTAACTGAGTGATGCACGTGTTTCTAGCTTCTATTTCGTGCTTCGAAGGTGAAATGTAGGCAACAAAGTCGTTTATCTCCATGGTTAGCCAGTCCGCAACCTCCTTCTGTTCTGAATGATCGTGGTTCTGTATCCAAGGTGCATCCACGTTTAGTATAGGTGCGTTGGGATCAATATTCGTCTCGTAATCGTCAACGGAATATGCATCTTCTTCGTTATCGACATAACCGGCTTCACCTTCATCGTCAGTGTCAGAAAAATTCAATGAGATGAAGTCATTGTTATCAGCCAGTTCGTTATGCTCAGCTTGCTTTATACTTTCAACAGGTTCATTTACGTTTATTGGGTCCTGTATTAGGCTGTTCTCATTCTCACCATCGCTCTCATCATCTATCAGAACAATATCGTCCGATGGCTTCCTTTGTTCATGTTCATCCTCATCGTCAACTGTTAAAGAATCGTAGTGATTTTCATGCGCTTTGCTTCTGAAAACGTCAAAGGACTGGCCAATCTTATTGATAATAGACTTCGCAGTCTTCTTGGAAGACTTCTGTGAGCTCTTACCCATTCTTGAAGCTCCTCAGCACCCGATACTCAGCTATGGGCTCTTCTCCATTGCACAGAAGAAAAGAAAACTCATCGCACAGCTCATCAAGGGAGAAAAAAAAAATCAGTGAAAAATTAAAAAAGTCTCGGGAAACTCCCCGAATAGGCAATTACCAGAACAGGAAGTTACCGAAGTACATCATCACATTATGTTAATATATGGAGTGTATAGATTTACCTGGTGTCTTTGTATATTGAATCTCAGCCTTTCCATGAGCCAATGAAGTTGTGTTTCACATATTCGAGCTCTCTGTCAACTTCAAATTCAATTCCATCTGGCCCCAACTCCGCGTTGAAGCAATTGATCGGTAGTATCACAACGTCATCAACCACCATTGGCACTGTCACGCGTGTGAAGTTATTCCAGCCCAGAGGCTTATCCACAGATATGTGGTTCCTCTCTGTGTTATACTTATCGAATGTTTCAACTTCTAGCCGGGGAGGTGCATTGGAGTTGAACCATCTATCAGGGTCGAAGACTTTATTCAGGTGGTTGAAAATGGTGTCTGTGAAGATTCCGGGCCCAGTCCATTCTAAGACTGTATACAGTGAATTCAAGGTGAAATATTCAGAGCCAATCCGTACATGGTTCAATCTTTTGGAGTACTGCTCCAGTGTGATCTTTGTTATGCTGTAGATCAACTCTCGTAATACCGGATGGCCCTTCTTTCCTTTTATTGTCCATTGACAAAACTGCAGACGACGGCATGCCCTGAATCTCCAGTCTGGACGATCCAAGTCAGCCTCAACGCCAACGACAAGCCCAATGTTTGAATTGAGATCTGGATAGATATCGTGTAGGACCGAGGTACTATCCTTCCACTCATCAATACTGGCTAATAGCATGGTATCGATATCGGAGTATATACCACCTTTGGCATATATGACCAAGTACCTAAAGAAATCAAACTTCAGAATGGGTAGAGGCATGAGGCTCATAGCCTCTATGATCTGGGGGAATGCATTGTACGTCTCGTCTAAGAATGCATCAATGTCCTTGTCCAGCATTAGATGATGATCATAACCATCCTGTGAAACCCAGGATCCTATACAATCAACAAGCTCTTTATTTTTGATCTGATGGAGTGGCTCCTTCCAAGTTTGCCATATTGTCTTTGGAATATCTGATCGTGTATCGTAGGGGAACTGTTCGGCTAATTGCCTCCTCATATCATCAGCTGGGTATTCAGAGACGTAGTCAGTGGTCTGAGTCCGCACATTGTCCTGAGGAGCAGTTTGTCCACCTAGCAAGTATAAATATTGTTGATATCTATAGAAATCATAAGAGTAGAGCGTGAGCCTCGACAGAACTAGCATGAGGCCCAAAATGGTGACCGCTAAGCCCACGGATCGCCGTATCGTCCTCGCATTGTGGAAGAGCCATAGCTTTGTCATTGCTGATGGATTAAGAAACGTACCAGTATCAAGCGTATCAACCACAATTTGCTTACTAGCTCAGCAGGGAATGGAGAAACACCCCAATTATATAGAGCAGCTCATCTCCACATGTTTGTCCTCTGTCTGTCTCTTCTCTTTCTCCTTGATGACTGATTTCCTATATGGGAAATCGGTAACCAGTGCTGTAAACAAAAAACGGCCATGATGCACGCATATCGTGCCTAAAGGCTGCGCCTCAACATGGAACATAGAAACCGTTACAACGCTGTAAAACGGTCGGTTCATTTGGATCGAGAACCGGAATTGAGTTGTTTTGGCAATTCCTCTACATTTACTTAAGACGTCCGCAATCGAGATCGTTCTCCACGACTCTGGTGCCAACAGTGCTGATGCCGGGTGAATATTTAGCCCATTGAGGCCCTTTCACTAGAGGCAGAGGTCGGCTTATGCGATGATGAGGAGATTAAGGTTTAGGGGATGGTAGAAGTCGTGCACCTACCGATACATTTCTTGTGTGGTAAATAATTACGTTAGGGGAAACACATTCTGCTTACATAAGCACTCATACCAGTATTACCTAAACAGGAAGTGCTTGAGGGGGAAAAACTTTTTATGAAGCTCATCGCATGCTCTCTTCACTATTAATACTCGGCTAAATCTTTGTATACAGCGCATTCGACCCCATGGACAGTGACGAGGAGTTTGATATTGCTAGTAACATTGCGCTTAACGCAGGTTCCGACTCTGAAGCTTACTCTTCAGATGAGGAACAGGAGTATGGTGAAGTGCAGGATGAAATCATCTCTAGTGAAGATGAGGATGAGCAGCCAGTACAAAAGAAGAAGAAAGTTGAAGTCGCAAAGCAGAATTTCCCGAGCTTGGAACTGTCCGATGACGAGGAGGATACTAAAAAGACCAAGGATGATATTGATTTCGCAAACTACTTCAACAACCAGCCTCAACAGAATAAGGCGAAAGGTGGTACATTCGCAAGCTTTGGGTTGTCCAAGCCTATCTTGAACAACATCTCAAAGAAGGGTTTCAAACAGCCAACGCCTATTCAAAGAAAGACCATTCCTTTAATCTTACAGAACAGAGACATCGTTGGTATGGCGAGAACCGGTTCTGGTAAAACAGCGGCGTTCTCCTTACCTCTGATTGAAAAGCTGAAGATGCACTCTGCAAAAGTTGGTGTGAGAGCCATTATTCTTTCACCTTCGAGAGAATTGGCGATTCAAACGTTCAAAGTTCTGAAAGACTTCTCAAGAGGCTTGGATCTGAGAAGTGTACTGCTTATCGGTGGTGATTCTCTTGAGGATCAGTTCAACATGATGATGACAAACCCGGATATCATTGTTGCAACGCCAGGTCGTTTCTTGCATTTGAAGATTGAGATGAAGTTAGACTTGAAGTCCGTTGAGTACGTTGTATTTGACGAGGCTGACAGATTGTTCGAGATGGGTTTCGAAGATCAATTGACGGAGCTGATTGGCTCCCTTCCAGCTAATAGGCAATCGCTGTTGTTCTCTGCAACTTTACCGAGATCTCTGGTGGACTTTGCAAAAGCTGGTCTAACAAACCCAGTATTGGTTAGATTGGACGCAGAGACTAAGATATCAGATCAGCTAGAAATGTGCTTCATTTCCACTAAGAATGGTGAAAGAGAGGCGAACCTGTTCAATCTCTTACAAGACGTCATTAAAGTCCCCTTGGCTACTCAAGAAGAGTTGAAGAAATTGAATAATGCTAATGATCAACAGGATTCAGATTCTGACGCTGATGAAAACACTGATAAAAAGAACAACAAGAGAAAGAAAAACTTCAAACGTCAAAGACTGCCACCAGCCAATCAATTACCACATCCACAGTCTACAATTGTTTTCGTTCCAACACGTCATCATGTGGAATACGTGACATTGATGCTGAAGGAGGCCGGCTATGCAGTCTCCTATATCTATGGTACTTTGGATCAACATGCAAGAAAACGTCAACTTCTGAACTTTAGAGCTGGATTGACACCAATCATGGTTGTCACAGATGTTGCAGCGAGAGGTATTGATGTTCCGGTTTTGGCTAACGTTATCAATTATTCCCTTCCTGCCTCTTCAAAGATCTTCATCCATAGAGTTGGTAGAACTGCAAGAGCTGGAAACAGAGGTTGGGCCTACTCTATTGTTGGTGAAAGTGAACTACCATATCTCTTGGATCTTGAACTGTTCTTAGGAAGAAAGATTTTCCTTACTCCAATGTATGAAAAGAAGTGCGAGCTTTTGAAGCAGAAGATGGGCGAATCATATGTTGAGCCAAAGGTCAACTACACAGACAGAATGGTTTTAGGTGCAGCACCAAGATACAACGTTGAGGCTATGATGGAAATGTTCCAGCACCTCATCAACACCAACTATGATTTGAAGGTTCTTCAAGGAGTTTCGTTAAAGGCTGAGAAACTATATTTCAGAACCAGACAAGCTGCTGGTGGTGAATCTGTTAAGAGAGCCAAAGAGATCAAAGCTGCTGGATGGGATGAACAAAACTTGCTATTTGGCAAGAACCTCGAGCAGGAGAAGTTGGCGTTCTTGGAAAAGTTGCAAAATAGAAGAAACAAGGAGACCGTTTTTGAATTTGGTAAGAAGGACGATTCTCTTGTGGATTTGATGAACACCAGAAGAAAACAAATTGCTCCAATTCAAAGACGTGCTAAGGAACAGAAGGAACTTCGTGAGAGAGAGCGTGAAGCCGGCTTATTCCACAACTTGGCTGAGGAAGTCTTCAAATCTCAAGACGATGAGGTTGGATATTCTGTTTCTGATAAGGTTCTTGAACAAGAATTTGAAACAGCTGAGGATGTTATAGCATCTAAGAAGAAGAAGACATTCAGAGATCCAAACTTCTTCATTTCTCATTATGCACCAACCAGTGTAATTCAAGACCAACAACTATCTCTCAATTCCGGGTTCGCCAACGAAGCAGCAGCAGCTACGTTTGATCTTAATGATGACGACAAGGTCCAGAATCACAAGCAGACACCAGTTATGCAATGGGATAAGAAGAAGCACAAGTATGTCAATTCACGTTCCACTGATAAGAAGTACATTATTGGTGAGTCTGGTGTGAGAATGCCTGCTAGTTACCGTGCTGGTGTTTACGATGCGTGGAAGAGTGCACATAAAAGTCAGGGTTATAAGACTGGTGTTAGAGAATCCGCTGATTATAAGAATAAACCCTATGACAATGGCGACCATAGAAAGTTCAAGCATAAGAAGGACGAGGCACCAAGAGCACCAGATAAGTACAGAGATGATTATCACAAGCAGAAGAAGAAAGTCGACAAGGCACTTGAAGGTGGTAAGAGAATTAGAGGTTACAACAGAGCTGGTCAGCACTCTGAGATTAAGAGCACGGATGACATTAGAAAGGCTAGAGATCTCAAGGAGAAACGTCGTGCGAAGAATGCAAGACCAAGTAAGAAGAGATGAAATAATAAAACACACTCATACTGGAGTGTATGTTTCTATTATAATTGAGTAGAGTAATGTAAGTTAGTTATTGATTTCATCAGTACCAACAGTTTCTTCACGAGATCCCTGTGTAGCTGGAGCATCTGCTCGACCAACTTTACCGTAAGCAGGTTCAATAGTTGCATCGACGAGGTTTGTGAATTCTGCACGCTCTTCTCCTTCGTCATAAAGCACCTGCGTAATACTTCTAAACGCATCCCTATCCACTTCCCTCAATCCTCTTCTTCCAACTGTGTATTCGGCTAATTCATCATTTTCAGTACGTATTACTGTTCTGTTGACGTATTCAAGCTTATCCAAGAGTTTCAGCAGATCTCGTGTTGAGATATTCAGTACATCCAAAGGTTCTGTAGTTGAGAAGCCAAAATTGGTTTGAAGAACATTGAGAAGTTCTTCCTCTGTCATATGGTTATTTGAGACTGCAATTATCATAACAACGGCCATTGCAATGCCTCTCAACATGAGATCAGTCTCTGTGAACGGATAAGGGAAGTTCTCTTTGGAATTTCTGTAATCGTGTCTCTTTTCAAGCAGCTCACTTGGGAACAGCTTCTCAGTGTGCCTGATCCAGAGGCACTCCTCGTGAAAACGTAACAGGTTATCATTCATGACATTAACCAGCGCATACTGTTTGGTCTTGGACACACTCTTCGTTCCCTTTGCACTCGTGATCACCTTTGGAGCCAGTGGTACTACAGCATACGCGTAGACGTCTTGCAGGATCCCGTTGGCTTTCTCCAGAGCCAATTCAAATGTCTTCACACTAACGGAAGTCTTCTGATCTGCAAACGCCACTTTTCGCAGATTGACGGAGGACAAGGCAACGCTGTTGAGATTCAGAGAAAGACATGCTCGAACCAACTTGAAGGCCAATTTGTCCAATTCAGAATACACTTCTTCTTCTCCTTGGCCCCTGAAGTCTTCTTCCTGCTCCATTTCAACATCGCTCGTGATCAGTTCAGCGTCAGACATCTTCACACAAACGTTCTCAAGCTTCCTACAGAAATACAATGCAGCCGCCTAAGATGGACAAGGTGAAGAAGCTCAAAAGCTACGCGTTCAACGATGACAACGCGTACGTACGCGGAAGAAAAAGAGACATTAATGTCCCAATCAGGATATACCTACTTTGGGTAATGCGTTAAGAGCACCTACACACATCCAGACATCTCACAACACAACACCACGGACAAACCAGCGGGTAAATTTTGAAAAGGGGGTTAGCGACCAGGGACCGCTTTTTTCCCCCTTACCGCTGGTGAGGAATGGACAGGCAGACAGCACAATCCGACACAGCTTGGAAAAGGGATAAAGCAGAATTAAACACCCAGGAGTCTGCAAAAGCAGTGTTTAAACCGTACATCTCTGAAGAGTCAATTGGAAGCTTTTCTATCGTGTTGAGCTTTCTATCAATTGAAGGAAACTACACAAACTATTGGAATTGAAGGTGTATTAAAAATCTACATCACATCACATCACATCCTCCTCCGAAGTGTTCTGAAGTTGATACACAGCAACCACGGAAACCAGGATACGAGTTGGTGTTTGATTGGAACTTGATTAGGCTTTTATTTCTTCATACAAACTATTACAGACTCTTAAGATCACCACTAGAAGGCCTGCAATCGAGCTTTAGTGTTGGTCTTGATTTAATTTAGCAGGGAACACAACCACAGAGCGAGGGTATCAACTAAGTGGGCTGATTTCGACCTTTATGGCCAGCGGATTGTTGAAGAAGCTGCACATTGGGCAAGGCAAGAGCACCGAATCGGAACCAGAAAGCAGCACACTTTCAACCACAATGGAATACCAACAACCACAACAGGATTACCAACCACAAGCGCAAGAACAGCCTCAGCATGGTCAACCTCAACACCATTACACTTCGAGTGATGTTCAGCAGTCGTTGCTACCACAGAGATCTACGGTCTCTAAGGGAAAATACACCTTGAGTGACTTTCAAATCATGAGAACTTTAGGAACAGGTTCCTTTGGTCGTGTTCACCTGGTACGCTCTGTTCATAATGGACGTTATTATGCAATAAAGGTTTTAAAGAAGGCCCAGGTGATTAGGATGAAACAGGTTGAGCATACAAACGATGAAAGACGTATGCTAAAGCTCGTTGAGCATCCATTCTTGATTAGAATGTGGGGAACTTTCCAAGATGCTAGAAATCTCTTTATGGTTATGGACTACATTGAAGGTGGTGAACTGTTTTCTCTGTTGCGGAAATCTCAGAGATTCCCAAATCCTGTGGCGAAGTTTTACGCTGCTGAAGTGACATTGGCCATTGAATACCTTCACAGTCACAACATCATTTATAGAGATTTGAAGCCCGAAAACATTTTGTTGGACCGTAACGGTCATATCAAGATCACTGATTTTGGATTCGCCAAAGAAGTTACCACTGTTACATGGACACTCTGCGGAACTCCAGATTACATTGCACCAGAGGTTATCACTACGAAGCCTTATAACAAATCCGTTGACTGGTGGTCATTGGGTATCCTTATCTTTGAAATGCTTGCAGGTTACACCCCATTCTACGATACAACTCCAATGAAGACATATCAAAAGATCCTTGCTGGTAAAGTTCAATATCCTTCATTTATGCATCCAGATGCTGTTGACCTCTTATCACGTTTAATCACAGCTGATTTGACAAGACGTTTAGGTCATTTGGCCAACGGTCCGGCAGATATTAGAAACCATCCATGGTTTGCAGAAGTTGTTTGGGAGAAATTATTGGCAAAAGACATTGAAACTCCATATGAACCTCCAATCACGGGTGGGACTGGTGATACTTCTCTCTTTGATCATTATCCAGAGGAACAATTGGACTACGGTGTTGGCGGTGAAGATCCATACTCGCAATACTTTGTCGATTTCTAAAAAGAGATTTCTCCTGTTATCGTTGATCTGATTACTTCATATAATTCCTTTATTGTTATCTCATTCTAAAGTTTGATGCTGCATGTCTTATTTTTGATTGTTTTTTGTTTTTTCTCCGCTTCGGAGTTAATGACGCGGGTAGTCGAATTGTAAATTTTGATACAAAACCAAAACACAAAGATAGATCCCACACACAACAAGACATTTCTTTATGTCTCATTTACAATATTTGAACTAGTTTACGTGACGAAGCTATCAACATGGGCGACAGAGTGGAATCGTCGCTTAAGAGGTCGCATGATCTATTGAGTATGGAAAGAGAATTAGAAGACCTGTTAAGAAACTCTCAATTATCACAAGACAAGAGAGAGGCATTTCAAGAGCTATTAAGTTCAATATTTGACCTGTTCCAAGCACCTTATAAAGATGGCAAAACATCGTTGATCGATGCATCGACATTGACATTGTATTCCAAGATGCAAGGACTTGTTGACTCACTGGCATCGCTCCTCGTTAACGATGACGATGTCACACGTATGGAGGTGGATAGTCAACTACCCGTAAGCGAAAATGGATCACAGTCTAGTGAGTTTTCAGACGGTGAACTTGGTGATGAATCGCCAATGATGCCAGAACGGATGACGAGAACTGTGTCTCAATCTAGTAATACATTCAAATCAAGGAGGACATCGTTATACCTTTCTAGGGATAAGAGTTTTTTGAAGCAATCACCATCTTTCAGCTCAAGAAACTTGCCTAGTTTCCTAGACACAAAGTATTCGTCTACAGTATCACCAGTTCATACCAAGCAGAGACCACAATCGATGTTCGTCGTAGAGACGCCTTCCAAACCTTACAACAGGGGCTTGCAGTCCTATGACCAATCTCAATTTGATGAGACCATACCAAGGATTCAGACTGTAAATTCATCATCAACTTCATTATCCAGTGCGAGAAAGAGATACTCTATGAGATTTTGATATGAATTATTGGCAACTAAAGAGATTACGTATGAACAATATAATATCAACTCTTGATTGATTATAACTGTGTGTTATTTCTTCTTAATTTCAGTTTTTGATGGGATTTCCCTTAAATTACTTAATTCTCTAAGTCAGTCTTCTTCATGTTTTATTTTCTTTCAATTATGTACAGAAGGTGGAGTATATACACACACTATGGTAAGAAGATTTGTATCGAAGGTGAAAGATGTTTACTCCAAGGACACCTTGGCACCAAGAGCTTCCAAGGTTGCCTTTATCTTTTCAGCATCTTCCTTTGCAACGTTCTCCTTCAACACCTTTGGAGCAGCCTCAACAAACTTCTTGGACTCAACAAGGGACAAGTCCAACAAACCCTTGACCTCCTTGATGATCTTTGGCTTGGACTTGGCGTCAAAGGATTCCAACTTGATGGAGAAGATAGTCTTTTCCTCTTGGGCCTCTTTAGCTGGGGCCTCTTCCTCAGCAGCTGGGGCAGCGGCAGCTGGTGCAGCACCAGCAGCTGGAAGGGCAATGTCTGGAATGTTCAATTGTGTCTTAAGCTCTGAGATGAGAGATGCAGTTTCGAGAAGTGTCAATTTAGAGATGCTCTCAACAATGGATGAAATCTTTGGGTCCACTGGTGCGGATTCTGTTGTAGGAGCAGCAGCAGCGGCGGCAGTGGATTGCAAGCGGATGGCCACTTGTCTAGCAGCCAATCTGGTTGGCATGGAACGTGTAGCACGAACAAGTGATTGTCTAAGGGAGAGCATCTTTGTTATGTTCTAATTTGTCTTTCCGTTAAAGTGGTTTTTGTGTACGTTCTTTCATCCATTCAAGGAAAAAAAATACGTTGAAAAAAAAGGTCGATTCCAGATTTACACGCATAAACGCCAGATACGGCGTATGATTGGAGTTGTGCACAGGTTTTCGATCGCTTTACCCAAAACAAACACAACACCGCTTTGAAGAATCTACTTCGAGTAGTGAGAAAAGTTGGTCGGAGCGGTAAAGAACAAAGCGCTTATACACGTTCGAAAATGTCGTCGTTTAGATTCTGTCGTCAATGGTGAGTGAAGGTGCTCATTATGTGGTTGTCTGTGGGTGTGTTGTTCTGATGGAGTTACTAACGCTGAGTACTAGTAACAATATGTTATATCCAAAAGAAGACAAAGAACACAATATGCTTCTGTACGAATGTAGAATTTGTTCGTACGTAGAACAAGCTGCCAACCCTCGTGTGTATCGTCATGAGTTGATATCCAACATTGGGTAAGTTGACTTTGCTGATTTTGTTTACTTCCGCTCGACTCAATATGCTAACCAATATTCCCAGTGAAACCGCCGGTATAGTGAAAGATCTTGGATCAGATCCAACTCTCCCGAGATCTGATAAGGAATGTCCAAAGTGTCATGCACATGAAGCTGTATTCTTCCAATCGCAACAGAGAAGAGCTGATACTTCGATGATTCTGTTTTACGTGTGTCTACATTGTAATCACACCTATAGAAGTGTTTAACAAGGAACAACGAATGGAAACGCAACCATAAAAGAGAATGTAATAAATATAACCGATGTTAGATGGAACAGAACGAACAAATATTGTAGCATTTCCAAGTATTCATTAAAATGAGAATCATAGGTCACACATATGAGTACACCTCTTTTTGAAATTGAAATGTAGAGAACATTAACATCCTACTTGAAGTCCCCTACACCACATCTCACCGTGATAACAACGACTTTTTACCAAATAAAGTGGTATTCAATGAAATGAACCTCATGCGACTGTATAATTAACGGGGTAGCATCAAAAGGCACATAGTTAAAGTCCAAAACTGTTACCTTTGTTTTGTTTTCGTGCCATCACCCAGGTAAATTTTTTTGTAAACACTTTCGGGACAAAAACACTTTCAATTGTTTACTATTCATGAATAGAGAGATATAGCATACATTGTCAGGTTAATGTCTCCTTTAAACACTGATCCAAGAAGTGTGGATCCAAAAGAATTGGATAAGAGAATTTCATATGATGAAATTCAAGACAGGTGGTCGTTTAAGGATGATAATGATCATTATGAATACAACACCGTATTGAACAAATGGATCTCGATGGATAATATAGACTCGAGCAATCACCAGGAATCCCTGATCGAGTTGAAGAAGCGGAAACTACAACAGATGAAAGAGGAAAAATTGGCGAAGAAGAAACAAAGAATCAACACTGGTGTCTACGTCTCCAACTTACCACTAGACTGCGATTCTGTCGAGCTGAACCAGTTGTTCTCCAAGTACGGTGTTATATCTCAAGACCTATTGACAAACAAGCCAAGGATAAAGAGGTATGTTAATTCTAATGGTCAGTTCAAAGGGGATGCCCTCATAGTGTATCTCAAGCCTGAAAGTGTTGACCTAGCTATTCAGATGCTTGATGATGCACCTATACGAGTTGGGGATAATAGCAACAGAATAAAAGTGGAAAAGGCGCAGTTTAAACCTGAAAATGACACCGATGATACATCCACCCCCAAGGAACGAAGAGTGTTAGACGATAAGGAGCGTGAGCTCGTAAAGAAGAGATTAAGACAGCTGAATAGCAGGATTGAGAATTGGCAAGGTGACGATGACAATAACGTTAACTTGAAATGGCAAAAAACCATGGTGTTGAAAAGGGCATTTACACTTGATGAATTGAAGGAGGATCCTGAAGTGCTCCAAGATATCGAAGAAGACATCATGGAAGAATGCGGGAAGTTTGGTAAGGTTGAAAAGATCATTGTCTTCGACCTCGAAGAAGAAGGTGTTGTGCTTGTTAGGTTCACAGAACCAGACTCAACAACAAAGTGCATTGAAGTACGTATATTCTTTCTCAGTAACTCTTAAAAATGAACTCTTTACTAACAACTCTGAAGAAGATGGATGGAAGATACTTTGCAGGACAGAAACTAAGCGCAACAAGATACAACGGAGAACACTTCAACAAATCACATGACAACAACAGCTCAACACAGCTCGCTACAGATTCACACGAACCGGATGATAACGAAAGACTTCAACATTTCATTGCAACCTCATAGTCTTGTCTGGCCCATCTGCCCCTACCCTTCAAATGAAAACCATAATAGCTGAACCCATAATCTCCATGATGTACCAGGACACATATATACATTACTAAGATCTTATGTAATCGTACTGAATTTTCTTCTTCTTTTTGTCGTGTTTTTTTTTTTGTCCGCTGAGGCCATCGAACCGCTGGAAAAAAAATCTGTGAAAAGACGTTGAACAACAAAGCACACAAAAGCGACCTTTGTTGTTGTGATTTTAAGGGAAACAAAGCCTGTGAATAAGGAACAAAATATGCCTCCAAAGAAACAAGTTGAAGAGAAAAAGATCCTTCTTGGTCGTCCAGGTAACAACTTGAAGTCTGGTATTGTTGGTCTTGCCAACGTTGGTAAGTCGACTTTCTTCCAGGCCATTACCAGATGTCCATTGGGTAACCCAGCCAACTACCCGTTCGCCACTATTGAGCCAGAAGAGGCCCGTGTTCTTGTTCCATCTCCAAAGCAGGATAAACTTGTTGAGATCTACAAGCCAAAGAGCGGTCCTGTTCCAGCTTACTTGACCATTTACGATATTGCTGGTTTGACCAAAGGTGCCAGTGCTGGTGAGGGTTTGGGTAATGCGTTCTTGTCCCATATTAGAGCCGTTGATGCTATCTACCAAGTTGTCCGTTGTTTCGACGACGCCGAGATTATCCATATCGAAGGTGACGTCAACCCAGTTCGTGACTTGGAGATCATCCACAACGAGTTGAGACTTAAGGACATTGAATTTGCTGAAAAGCACTTGGAATCTGTCTTGAAGATCACAAGAAAGGGAGGTCAATCTCTTGAGGTTAAACAGAAGAAGGAGGAGGCTGCCCTTGTGGAGAAAATCATTGATCTCTTGCAGAATGACCAGAGAGTTGCCAACCAAAACTGGACCTCCAAGGAAGTTGAAATCATCAACACCATGCAGCTTTTGACCGCTAAGCCAGTCATTTACCTCATTAACTTGTCTGAGAAGGATTACGTCAGAAAGAAAAACAAATACTTGGTCAAGATCAAAGAATGGGTTGACACTTACTCACCAGGTGATGTCATCATCCCATTCTCTGTCTCCCTCGAGGAGAGACTCTCTCACATGGAGACCGATGAGGAAAGAGCTGCTGAGGAGGAGAGAGTTGGTGCCAAGTCTGCATTGACCAAGATCATCTGGACCATGAGAGAGAAGTTGGATTTGATCAACTTCTTCACCTGTGGTGAACAAGAAGTTCGTGCATGGACTATCAGAAGAGGTACAAAGGCCCCACAAGCTGCTGGTGTCATCCACACTGATTTCGAGAAGTCCTTCATCTTGGCCAATGTTATCAAGTACGAGGATATTGTTGAATTGAAGGATGAAACTGCTGTTAAGGCTGCAGGTAAAGTCATGACAAAGGGTAAAGATTGGGTCGTTGAGCCAGATTCCATTATCAACTTCCGTGCTGCTTTGGCAAAGAACTAATAACCTTATGTGTTTTATTACATCAACATATATCTTTGTTATTGATCTTTGTACACTTTAGGATGTAGTGATAACTATTTACAGAGAATTTTACACTCGATACGCCTGTGTATATCCCCTCCATATTACCACAGGGACCAACCAGACGTCTTCTTCTTTTCACGCTCAGCTTTAGGAACGAAGGCATCAATTTGTTCTTTGATTCTCTCAGGGCCAGTTTCATTATCGTAGTTTCTACCCATGGCATCAATGAACTCACCATCTGAATCCATCAAATAGAAGAAGATAGAGTGATCGACCAGGTAATCCTGACCTGGCTTCACATTTGGTGGTGTTGAGAAGTAGACTCTGTACTGCTTACAGCAATCCTTCACCTGTTCATATGTACCGGTCAATCCAATAATATCCGGATGGAAATCGCTCAAGTACTCCTTAACAACCTCTGGAGAATCTCTAGCCGGATCACATGTGATGAAGATTGGCTGTAATTTGTAACCTTCCTTCTTAAGCATGTCCAACCACAGTCCTAACTTATCCAATTCATCAGGACAAATATCTGGACAGTGAGTGAATCCAAAGTACAAGATGGAGAACTTCCCCTTCAAGTTCTGTTCAGTGAATGGTTTTCCTTCGGTATCAACCAAGTTGAAAGGACCTCCAACAAGTGGTTTACCATACCCTCTGTTGGCTTCAGCATCCTGCTGAACTTGGATTCTCTTCTTCTCGCTCGTAAAGAAGTACCAAAGCCCGCCACCAACAGCAATCATGAGAAGCGCAGCCTTCCAACTGGCAAACTCCAAGTTAGTCTCTTTGAGCTTCTGTTGTTGCGTTGAAGTACCACCAATTGGAATTCTACTCAGCGGTCTCTTCTTCCTTGGAGCTGACTGCGAAGACGCGGCCTCTGGTTTACTCTCGTTCCATCTGATGAAAGTGGTGGAAAAGGATGCTCTTTGGATGCTGCACACAGCTCTCTGTGTCAACAGCCTTCTCTTTGGGAATAATCTCAACATCGTGACTCTTTAAGCTGAGACGGATTGGCCAAAAGTATAATGATTTCCAGCTTTTAGAGGAGACTGGAAAGCTGAGAAAAATCTCATCATCGTTAAAGCGGTAACATCCTACGTAATCAAAGTGTGGATGACTAACTAACCAAAATAGGCAGGTTTCCAAGTTCGGAAATATTCGTGACTCTATTAGCCAGGGCTTCAAACCATCACTTTGGTGTCCCAATTAGGCAAAATGTAAATAACAATATGCGAAAGAGATTTCCATGTATACGTACTTTTCCCTCGAAGTGGTTTGAAAACAGAACCAGGAGGTGGGAAAAAAGCTATCTCAATCTTCTCTTTTCACCTCTAAGTTTCTTAGTGGAAACAGATCAAATCATACAAAAGGTTCCGATAAGCTAACAAACATGACTGGTCCCTTTGACGATAAGTACGGTTATGATTATGACCCGCTTAACAGTCCCTCAAGACCTCAAGCTGCTGCTGTTGGCAACCACTCACCAAGAAGAATGAACAACAGTACGCTTTCCGGGTTTAATGGCTTCCCAGCTCCTGAGTCATCTGCTGGTGAGAGATACTCACCGAATGCCTTTGGTAGAAGACATCAACAGCAACAGGCACAGTACCAAGAGTCGTACTACACGCCAACCTCGTCTCCAACCAAGACAGTACACTATCCACAGCAACAGACTCCGATAGAATCTCCTGTTCACGGTATGACTCCAAGAAAACAATGGACGGAGCTGGAGTCACCAAAGCGAAACAAGGAGAGTACTGTCATTGTGATTGACGATGACGAAGATGATGAGGATTACCATAGATCTGCGTTCTACGGTGGAGCCAACCGCTCCCTGAGTAGAAACTCAGAATCGACGGTATCCTCCTCGAGAATCCTCCCTCCTCCGAAGCCAATCTTCTCAGCATCCACATTTGCTGCTGCAAACACACTCTCTGAGCAAAATACCCCGGCGCTGGAAAGCAATGACAGAGTTCCTTCTGGCTCTACTGTCCATTCCGGTTCTTCCAGTGATCAGAGCTATGTCGAAAAGGTTAGAACCCTTACCTCAAACTTCAGTGGTGACACATATGAGGGATATTGGGAAAACGAAGATATCTTTGATGAAAAGGAATACCAAGTCCCAGCTACTGCTCAACCTCGTCGTCATAAATCGGTTCTCGTGAAGAAGAAATGTACACCAGAGAATGGTAACTTGGTCCTGGAAAATCCAGTTCCCACCAAGTTAGCTTCTATTCTACCAAGAAGAGATGAGGACGAATTCCTCTTTATGAGATACTCTGCTTGTACTGCAGAACCTCACGATTTTGAAACTGCAGGATTTACGTTGAGGGCTGCTAAGCTCAACAGAGAAACTGAAGTGTGCATCTGTATTACCATGTACAACGAATCTGAAGTTGACTTCACCAGAACAATGCATGCTGTTATGAAGAACATTGCCCATCTATGTGAGAGGAAGAAGTCGAGAATATGGGGGCCAAACGGATGGAAAAAGGTCCAGGTTGTCATTGTCAGTGATGGCCGTGGTAAGATCAACGACAACGTTCTTGATGTTTTAGGTGCCATGGGTGTGTACCAAGATGGTATTGCCAAATCCTTCGTGAACAAGAAGGAAGTGAAGGCTCATATCTTTGAGTACACTGCTCAAGTGTCGCTCAATGAGGACTTGGAGATTCATTCTTCTGAATCTGGTATAGTCCCTGTCCAAATTCTCTTCATGTTGAAGGAAAAGAATATGAAGAAGATCAACTCTCATAGATGGTTCTTCGAGGCCATTTGTCCGGTTTTGGATCCAAATGTCGTCGTATTGCTGGATGTGGGTACCAAGCCAAATACCAGTGCCATTTACCACTTATGGAAGGCATTTGACAACGACTCCAATGTCGCAGGTGCTGCTGGTGAGATTAAGGCATTAAAAGGAAGATTCTGTAAGAAATTACTAAATCCACTTGTTGCATCTCAGAACTTTGAGTATAAGATGTCCAATATCCTGGATAAGCCAATGGAATCATCTTTTGGTTATATCTCGGTGCTTCCAGGTGCTCTCTCGGCTTATAGATTCAAGGCATTGAAGAACCATGATGATGGAACTGGACCATTGAATTCCTACTTCAAAGGTGAATTGTTGAATGATGGGCCAAACAAAGATGTGTTTTCTGCAAACATGTACCTGGCAGAAGACAGAATCCTCTGTTGGGAACTAGTTGCCAAAAAGGATGCGAGATGGCTGTTGAAGTACGTTAAGGAAGCCAAGGGTGAAACAGATCTTCCAGAGACAGTTGCCGAGTTTGTCTCCCAGAGAAGAAGATGGCTTAACGGTGCACTCTTTGCTGCATTGTATTCTCAATTACACTTCAGACAGATCTGGAACACATCTCATTCCTTCACGAGAAAGTTCTTCTTCCACATTGAATTCTTCTTCCAATTCGTTCAACTTTTATTCTCGTGGTTCTCAGTCGCAAACTTTTACCTGACCTTCTATTACCTGACAGGTGCTTTGACAAATAACAACTTGATCCCACACAATGGAGGCTTCTGGATCTTCACGATTTTGAACTACATATGTCTGGGAACGATTTGTTCTACTTTCATTGTCTCTATGGGTAACCGTCCACAGGGTGCCCAATACCTGTTCATCACAATCATGACACTGTTCGCCATCATTTCATGTTTCACCATTATCTTGGGTTTCGTTTCCGTTGCGAGAACTATGCAAAATGATGCTGGAACAACTGCATTCTTCAACGTGATTGTCTCGTTATTATCAACATATGGTCTCTATGCCTTTATTTCCATTGTGTATTTGGACCCATGGCACATCTTGACCTGCTCAGTGCAATACTTCCTTCTTCTGCCATCATACACATGCACATTGCAGATCTTTGCCTTCTGTAACACACATGATGTCTCCTGGGGTACTAAAGGTGATAATGATCCAGCAAAGAGTTTGGGTTCTGCCATCATCAAGAAGGACAGTGAAGGTCGTGAAATCGTTGAGGTTGAAATGCCAGTTGATCAAGTTGATATTGATTCTGCTTACACAGGAACGCTGAACAATATCTCCATCCAAAGGGTTAGAAATAAGAACCCTGAGAAGGAGCCTAAGAAGGAAATCCCATCAGAGGACTACTACCGTGATGTCAGAACACGTGTTGTCCTCTTGTGGTTGATCACCAACATGGTATTGATCATGAGCATCATCCAGGTTTACTCGCCAGGTGATGTATACGAGAACAAGTACTTGGCTTTCATCCTTTGGTCAGTCGCTGCCCTGGCCTTGTTCAGAGTGCTCGGATCTCTTGCCTACTTGTTCACCAAGTACTTGCGTTCGTTCATGGAGGCGAGACAGAAGATGAAGGACAGTGGAGATTACAACTTCTCCTTCAAGAGCATATTCAGAAGAGATGACTAGTGAGCGAAGAGCAATGATAAATACCCTGTATATTACTTTTTGGAATTACACATCATGAGACACTTCCACGTAGTTGTAAGCTTTGTATATTGTAGTTGATGGTCGGAATCCGGGCATTGAAGCAGTGACGCATGGAAGCACTGCGACGTTGACACACCGAGCAAGTCTTGATTGGTGTTTGGGTGTTTAATGACAGCTTTCCCAAGACGCTGACAAGAAGGTGTGCGTACATATAACAGATATAGATATTTACAAATAAATTATCGTAGTATTCTCGTAATTTGTATCAAATAGAACGTTTTTCCATCTCTTTAAAAGTTGATTGGCTTGTCGAAAGTAGCAAGAGCAGCTTCCTTGAAGGCCTCTGACAAAGTTGGGTGGGCATGGCAGACTCTAGCAATGTCCTCTGTAGAGGCACCGTACTCCAATGCCAAACCGGCCTCGGCGATCATCTCACCAGCGTTTGGACCAACGATGTGAACACCCAAGACTCTCTGGGTCTCAGCGTCGGCCAAGAACTTGACGAAACCTTCGGTGTCCAAGTTTGTCTTAGCTCTGGAGTTGGCAATGAATGGGAACTTACCAACCTTGTAAGCGATACCAGCCTCCTTCAATTGCTCTTCGGATTGACCGACCCAAGCAACTTCTGGGTGAGAGTACATGACAGATGGGATATTACCATAGTTGACGTGACCATGACCAAACTTGATATACTCAACAGCAGCGATACCTTCCTCCTCGGCCTTGTGGGCAAGCATTGGGCCGAAAGTAACATCACCAATAACTCTAATGTGTTCGTGCTTTGATCTGAATTGATCGTCAATGACCAAGCGACCACGCTTGTCAACCTCCAATCCCAAGACTTCAGCGTTGAGACCTTCAATGTAAGGTCTTCTACCAATGGCAACAAGAAGAACATCGGCATCCAATTGTTCCTTCTTACCAGACTTCACGTTCTCAACCTCGATGTGAACGTTGTCTCCCTTGCGCTCTCCAGACAACACTTTAGTTCCCAATTTGAACTTAATGCCTTGCTTTTGCAAGAACTTTTGAGTGGTCTTTGCAACTTCACCATCCATTGAGGCACCAATAGCATCTTGGAACTCAATGACGGTGACTTCGGTACCCAAACGGGAGTACACAGAACCCATCTCCAAACCGATGATACCACCACCGATAATGGCGAGCTTCTTTGGAATCTCCTTAAGGGACAAAGCACCGGTAGAGGAAACGATACGCTCCTCGTCGATGGTGATACCTGGGAATGGAGTAACCTCGGAACCGGTGGCAATGATGATGTTCTCAGCCTCCAAGACCGCATTCTCGCCACCCTCAATAGCATCAACCTTGACTGTCTTCTCGTCAACAAAGGAACCGTTACCCTTGTAGTACTTGACACCGTTCTTCTTGAAAAGCATCTCGATACCGCCGGTCAATTGGTCGACAACAGTGGCCTTGGCCTTTTGGAATTGTTCAACGTTGAGTGAGACACCTGAAACGTCAATACCACGCTTCTTGGTGTCGTGCTGGATTTGGTGGTACAAGTGGGAGTTGTTCAAAAGCGCCTTGGATGGGATACAACCAACGTTCAAACAAGTACCACCGAGTCTACCTCTCTTCTCAATACAGGCGGTATCGAACCCCAACTGGGCCGCCTTGATGGCAGCAACGTAACCACCCGGACCACCACCGATGACAACAACATCGTGCTTCTCTAGGGGATATCATCTGTTAGCGTCATTCAGGGTATATGGAGCCATACGAGCTTGATGGCATCGCTTTGCCGCCAGCTACGGCATAAACAAAACAAACACAGAATTCACTTACTGGTGGCGGCATCGGCCAAAGTACGGATCTGGGCGAGCTGAGCACGGGCTCTAACAGCTGGACGGGTGAATGAGAGCATCGTCTGTGTTTCTCCTGTTCGTTTCAAAATCAAAAACGCTAAAAGATGAACAGAAAGTGGTTATAAATCAAGGATGATGTTATGCGCTTTCAATTTTTGGCCCTTTTTTTACATGCCTTCCTCCCTGCTTTTCTCGTTCTACTTCTCTCTCTGTAAACAGCTGGCCTTGACGTTGCGCTGCGAGCCTCCAGGGCGAACGAGGAAATGAATGGGGGCCGCGCACGCGCGTCCGCCGCCCATGGGAGGAGCGTCCCAGTGTCGGGCTGAGAAGAACCGGATCCCTGAACGGATTTGCCCTTTGTCTTCCTATTCGATGGAATCTTGACTGCGCTGTTTGGTTCAATGCTACGAGTATTGTCGGGAAAGAGACCATGAGGGTGTGCTGAAAAGGGTGGCGTGTACTTTAAAATCGCTGTAGACTATGGTTATTGTTGTTTAGGGTGATTTTGTTGGACCAGGATGTGTTAATTGAGAACCTCTTGTTCCCCCTTGGAGCAAAATTGGGCCTAGTTTCATAGGCATGTAGTGTTCTTCTGCGGAGCCGTTTTCTCTGTTTTTTTAGAAGAGGGGGGGGGGTGCCTGTCCACCCCACGAATTTTCAGTAGGTTCCCTTGTATGCGTGTGCTCTTCGTGAGTCTTCCGTGGGGTTTTGCGTGGGCTAGGCGGACTCAGCGGACTAGGCGGACTAGGCGGACTAGGCGGGAAGCACATTCACCAAAGTCTACACAAACCAGCCTAGAGATACAATACTTTATCCTAATTAAAACACCCTCTCTGTTCTTAGTACCCTCAACTCAATCAGCTTGTTTCAACAGCTCATCACATACATCACAGATACAATCGACACCCCAGTCGACGCGTCTCTTTTGCTTCCGCCCGCTAATGATATCGCTACCACGCACTTTTTCCTGTAGAAAGTACTGTAGGCCTCTCAGAAGAACAGTTTGACTCTGGCATTTTCCTAGTCTTTCAACAAGCAGCGTGTCGTTGAACTGTAGATCCTGTGCTCTTGACTTCTTGGTTCCATTGCCAAACGTGGACACCTCGCTCTTCTTCCCCACGTTGTCCAGGAAAGAGATCATCAGTATTTCGAGAAAGAGACTCAGATTGGGGTTCAAAGCAAGGAAATTGACATTCTTCAAAGAGTGTAGGGGTAATGTCCCCTCTGCCATTAATGCACCATAGAATTTACCCTGGTTCACTAGCCTTTGCATGGTGAAGTCATCATCCTCTGCACCAATGTCTTTACTCAATCGTTTGAAATAGTCTACATCTCCATCTGCATCATCCTCATCCTCTCCTTCCAACTCATGCAAAAGATCCCAGAAGCCAAACTGGAAGGTCTTTCTGGTTCCATGGTTTGAGCATAGCTTGTTGGCTAGTAACCCATAGTAAGGATTGTACACTTTCTCGATGGAAACACAGTGTAACAAAATCTTTGGGATTTCACGCTCCTGTGATCTCTTCAGCCTCAACTTGTCCAATTTTGTAAAGGCATCGATGTAGTCTTCAGATGACATTATACTAATGAAGATGGCCCTTCTTATATCAGTGTTCATACGCTGCGCCTTGGCCAATTCCACCCAGTTTGGTTCTGCACTGTCCAGCACGTTGTTCAGTTCTTCTTCGTTAACTTCAACCTCTTGATGATGCTGTAAATCATTACCCTTCCATGCAGAACCAACAAGCCACCACTTACCTTTTGTATTGACAGAATGAATGTCTTCCAACGTCACTTGTAGAGGCTCATTGGGTTTCTTCGTCACATTAGCTAGCAATTTACGCATTCTCGTGATTAGCTGGGCAGTGTTTTCATTGACCGTCTTCAATCTGTTGTTCTTCAGATTGGTGATACTTTCAATGAGGAACTTTGTTCTTGCGTTGGTCTCCTTTACCTGTATATTCTTTTGGAACTGTACGATAATCTCCTTTAGTGCATTTGGATCGTCAGAACGCATCTGTTGACCAGCGTTACGGATGATTCTCAACAGAAGTTCTGAGTTGATCTCACTTACCTCTTGGATTAATTCTGAGATTAAACTGTAAAGTAACTTGCAACTCACAATTTGGAATGAGTAGCATGCAGTAAGTAAAGTGACTAAATTGCTGGCTTTCTTTGTTTCATTGGCTTTGTAGTATTCATCGTATTTCTCAACCAAAGTTTGGATGAAGTATGCACCAGCTTCAACACCTTGAGATCTATAAATGGCGCTCATCAACGCTGCATGCAATGTGACAAAGGTGTCCAAGAGCACGGTCTGTTGGACAACACTTTCCAGCACAACAGTGGTCAAGCATTCAGTGACCAGTTGTCTGGGATTTTCCAAATAAACTGCAAGGATATCGTTAACAATTGTCATGACGTTAGCCTCTGACAGTCTGTTCAGTGGACCTTTTATAGAACGTTTAATCTTCACCATTTGTTCTGAATTGTCAGAAGTGTTCATCTTAGCGCGCAGTGCTGGTGGGATATATTTAGTCTTTGTCTGTGTAGATGATGATACAGCAGGTGCATAGGGGTTTTCCTTTGGCTTTGCCATGATCACATCACCACCTTCTTCGTCATCTGAAGCTTCAGGATCGATATCTGAATCAAAATCTGAAGAGTTGATTTCATCATCGGATGAAAATGGATTTTCAACGATCTCCTCTTCCTCTTCATCATCATCTGCTTCTTCCTCATCACCATCTTCTTCTTCATCGTTGTCGTCTTCGTCAAATTCCTTGTCACCATCTAGATCTTCTTCATAGTCTTCTTCATAGTCTTCTTCACCTTCGATACCATCGCCATAAGCATCCAAGAAGTCTAGTCCATCTAACAAGTCACCCAGCCCATCTTCATCTTGCTTATTCTTGAAATCTTTGCTCTTTGTAGATTTCAGACCTAACTTCTTTGCATAGTACTTCATATCATCTTCATCTCTTTTCATAAGTCTTCTCTCCTCTGGAGTCAATACTCTTTTATGCTCACTCTTCTTTGACTTCGTTTTCTTAGGCTCTTTGGAACTTTCTGATTCTTTGGCCTTTTGTTTCTTTTCCTTCATGAGCTTCAGTGCATTCATTGTATCCTGCGCAGTTTGAGGTTGGCTTTCGTCCTTCTTCATCTTCTTCTTATTTTTCAACGCCATCAACGCAGCCATAGTGTCCTCCACGGTTTGCGGTTGATCCTCATCTTCATCCTCATCTTCAAAGCTTTCAAGGTCAGAGTCCAACTCTTCGTCAAAGTCTCCGTAATTATCAGAGTCACCACTTTGTAAATCCTCATCACCACTTTCATCTGGGAATCCACCAAAATCACTAAACTGCTCCTCACCGTCACCATGGTCTTCTTCTTCTTTCTTCTCCAACTTTGACACTTTAGCACTCTTAGGCTTATCCCTAACATTACCACCACTGTTCGGATCACCACCTTCAGCATGACGTCTTCCACCATTTCTCACGTCATTTCTATTCTTTTTCTTCGACTGTCTCTCCATCTTACGTCTTTCCTTTCTAGACACGGTCTTCCTCTTCTTACCATCCATACCTGATTGAAATCTTGCATCGTCTTCTTCACCGCCATTCGCACCCTTCAGCTCATCCAAAAGACTGCCTGGGATTCTGATCCCATGTCTCTCGCCATCAGCTTCATCTCTTGATCTTTTCCCCATTATTCCTCTTCTATGCTCTGGCCATCCACGCCGTGTAACAGGAGATGCTCATCGCCTGTTAAATTTTTTTTGTCCCTGCCTAGCGCTCTGTCTCTCGGGCCCACAGACCGCCAGAAGGCAGCTAAAACTTTGTTACTCGGGGGAAAGTCCCCAGAGGCGAGAAAGGGCTGGGCAGCGACAGAAAAGCTCTCTCCACCAGGAAGATTAACTTCCTTTTCTAAACCACCAGCTTCTTTTCTCATTTTGAGCAGAAGATCAACCAGAATCAGAGACTTCAAAATGCCAAAGGTTGATATAAAAGTGATAACAGACGTTGCTCTGTTCATCGGAGCGTCTATCTCTGCCTATTATATGATGTCAGTGCTTCTGTCACAAGATGGGCCTTCGGCAAAGTCCAGCGAGACAAAGAAGAAGGCCAATGAATCACTGCAACGGTTGAAGATGCTGAACCCTGCTTTGAAGCTGGAGCTGAACGACTATGAGAACGCAGTGCTGGCCAGTGTGGTTACACCTTTCGAGATTGACGTGAAGTTTGAAGGTTAGTAGTATACCTCTTCCTCCCACCTGTGCCTGTTCCTTTTGGCGGGAGCAAGCCTGTTTGAATCTTACTAACTGAGAACAAAGATATCGGTGGTTTGGAGCCTATTATCGATGAGCTCAGAGAGAGCGTGCTGTATCCATTAACTCTACCAGAGCTGTTCACACAGTCGTCGTTATTACAGGCGCCAAAGGGTGTATTGCTCTATGGGCCTCCAGGGTGTGGTAAGACCATGATAGCCAAAGCACTTGCAAAGGAATCCGGGGCAAATTTCATCTCCATTAGAATGTCCCAGGTGATGGATAAATGGTACGGTGAGAGTAATAAGATGGTTGATGCCATCTTCTCCCTCGCACAGAAATTGCAACCGTGTATCATCTTCATTGATGAGATTGACTCTTTCCTGAGAGAACGTCAATCCATGGATCACGAAGTCACCGCGATGCTCAAGGCAGAGTTCATGACTCTCTGGGATGGGCTCACCTCGTCGGGGAGAATCCTCGTGCTAGGTGCCACTAACAGACCAAACGATATCGACTCTGCATTCCTGAGACGTATGCCAAAGAGATTTGCCGTTGAATTACCAAAACCTGAACAGAGAGAACGCATTCTCAAACTGTTGCTGAACGATACCAAGCTCTCGCGTGACTTCGATCTAGGCGAAGTTGTCAGCTGTACGCGTGGGTTCAGTGGATCAGATCTGAAAGAGGCATGTCGTGAAGCTGCTATGAATGCGATGAGGGAGTACATTAGATCAAACTTCAAAGACGGTATCAGATTAAGCGACGACGAGGTTAGAGTGAGACCTTTGAAGACAACTGATTTTGCATGTGTTCGTGACACTATCAAGCCGGTTAGTGTCGACTGATTTGCTCTAATAGTATACGTATGTGTATGTCATTGAATGTATATATTGACAATTAAAATTATATTATATTATATTATATTATATTATATAATTTCACGCGAAACACAGAGCGAAACTTCATTGGCATAGTTCACCAAATACGTAAACAAACACGATGATCTCCAACTGCTCACGCAACTGATGGACTCCTTGCTTAACCAACCTGTTGTCATTGACAATGTAAGTGCTCTCCCATGTGCTCTCATCTCCAATTGGTTACTAACAGTCTGCTTTTCCAAAGGGTTCTGGGTCTATAAAAGCTGGTTTTGCCGGTGAAGAACAGCCAAAGCATACAGCTCAATCGGTGTAAGTCTAGTACTGTACGCGTATTATCGAGCATTTTACTAACAGATGGCTGAAGCATTGGGTGGCCAAAGTACTCGAAAGTTATGGCTGGTGCTCTAGAAGGTGACACGTTCATTGGGAACTCTGCAGAGGCACACAGAGGGCTGCTGAGGCTGCAATACCCCATGAGACACGGTGTTGTAACACATTGGGACGATATGGAGAAGATCTGGCATAGTGTGTTGACCCAGGAGCTGAAGATAGTGACAAGTGACCATCCTGTGTTATTAACTGAGGCTCCCTTGAACCCCAAGAGCAATCGAGATCGTTGTTGTGAGATCTTCTTTGAAACGTTTAACACACCGGCGCTGTACCTCTCAATACAGGCAATACTAGCGCTTTATGCATCTGGACGAACCACTGGGGTTGTCTTGGATAGTGGTGATGGAGTCACCCATGTTGTCCCTGTGTACGATGGCTTCAGTCTTCCAGGTTCTATAAAGCGAATGGATATTGCCGGGAGAGATATCACTGACCAATTACAACTCTTGATGCAGAAGAATGGAGTATGGTTACAGACAAGTGCTGAAAGGGAAATCGTCAGAGAAATAAAGGAGAAGTTCTGTTACGTGTCAAAGGACCCTAAAGCTGATGAAAATGACTGGCTTATGAGGGCGCTTTCGAAGCCAGTGCAAACAGGAGATGAAGAGGAGTCTACCACTATGTATAAATTACCAGATGGACAGGTTATCACTCTTGGCGCAGAGAGGTTTAGATCACCAGAGATCTTATTCCGGCCTGACATTGTTGGATCTGAGTGTCCGGGCATTCATGAGTTGTTGTTTGAATCTATTCAAAAAGTTGACATTGATCTTCGAAACGTGTTGTACCAGAGCGTCGTGTTGAGTGGGGGCACCACAATGACTCGAGGATTTGGTGATCGTCTGATAAATGAGATGAAGTTGCTAACTACAAAGGGAACAAAGATAAAGATCCTGGCTCCTAGTGAGAGGAAGTTCAGCACATGGATTGGTGGATCTATTCTTTCAGGGCTAAGTACCTTTAAAAAGATGTGGGTTTCTAAACAAGAATGGGAGGAGAATCCTGACATTGTACATACCAAATGTCTATAAGTTAATTGAGATGAAAAGGCTGTTCAAAATTCAGAAAACAGATTAAATACAGTAGTATCTATCACCGAAATCACCCAAACCAGGGTAGATTCTCTTCTTGTCATCCAGCTTTGGATCAATTCCACCTGTGATGATCTTAATCTGTGGGAACTTGGCGTGGTAGGCCTCGATACCTTCTGGAGCAGCCAACAAGTTCAAGAAGAAGATTCTCTCAGGCTTGACACCACGCTTGATAAGCACCTCCGTCGCTAGCATTGCAGAGCCTCCAGTTGCCAGCATTGGGTCCAACAGAAACACATAACGGTCAGCGATATCATCAGGTAACTTCTCATAGAACAGCTTTGGCAAAGCTGTTTCTTCATCTCTCTGGATCAGAATCTTACCGATTCTCACTGATCTGCAGCAATCCCTTAGACCCTGTTCCATGCTTTCGCCAGCTCTGACGATGGAGACACCACAGATCTTTCCCAAGAACTCGACACCGTCGTGCTCGACACCCAACGGTGTCACAATCTTCTTCTCCTCCACCGGCAACTGGTCCAGGCCCTTCTCAACCAACAGACGGATGATTCTATCCGAATAGAACACGAAATCTGAACGATGCGTCTCCTTTGATCTGATGATGGAGTACAGTCCACGCAGCTGGTTGGTTTGTGGAAGCAGAAGTACGTTTGGATATTCGGACATGGTTTCTTTCTTAAATATGGCTTGTAGTATGTGCTGACTTGGCTCAATCAACCTGGGCTTGTTCCTCTTAACCCCAACTACCTTTTTATATTAGTCCCCTTTGTTATCAGCGATGATCTGAAAGTGCTTGCTCGGTGGGAAAATTTTTATCTCCAACGGCGATTCCAGGCCCATCGCCGGATTTTCGTTTAGGGCCCCACGGTCTGCCCGTAGGCAGACACCTGCCGATGACGTTTAGCGGGAGGCCCTCACCAGGTTAGGCAGAGCGCAGCATGGGGGAGATTCTCAACATTGGGCTTCAGCTGGTGGTGCTTTAATGGTGGAGACGTGGGTGGTTAACTACGAGTTGGTGGCACCCGGGTTATTCTAGTGAGTACGGATGTGTAAGTAGAATATCATGCCATTACTCTTGTACGTTAAATGGGTTTTCGATCTCTTCCATGCCATCCACCGGTGAGATGGTTAACAGCAGAGGGCCTCTAACAACAACCAGGCCCAAATGTCTGGTTTCTTTCGTTAGAACGTCCAAATCGTCGTGGTCTGTAGCAAAAGTGTTAGAAGTTAGTTTGCATGTGGAGATTTGCATCCTGAAAACACGGTATTGACTCACCTCTTAGTGTCTCTTCGACATCATCGAGTACCAGGTTCATCAACTGGTCATATCCCTTGAGGACACCAACAACTATACGACAACGATGTATTAGTACGCCGCACTGCGGCCACGGGCACGAAATATGAACAGGCACTATATGTCACTCACCTTGTCTTCCTTGTGTAAACTTCACACGCACTCGTTGGTCTTGGTGGTTGGCGAGCCACTCATTCACATACTTCTTTGGAGCTTCTCTTTCCCTCTTTCTGCCTTCATCCTGTTTGTAACTGGTGTTAGTGGCCATTCATTTCTGCTAGTGGTTTCTGGCTCAACGCCTCATCGAACTTGAGCGGGATACTCACTGTTTTCCCCGACATGTCTGCCTATTTACCGCTTTGTTGATGTATTGTTGATGTTGATGTTGAAGGCTTTTTTCGTTTTGACGGGCGTTTTTCCGAGGTTTGTTTTCTCACGCCTTGCAACCATTTCAGCTAAAACAGAGAGAGCAAATATTAGAACAGAGCCTCAACAAACAGAACGAGCAGTAAACAGAGGAACGAGCCATGGATATCACCGTTAATGTCACTTCATCGCTGACCAATTCGCAGAGAAGAATCTCCACGAATTGGACAGTGGCGCATCTGAAGCAAAGGTTGGAACAAATCACCGGGATACCACCACAGTCACAGGAGCTGTTGCTATACCCCTTGCCCACCTCGTCTGAGAGTGTATCCATCGACAAGGATGATTCGTTGCTTAGTGGGTACGAGCTTCCAGAGGGCGCACGTATCCAGGTTAACGATACAAGGCCTGACTCTGAGCTGCGCGCGTTGGAAGACGAGGGCCGCCCGCACGAAGAGTACGTGATGGATGATGAGGAGTACGATAAGAGAACGGATACGCTAAGGCACTGGAAGAGAGTCAACCAACTGGGGAAGTACGATCCATCGTATACCGGCAAATTGAACAAATCTGTGCAGTTGAACAGCTCCATTGCACAGAATTTGACCGTTGGTTCGAGGTTTCGTACTGTGAATGATACGCATGACGAGAGGAGAGGAATCATACGGTTTATAGGGAAAGTACCAGAGATTGATCAAGGGCTACAAACGTGGTGTGGCGTGGAGTTTGACGAGCCACTCGGTAAGAACGATGGTTCCATCAAAGGTGTCTACTACTTCAATTGCAACCCGGGTTATGGGAGCTTCCTCAAACCACAACAGATTGAGCAAGGCGACTTTCCAGAGCTGGATCCATTCGGCAGTGATGACGAGATATAGCTGTGCTGTGTATTAGCTTCAATTGCGCTTATAGCGTACAGACACTGCCGAGGAATCACAGGCATTCAAGCCCAACAGGGCAATGTACTGTGCTTGAGATATAATAATAATTATAATAATATAATAATTATAATTATTAGTCTGCTTAGTAAGGCAAACGGTTACTTCGCTTCCATAAAACCGTTTTGCCCATTTCTCTCATTCCCGTTATCTTCAACGTTGAGGGCCTGTAATCGAAGCAAATGTCCATTCAATCCCTCATTGAACAGATCGTCAACATCGATCTCAAACATGCGATAAGGCTCGTGGTGATAATTGGAGGCTATTGGTTCTTACGAACCCAGCTGAACAAATTCCTCGCAAATCGTCAACTACAAGGGCAACTGGAGGAGAGTCAAACTGAACAGCAACAGAGCAACATTGAGAGATTGGTTGAGAACCCTGAACATGAAGAGTCGTGGGGCTGGGGTAAGAAGACTAGAAAGAGAGTTAAAAGACAAGAGAAATTGCTGCAAGAGGCATTGGAAAGTGCAGCTGCTGGGGACGTTGATGACGATGAGATTGAAGAGTTACTCCAAGAATGATCCCGCTATTTTTACGTTGCTTTCCAACTCATCTATCTACATTTATCCACTGTAGTGACTATCGCCATCCCATTGTAGTGTCTGATACCGTAAATATAATGGCTGACCTAAGACGATATGACTAGTGGTGATCTTCTTTATGGTGGAATTTTTCACTCCAATATCGCCCTCGAGATGCTGTGAAAACCCCGAAGAGCCTAAGGGAAATTTTTTTTTGTTCCTATAACCAGAATGGATCCACTTTATATGAATAGACATATAACGTAAAGAAATGAGTTTCCGTGGTGGAAGAGGAGGTTCTTCGAGTGGAGGATTCCAAAGAAACTTGCCCTTTGGTCTGGATTACCATGACGTTATAAACATCGCTCAATCGGAGAAGCCAAAGGTGATACTACCCGTTAACGGTACGATGTCAGATGTTGAGAAGGTGAAGGCATCGCATTTCATAAACTTTTCCGCATTGGTGAGCGATGGTGCATTCTACACAGGTGACTCGTTAGAGGTGGAGGCTGGGAATGCGAAGTCAGAGATCAGCGAGGACGGCATAAACGATGGGTTGAAGAGATACTCTGATAAGTACTTGAAGAAGCGAAAGATCGGCCACTCTATAGATGAGCATCCATATAGTATAGAGTTCTTCCCTCAAGAGCTATACAGAGTCATGGGTGTTGATGACAAGAAGAAGAAAAAACTGCTACAGCTCTCCAAGTTGAAGAGCTCAAAGCAAGTGTTGGACAACTTAAACAACGATGAGATTGGTAAAACCATAATGGATAAGCTGAAAGAGATGGCTGACGTGGAAGACGAAAAGGATGAAGCACACGAACGTAATAATAACGAATTCGAAGATCACTTGGATGATGAGTTCGAGGAAGATGATGATGATGACTATAACGCTGAGAAATACTTTGAAGATGGTGAAGATTTTGGAGATGAAGATGACTACAACGATGAAGCTGCATTCTGATTCACTATTAAAAGTATAGTTGGGTGTGTTTTTCCAATATTAATACTATTACTATTATTATACGAAAGAGTTTCTAATGTTTGGGAGGAACAGGTGGTAATGACGTCCCAAATCTCGTAGGAGACATCCTAGATCTGGAAGAGCTGCCAAATACATCAGCAGGAGTTGGTGCATTGTGAATCGGTAACAAAACATCGTTATC